TCTATGAAGTCACCAAATGATAATTAAAAAATGGTAGTAATTCAATCGACCAATTCTGGCAAATAATTAAATTTATTGTATTTTCACAACGTTTCGGCCCTTATCAAGTGCTATAATATAATATTAATTATTAGAAAAATAAATATAAAAATAATAGAATATATATAAAAACATTCACACGTTAATACGCAACCATACCCATGTTCTTAAATCAGAGTAAATCACAACTCTTCCAAAAAACAAAAATATGACACTACATAATAACCTGATAGTATAAAACGAAATAACTATTAGGAAATTATTAGGAAATATTGGTATGACGTATATATATCAAATTTATTATTATTTTTTTTTTTTTTTACACTAAAACGGGGAGAAGAATCGTCTCTGTTTAGCTTATCGATATTGTACTTTTGATATCTTATCGACATCTCTTTTATATTATCTGTTAACTTCTCTTTGGTCCCCCATACCACCATCGTTAAACAAAGTTGCATCTAATTCAATTAATTTAGTGCTAATTATGTACCAAGTTGTTGCTGCTGTAATCCGGTTTATTGTTCGAACTGTTTAGCAGGAGTTTACATTCAAAGTGGAGAGAGGAGAGTTTGCTTGATTAAACCAGTTCTATTATAATAAAAAGAAATATATACAGTGCTCGAATGAAAAGTCAATTATGTGATTAATTAAAAATGCTCTAACGCTACAATCAGCAACATCGAGAATATTATATATGTTCATTGAACAAAATTTTAAAATATATATATTAGTCCGACGCACGCGTTGCACACATGTTAAAAATCTGTTTCATCAGCGTTCGTTAACGCTATCGCATAATGAGCTAAATTTTCTACTTATATTATAATATAACCGTAAAGAGATTAGAGAGGAACTACAGTTAGCTGCACGGGCTTTTGATGCAATTGACCCTGAGGCATTACTGTTACGCGAACGGTTGAATACCGGCGCATTACTTTCGTGTATATAACTTGGGTTTCAATGACCGAAGGTATCTACTCGAATCTCAAATTTCTATAACCACTAGAAACTTTCATCAAAATAATTCGCAGCTCTTTTTCGCGTATACGTTCTATTTACAGGTATATCTCGACGAATATCGGGGTGTCAAGCCGATCAGGGAAATTTCGAAAACCAGGCATTGTCAGAGAATTTTCACATTATTCTACATTTGTCAGAGAATTTTCACATTATTCTACATTTGTCTCAATAATTGAAATTTTTTATTAAATAAATATAAACTTTTCCTTGATCTCCCAACATGCTAATTTTCTGTGTTGTTAATAATCGATTCAACAAAACTAAAAAATTTGATATATAAATAAAAAAGGTGATTATTGAAATAGTTTTAGTGACATGTTTGTTTCGATTATCGTACATAATGCAGATTCTATAATTGATTTAAATTTTTGTTTTTTTAACTTTCGAACTTCTTCATTGTTGACAAAAATATCTCAAGAATTTCATGATTTAATATTTAATTGATTTATTATATAGATATATGCAAATTATATATTTGGGAGAAATAATACTAAAAAGTCAGGGAAAAAATTAATTCTTGGACTTGGAAAATCTGAAAAAATCAGGAAATTTTTTTCATTGAGTCTGGACACCCTGAATACGCGATGAAACTATATCTATATAACGTTGTTATTGGAATTGGTTCTTTAATTTAACATTTAATTGATTTATCATATAGATATATGCAAATTATATATTTGGGAGAAATAATACTAAAAAGTCAGGGAAAAAATTAATTCTTGGAAAATCTGAAAAAGTCAGGAAATTTTTTTCATTGAGTCTGGACACTCCGAATACGCGATGAAACTATACCTATATAACGTTGTTATTGGAATTGGTTCTTTAAGGGAACATCTGCAAACTTGTGCAAATAAACAAATGTTAAAACACACGCTATCTAGAATCGCGAGAGAGAAGATATTTAGAGAGTGTATCGAAGAGATGGCTATTTGCACATCGCGGTTATTAAGACGTTGCAGCCGGAACGGCGAATAGACGTATATAACATTAATAGCCATCCATTTGCGGCGAGCAATTATAAAGATGTGGCGTCTAACGGGGCGTCTACGGAAGGAAGAATAAGGGAAAAAAAGAACGAAGGAAGAGGCTCGTTAAACACTTTGAGTCCATATCATCGCTATATGGTGCGCGTATAGAGCGTGAAATACTAACAAGCGGTCATCATCAAACAATAGAAACTGGAACGAAGAGAGAACACCAGTACTGGCGATCAAAGCTTCTTAACTTCAATATCGCAGTAAGCTAGTCGAATATTTTCTGTGTTTTTTAGCATATGGAAATTTGCCTACTACAAAGGACGACCGAAATAATAGAAGCAGCGAAAATAATTTTACGCTTTTGTATTTTGTTATCGAACTTTTAAATTATTGATGAAAAAAAAAATATTTTTTTGTGTGTATAAAAATGTGATTATCCTACAAACGTAAACGTTTCACGTAAAACCAAGTTGCTATTTTCTCTCGAAATAATAAAAGCCATTCACGGGAGAAAAATGCACGGTGAAAAAAAAAGAGATTAAAATTTTTTAATTATAATCTCATTTGAAAATATATAATCAAAATATAATTAATATAATAATTTGATTATCATGTCGAAGCCGTTGTAAAGTAAATTTGCCGGATACGGATCTGAAATGTTACGTAACGACGATGCATATTTTAAGAGTGCGAAAGTATAAGAAGAGAAATTTTATGTTAACAGAAATGGAACGAGAGAGAGAAGCCGCTATATACGCGATAAGTTCCGCTGTAAGTGCCATTAAAAATTCTAACCGCGACGAACAGAAATTCTCATTTCGCGCGACGATAAGGCGGAGAAGCACTTTCTAAATCCCGCGTCCTGTCTCCGTGCCCGACGCTGATAATAACAATAATGGATGCCCTCATCTGCAATTACAATAAGCAGTTAGCGGGCAATAAATCACAAGAAGCGAAGTCCGCCCGCGATGAAATCTTTCTTTTCGCACATCTCGCGAGATAAGGAAACTTCGTTCCCGACAATTCCGGTGCACGTCCTCCGGAAGTTAACGTGACGAGGAAGAGGAAGGTTGTGCAACCCGAAGACCGACTATTTAATTAGTATCTTCGAGAAACGCGAATAAAGAATCTCTATCGCCAGATGACAATTCACCTTTTCGAGTTAATACACAAGACGAATCTCGATAATTAGTTTTTATAAGAAGCGACCAGACCCTCTCTCGAGAGCTTGGAAGGAAATAGGAAGTCGTCCACTCTTTGCGAAACTTTAGTATACGGTTGTTGCCGGTCGCGGTTGCGGCGAATGTTATAATTTGATAAATGAGTCGATATCGGATGCTCGTTATCGGATGTATCTATCAACAGTAGTTACTTCGGTGGTTCTAAACTTTCCAAGAACTCGATTTTGCCGGAGGTCGTCGCCTTTGAATTTTTCATTCGGTCAAGATAAGATACAGTATACGATATAGCGTCGATATTTCTAAGTATATCCACAAGTCTTTCCATTATGGAGAATTATATGTAAAAAAGTTGTTTTTTAAAATAAAAATCAATCGATTAATGAAAAACACGTAGCTTCTATATATGTGATTTATGTAAATTATAAATAATTCTTCTTGGTAAGTTTAGAACCGCCGAATAATAATTTGAGAGCGAATAGAATATTCTTAACATTGTAAATTATAAATATTCAATATCTCCGAAGTATTCTAATTCACTATCGGATTCTGACATCGATAATGGAGAAATAATTCTGATTAAATTTAAATAATTGATACATATATTTTCGGAACACTGTCGTTTAGTTGTGTTTTTGAATTATACGCAAATTTAAATTATATACGTGTTTATCGAGTACAATAGTTTCTTCAATTTTCAAATATTTTATATAATTTTTTTTAACAGTAGCATACATTATATAAAAATGTCATTCGATTCGAAAAGCTTAAATTCTGTCTTTACCACAAGATGGCCATATCATTACATTTCTTCGATGGAAGTAAAACGGGTTGCTGTTCGATAGGAAATCTTTTACAGAAGTTGAGATGATTGATTATTTCGTATGCTTATTATAAATTTTTATTATCATTTTTTCTGTGATAATCTACGTATTTTTAAATTATCGTCAATCGATTTTTAATATAAAATCTTATATGATTTTAAAAATGTTTAAACGTGTATATTTTATATGTATGTTTAAAATAGATTACAACTAAATAACTAATCCAACTTCCTCTAACTAAAACTTTAATTCAATTTTCAATATTGGAAATCAATTTTGTGAAAACCAGTTTGTTAAGCATTGAGATAAATTGAAATAATTTGGTGGAAATCGATTTATTAAATCTTTATACATGTCAATTTTCATTAAGTATAACTGTAGTATAAAAATAATTAATTTACATACCTACGATCGTTAATGAATAACAAAGAAGTCATCGAGTAAGCTCGAGTTATTACGCAAGACAATAATATAGGAGCTTCTTTCGTAAGCGTGGTTAAAATTTTAATTAACAACAAGAAATATTATATAATATATAATATTACATAATGGTATATATATATAAAAATATATATACTATTTTTCATCCTAATTATTACAAACAACATGTTTGCTCGATGATGCGCAATACTATAATATATTCTATTCTATTACCAAATAATTATATGACTGCTACTCCGATTGTGTGTGCGAATAATTAAGGGTAATAAGTACAGCACCTGTGCATTTCGAAAATTACGACTTGAAAATGCACCAGTTGTGTAAAAAATTTCAAAATAAATAATAAATCCGACGAAAAGCAATATATTTAATAATGAGAAAATAGATGTAAAAAGAATTGAACGATTATTTGTTTAAGTATAGGTACATGATATTATTTTTTAAGCATGAATCAAGTTAATGATATTTTTTTCAAGTCGTAATATGTGCTCGTATATGTATATTATATATACAAAAGCATCTTTTGTACGTAAAATATATTATATTTGCTGATATATTATCCGATTTATATATACGTCACGCATGACATAATCTGAATCCGCGATTAAGAATAATAATAGTACTGGGAATAAAAAACAAAATACGTACTGTAATAATCATAGAGCGGGATAAATACGTCGGTGTAAAGGGAACTTTATGATGAAAATTGTTTACGAGACGGAATCGCAGATCGTAATAATTTATTTGATTACGTTACGTAAGAAGCGCGTTACGTAACCGCGAGGAGAAGATCATTATATAGAAATATCGACTCGGTAGATGATACAAGCACGATCGTTTGAACTGTGTGTTCCACAAATACCGGGTGTTGAAAAAATGGCGTATCGCTTAAGATACGAAGGGATACCCTGTTCGACTCGAGGGCCTCTTTCGAAAGAAAGACGTCTTTAGGAAGATACTGCTGTGCACATAGTTAATTTTCTATTAAACGGTTATCTCCAAGTCGTAAGCCTATTGTTAGACTCGAGGTAGCGTGTCAGAGCTCGGAATTGCATGCCGTGTCGTCTTTATCCGCGCGCGCGCGACCTAAAAGTAGTCCTTAAAGACTCGGCGTAAAACGTCACTGTGCTTTCACCATTGTCTCTCTTCGCATCCTCTATATACTCTCTTTTCCCTCTTTCTCGGTTCACGACAGCGTCGATAGTTGATCGTTAATGGCCGAATGTACTTTCCGGGAGACGCTCCCGGATCGTTGTTTCTGCAAGGACAGGACGAGCTGTCGATACGACAAAAACGAGACGTTCTCTCGAAATCGTAAAACTTGTTGACGTCGTCTCGTCGCGCGCGATAAGCGTTCACCTTATTCGCGAATATTTTCTACGTTCTCTCCCTTTCGTCTTAACGAAACTCCCGGATATCCTCGTAACGATTTTCCACGACATAGGGCGGAGGAAATTTCCGGGACAAAAATTTCCGAAACGACTGCACGTCTCAAGAGCGAGAGAATCGGGCTTTCTCAATTCCTCTTGCTCGAATTGATGAGATATTTGCAGCAGTGCGTGAGCAGATGCTTCTCGCCGGTGACGTCATGCTGAGCGACAGGCGAGGCCGTGGATTCCCTGGTGTAGACGTCCAGACCGTATTGGCCCTCCTCGGGGAAGCTTATGGAGAAGGTGACCACGTCGTCGTCGGCGATGGAATGCGTCACGTACTTTGACAGACGTTTCTCCTCGATGCCGTTCTTGTGCAGGGTCGCCATAAAGTCCGTCAACGGCCTCGACATGCGAAATTGAATCTCCAGCTCGCGCCCGGCGAACACCAGAGCCTCCTAAAATCGATAGATCGTAAACCGATAGTTCCTTTGACAGATAAGATCGCAAGATATTTTCCTCGACAATTTTTCTTTTCTTTTTTTTTAACTCTTGACGCTTTTCGAAAGAATGAACAAATTTTTGATATGACCCTTGCTTCATATAAAATATATATAACAAATTATCTTGAAAAGTTCTATACAATTTATAGAGAACTTTTTCTTCTCTCTCATTCTTCATGACATTTTTTCCAAGTGATTCTCATTGAAGAAAATATTTTTAGGAAATTTTAATACTACATATTGTCATCGATGCCCATATTTGCAAGGTAGAAATTTAGACGTATCTTTGAGCCACCCTGTATCTTCAACTCTGATATCGATCTTGCACAGCTTTTGCTCTAAATTAATTATAAGCAAAGCGATTTAACTAGACCTACCTGATGAGTGATGGGTATAAGCCCAAACAATCTGGTGGCTTTGGTGGGGCCCCATTCACCACTGGCGCAATCCGGCAATGGTACCATCACCGTCTGCAGCTCCTCGCACGCGATTTTGAATTTGCAGACGCTCTTAAATTTCATCGGCTCCCCGGTCAAGTACTCCTTCGGCGTTACCGCGTTGGCAAATATGTCCAAAAGAAAGGCCCCGGAACAAGGCGCGTGAACTCGGAACGCGACTATATTTCCCACGACCGACTGTAGAAATTTCAAGATTTAAGATTTATATTTATTTTTTTTGATTTATTTATATTTAAGATTTAGAATTTACTTCAAAATGAAAAATATACCGCATTATTTTCTGATCTTATAAATTAACACAAATATACATCATAAAATAGTATTAATATAAAAATGATGATTTCCAAAAGAATACATTGCAACAAATATTTAATTACTCGAAAAGAGATTCTAAACCGTATATAAATCCGAAGATAATTTGTAAAAATATTTGACTTGTTTTCTGAAATTCTGATTACCTCCCGCGATTTCGAAATGCGCGAGATAAATGACGACGCAAACGTGCAGGAGGATTCGCGGATGCTGAATTTACCTGCATGACAAAACGCTTGAGCGACACGCCGTCGTAGCCATCGCCGTCGTTGTCGTAGAACTTGAGATTGTAATGAAAGATAAGGGATGATTGCATATGCGCCGGCATCGCTATCCTCACGGTTGCGGCGCCGGTGGAATCCGTGTACATAACGGCATTTGTATTCGTATCCGGAAAGTAGAGGCCGTACCTGTAGGCGCAGAATTTATCCGAACGGTATTCTCTCCTGTGCAACAGCTCTGTTACGCCGAGAGAAGTCTCTATTGTTAATAGAGACTTCTCTCGGCGCGAAGTCATCGCGAAATCATCGGGATTTAATTGCGTATTCTAACGGCCTTCGCTTTAATCGAAGGATTTCATATGCCGTCGAGACTAGTTGCTATAATAAAGCCGTTTGCCTCACTTGGTCAATTTAAATCTGATTAATGAAGAGAGTGTCTAATCGTGACACTGAAGAGTTCCCAAGTGATCTGTGTCATAAATGCAACGATAGAAGATCTTACCTGAAGAATAGGGAACGCACGAAGGGCAGCTCCTCAAAGTCTTTGAGCGAAATCGGTTGTTTGAGCAATTGCCAGTCCTCTTGCAGCGGGAAGAACTCGTATATAAACTCCCGGGGATCCGTCAGGAAGTAATGATCATCGTACTCGTACCTAAGTAAAACCCAGATTAAACTCTGTTGTAATTATTGGCTGATCGCGGTAGAAAATGGGCCTACCTGAGACTGTCGTTCTTGGCTTTCGCCTGGCCGGGACGAGGAACCTCTTTGGCATTGACAAGGTGTCGCGCCCCCCAATTGCACTGGACGAATCGCCAAGCACCTGCCACGTACACGGCGTTCCAGCTGTTCCGGAATCGATTGTCCTCGAAGCAAACGCCCGGCTGATAGCCCGCCGACTTGCTGTAACCCTTGATGACCACGCAGTGCAAGCCCGCGTAACTGTATCAGAACGATACGACGCTATTTAGATCGTCGCCTTTTTACGGATGTATAAAATGTACATATATATAGTATATATATTTTTATACGCTCGTAAAAAAAATATATATATATAGCCAATAAGTTTGCGGAACAGCGATATCTGTCGATTTATTTTTATAAACGTTGCACGCGCGTTTTACGAGTCGCATATATAAACTGACGCGATATAAGTCGGTAAAAGTAAAATAAATCCTGCATATCAACTTCCATTTATGATTACATCGACGTGACATTCTATTTAGATTTTCCTCTCTTTCTTCGTGAAAAGCTTGACTATAAAATTTTTATTTTCGTGGAAAAAGAGTAACCAGATTTTTTACAAATATTTTTAACAATTCTCTGCATTTTTCATGTATCTAAAAGTATGACTTGTATCGTCTGTCTCTTTCGCCAACAAATATATATATATATATATAACTGGCATGTTAAATATAATACAAAACTGCATGGGTATGTATTCTTGATACGTTTGCAAAGTGAAGCTTATTCTCTCTCACTCTCTAACCGTCTATTTCCTGCATATGCAAAAATCATATTCGTCATATGTTACCTGCACAGTCGTTTGAATAGAACGTGATAGCTTTCCGTGCCGTGTTTGATGCCCCTCAACAGACCCATGGGAGTGTCGCCTCGTAAGTTCTCGTCGAACTGCATAGTGTTGAGATTCTTCACGGTGATCCACCGGAATATTGTCCTCGCCTTTTCTATGTCCGAGCCGCATCTGCTCACCAACTGTCGCACCAGATCGGTGAACGTTTTCTGATCTTCTTGCGCTACCTACGAATAACATCGATATCGTAAATCAGCGAGTATATCAACGAACGAGCATCTTATGAAAGCCGCGTCGATAAAATATGGATATTACCCGGTTCAATATTTTCCGGCTCACAATAGAAGAGAGCGGAGCGAAAAATCGAAAATATTAGTCAAAGTGGATCTTTTAACCGCAATTATATATTAAAACTTGTCGATCGGTCGAAATAAATTACTATAATATACAGGTTGAGAAAAAAAATTCCGGATCCCTGAAATATCTCTCGGAAGGAGCGAGATATAGAAAGAAATGTTAAATATAAAAATTGTAGTTACGGGATATTTTATACTTGATAAAATTATGTCACATATTTAAATTACAAAATGGCAAACTATTCACTTTTTCTACAATCCTTATTAACTTTTAATGCAACATATTACGAGGAATCGATTTCTGATGGTTCTATTTAAAAGACTAAAGTTGACCTTGAAATGACCCTTGAATGTGTCCTCTAGGTCAAAGTCAAGGTCAAGTGCCCCGTTTTGAGTCCTACAATTTTTATATTTAAATTAGTCTCCAACATCTGTGTACCAATTGCTTCCAAAAGAAACTAGAATATACAAAATAGAAGCGAGAGAGGTCGCTCCGCGATCTCCATCGCGAAAAGCTTGTTTCGGGTCTCTGAGGGAGAAGAAAGGCTTGAAGGCGCGCGCTAAAGAATTTTCGCAGCGAAATAGCTTTACCGAAATAGCTATCTGATCCATGTCAGCGAACTCCAGAGGATCATTGTAGATGTGGTATTTGGCCAGGGCTGGTGGCTGCGGAGGTGGCGCGCGCGACGGATAAGGCGGAGGCGGCGCTTCCTGGATATAACCGTCTCCTTCGTCGAGATATAAACTCTCCTGGAGCATGTACTCGCTTCTCGCCTCGTTGATCAGCTCCAGCATCTCCGAGCTCTGTTTCTCCACCAGGGCGGCGGTCGCCGCTCTATATAAATTGATCAAGAGTAACAGCTTTTGTTCCGGAAGCTCGGGCTTTCCTGGTGCGCGGACTTGTTTATCGTTTCCGGGGAGAAAAAAGAAGCGCGCGTTAAACGCGCGTGATTTTTCGCTAAATTCTTCTTCGTATAGCGAAAAGTAGAATCGATATCAACGTAATCCCGTTCGAGAGATTGCGCGGACTATTATTAATCGCGTAATAAATTTCGAGTACTTTGCGCGAATTATTTCATAAAATATTGAAAAGCTGCGTGTATCGGATTACAAATGCAAAACTAAAATAAAGTGTTGATAATTCTTCAATTTATACAGCTTTAATATCGTTATCGTAATTTCACATTGCACGTATGAAAATTTTATTAACATAAATATGTCATTTTTATCGATCACACTTTCTCTCTAAACTCGGAAAGATTTATACATTGTTTACTGTAGTCAATTATGATGATCCGCGATGTGCAAGCGCTACCTGCCCGATTTAAAAGCAAGATGTAGTATCGCGTTAATTACATAATAAATACCTCTCGTGCTCCAACATCTTGCGCGTGAGACTTTCCTTCTTCTTGTCCCTGCGTAGAGTCATGTTCTTCTCCAAGTCTTCCTTCTCCTGCTGAAATTGTTGGGTTCGAACTCTTCCGCCTTTTTCCCGTTCCCATCTCGCTGACAATTGTTCCAGCTCCTTCTCCCACTCGTCCTTTTTAAATCGTACATGATACGTTAACAATTTTTTTTTAACGCAGACACATCATTCTCATAAATAACAAAAAATTATATATTAGTATAATAACAAAAATAATAAATCGCATTATTTTTCTTAGAATTGTATTCATTACGTACTCGGAATTCTTCGCGGATCCGTCTGTCCTCTTCCTCGCGATGGTGCGCAAACTTCCGGTATAAATCATCCTCTTCTTTCCGGTGTTTCATCTCGAGACGCGTCTGCTCATCGCGATCCTGGTAAAAGCAAGGTAGAAAAAAAGATGTAATAAACACTCGATTCTTTTTATTTTTTAACTCGTAATTGATATAACGCGAATTGAATAATTGAGCGTAATTGGTCGCATTTTTATTTCAAAAAGTTTTATCGCGATTGTATTGTAGAAAATGTTAAATATATTATCGCAATATGTGTGGATAAATGCTATGATTTTATTATAAAGTAGAATTTATTCTATTAAATAAAACAAAAAATATATATTTTAATTAATAGAATACATTTTATTATAAAATAATTAATATTTCCGCGATAAATATAATTTTCAAAAGTAAAAAACCCCCTGCATTTCGAAGTTTTGTCATTCTGTAACGTAATTTCGAAAAGCGGATTTTTTGCCGATTAAGGATTAAACCGTCGTTACGTGCCGGGAAACATTCCGCTAATCGTTGCGGAAGGCGGAGTTTGCGGATACACATAGTTGGACGCAATGAAACGTTTCTATTTCTTAAAACGCCCGCAGCAAAACGTTCAGGTCTTAGAGCTAGAATGTACGGAGGTAGGTAGGATAAGGTACTCTACTTTTTGTATAATTTACTTTCACGTCGCGTTTCTGCTTTCATTCACTTCCAACAGAGTCTTCTCGGGGGAACGACAACCCGCCGTCTCTCGTCGACACAAAAGTGAGCTAATCCTCTTCCGGTGTATTTTTTAAAAAATGCCACGTTATTGTGTCTCTTTCTCTCCTTTCTCGCTCGTCCGCAGCCGCGCGACCGGAAATATTGATGTAATGAAAATATAAGCGCAACGTGTTATCGTTGAAAGAAACGAGCATGCTCCTTCGGAATCACGCACAGAGAAAATTTCTCCGATGCAATTTCTCTACAACATACCAATTTCGGAACGGCGGTTTACCGTTGCGCACATAAACGGTTCGCCACAAATAATCGAGATACGATTCAAAGGAGATTGGTTGTAGGACTTTGAGAAATCTATCTTGAGAAGTAAGGTCTCTAGCGCGCGTTTATTATATTACACAATATTCTCTTCTCTAGGTAAAGACTTGGCCCACTCAATGGAATTATGTGACATAACTCTATATGTCACCATGACGCATCTATCTAATTTGAATAAACGTCGCACTAGGCCGAAGCAGGAAAAAAGAGTCGATACTCGTTCAAAATAATCTTACAATAAATGCGTCGATTTAATGCTGATTGCGCGGAAAAGTTGCTAGGGGAGCATAGAAAAACATATATATGAGACTTTCGCGTGTAATTTTTATGATGAGGAAACCTGTTTGTGACATCGTTCAGAATGGCCGGGCGAAACACACCGAGAATTCAGTCCCTGACGTAATTCGAGGCCGCATTTTTCTTCTAATTCGTATTTTCATACGTTATGTTAGAAACAGCTGGAAGTCGGGCGTAACACACGTATTATATTTGGGATAAACCGAGAGAGAGAGAGAGAGAGAACGGCGGGAAGGAACAAATATTATATTAGTCAGATATATATATGCGCGCGGATACGTGTTTCGATTCGCGCTACGCGAGATTCGTTCGCCGCGGTTTGTTCCCCGGGAAATAGGACAACAGCCTTTAATGGATTAATTCTCCCCTAAGCGTTTACGCGCGGAGGCGCGTGAGAGACGCGCGAATACGCTATCCCCGTCGGCTCTTTCCGCGGGCCCGGCAACGATTCTCTAATTAGCCATCAAGTGCAGGAGTACCGCAAGCGGAAATAATTCCTGCTTCCAGCCTTCTCTCTCTCTCTCGTTTCCACCCCGTGTTTCGCGAACGCGAGGCCTTCCTTCGCGTGCACGTCCTGTGCGCGCCCGGTTTCGCGTATACGAGGGAAAATAAGACGACGTGGGCTATACATATATATGTAGTATATATATATATATATATATATATATATATATATATATACACGCGTTCTTCTTCCGTGGCAACGATTTGAATAATCGCGAACGACGACGCGCGTTATATATTTCCACCACGTCTCTGGGAATTTGCGTGCGATACCGCGAGGAAGTTTGCTCCGAAAAAAAGTCTTGCAAAGTTCTGAATTTTTAGGGGTGTCGTATACTTTGATCGATCGAATAATTGTATTAGAGGTTCTTAAAAGTGTCAACATTTTTTTTTCTATTTTTAGTCGGCTCATATTTTCGTCAAGCTTGTACACGGAGAGAATTTTCTCTTGGAATTTCAGGGTGTCTTTAGCGGTCAGGGAAATCCGGAAACCGGGCATTGTCAGGGAAATTTGACTGTTTATCTGGATTTTTTCACATTATTCTACATTTGTCTCAATAATTTGAAATTTTTTATTAAATAAATATAAACTTTTCCTTGACTGCTAGCACGCTAATTTTCTGTGTTGTTAAAAATCGATTCATCTACAGCGTATTTGTTAATTTATATTTTCATTGTCGTGTTATTTTATTTCAATGTGTTTAATAGAGATACAACTAAAAAATTGATATAAATAAAATAGGTGATTATTTAAATAGTTTATAGTGTCATGTTTGTTTCGATTATCGTATACATAATGCAGATTGTATAATTGATTTTAAATTTTTGTTTTTTTAACTTTCGAACCTTTATTGTTGACAAAAATATCTCGAGAATTTCATGATTTAACATATATATTTGGAAAAAATAACACTAAAAAGTCAGGGAAAAATTTAATTTCTAGTCTTGAAAAATCTGAAAAACTCAGGGAATTTTTTTCATCGAGTCTATGCTGGACATCCTGAAATTACCCTGAAAACCATGATAATCGTGGGACCATATGGAATTTTATAAGAGTTTCTTTCTTAATATTTACCCCAATAAGATATAAAATATATTCGATCAATTTTAATATTTTTGATCGTGGTAAATATTAATCGGAGAAACTCTTATTCACGCTTGCCATGATTTTCAGATCGATTCCGCGCTTTAGATTGTTAAACAAACGCGTATATCTATACCCCTAATCAAGTCTCTCCCGCTTATTGCGCATCTCTTATTTGCTCGAATTCGAAAAAGGTTCCACGACGCATCGGAATAATTCCAGTCATTCGATCGTAGTCACGCGCGACGATCTGTCATGCGGATTCCACGGGCCCGCGCTGTTCCGCCAATTAAACGCAATGCCGCTGATCGCCGAGCTGCGTGAGAAGAGGGAGACCATCACGTATGCGATTATCTGATCATTGTGGGCGAAACGCCTCTCTTCGGGGTACGGTTCGCATGTGCGTAGGAGGAGGTGCTGGGCCCCCGCGATACGAAAATACCGGATAAATCACGCCGGCGGATTATTCCGGGAGAGAAAAATCGCGATTGTCTCGCGGCTTAACGAAACGAACGGTGCCCCTCGAGATGACTCGCTACCGCGCGAATTATCATCGCATATAAATTTTCAAAGGACAGGAAATACTTGTGGCCGATTGCCCACACGTCGTCGTCGTCGGCGGCGCTTTCATATTCGCGGGTTAAAAAACGCACGTAGGTTGGCGATAGGTTTCGCGAGAGATACAAGTATATAAATAAGGATCGATCGCGACTCGAATCGGTGCGAGAGAGCACGCATCGGGAGAAAACGCGGCCGATAGTGGAGCGACTAGCGGCTCGGCCTTATTTTACGGCGAGGCGCGCAGCGAATGATGGGAAAAGCGGTAATCTCATTTTCATGTAGAGTTCGTTCGCGCGCGCATTCCTGCATTCGCGCCGCTCGTTTGGACGATTACTCGCGTATGGAAGTCACGCTGCGAGCGAGACGCGGAATCCGTATGTATAACCCACGTCGAATATCGGATTCCCCGGGCGAATCGGAAATCCGCGGTTTTCGGGAATCTTGCGGTTTTAGCAACTCGAAATCGAGATCGTCCCCGAAGAGTATAGTAAAGTTCGCATCGTCCCGTCCACGATTTGTTCCAGGGGAATTTGATGGTGACTTTTTTATATTTCTTTAATGCAAAATATTTTTTATTTTATTTCAATGGCGAGTGAAATTATACTTGAACGTTTTCCCATACTGCATTTAAATTGATTATATTCCTATCAAATAAAAAAATATATTTTTTTATAAATAGAATATATGAGAGAGATAAATAATATATAAATTACGTTGCAATTAAATTAATATCGACGCGAATTGCTCGAGAAAAGATGTTGGCCAACACCAGAGTTTTGCAAGTTTTGCGATAAGTCGGAAAAGAAATTATGTATCTCTTTACACACGCCATTGATCTGGATTTTATTACTACGGAAGTACTTGGAGCAGCCTATTGTGCGTATTTTCGCTCATGCACACAATGCACATGTTCCCTTGCGCCTGTTTACCCGGTTCAGGAAGAAGCTAATAATCAGCAGGCGGTATACTCGCGTAAAAAAGTCAATTACTACATCGCCATTGTTTGCTTCTTTACGCACTTCAAAATTATCATTGCTAATTCGCGTTATTAATTAATGATCGTTGCAGACTTCTCCTCTGGGGCGACGACTGTTGCAGCTGTTTGCCGCAATAGTCTTCATATATGCGAGATTTTAATTTTTATTAGAATTAGACAATGATTTATACAGTTTAAATATAATATAATGTTGGAATTTCTCGAAATAATTTTTTCGTTCTTTTCATTTAAAAATTGTATCTATTATAGATATAAAAGATGATTGTACTTATTGGAGATATTTTGCACTCTTTAATAATTATCATTTGTACTTTTTCCGGAATTTCGTCTATACGCAAGCAAAATTATTTCAAAACTTTTTTTTATTTTGTTGCTTTCGTTAATTTTCTCAGAATTTTTCCTTTTTTTATTTCGAAACATAATTTACACACCTAAAGAGGAAAAGACAAAAATAAAAGTATATAATATCTATCTTGAAGTAAAAGATTACACAAAATCTCACAATTTAATTCAATTTTTTATAAAAATTACCAAAAACTACATTAAGAAAGGAAATCCATAGGAAATCCAAATAATCCTCTTTGGATAAAAATTGAATAACTGCTCGAGACTCAGTGACTCGGATTAGAAATAGACGACTTGAAAAGTGTCTCGCAATGATTAAAAAGACAATTAGCGTGTCTTTTAGAGTATACGAAATGTGTTTTTCTGGTTACAACACACGTAGCAATCCGCAATCCGTATCGGTGTCTCTCCCCTCGTAAAAACACACATCTTACAATCTCTCTTTTCCACGCGGAGGAAAAGCTTTTTCCGGTTCTCCGCGGAAATTGCGTGTGTGTGTCCGCCAGCGTAAAACGAAGAGAGAGAGATAGAGAGAGAACATAGTAACGCTCTCGTCCTTATACGGCGACGAGCATGACGGAGAGGAGAGATTGCATATGAACATCGAACGCAACGCCAACATCGTGACTCACCAGATAATAATCGATGGGTTTCTCGCGGGCCTTGCTGTAGCCCTTCTGCAGCTCGGTCTGCTTGAGCGCATGGGCGATGTGAAGGGCGCTCGCGTCGAACCTGCCGTACTGATAGCTGCCGTCTCCGGAATAATTGTGATTGTACGGCGAGGATGCGCCCCCGATGCCGCCGTCGCGCTGGGACGACGACGTGGTGTTCGTCGCCGGCGGCGAGCCGTGCCCGTTCAGGTGCCTGGCATAATTAGGCGAGTCTACATTATCGTAACTGCAACAGAAGCGTGCACACGGGTCTTCAGGGGATTGCGAGGGGGATTTTCAACCCGGGAGTAGTGCAGGAAAAAACATTCTTCCAAGTTATATCGGAACCGACGAGAAAAATCATCTAAGATGATCCTCTTAATTTAAGAAATTTCTATAAATTTTAGTATATTTTTTTCTGAAAATATAAGAATAAATTAAGAGGATCCTCTTCACTATTTTTCGATATTATGGAAATTATAAGAATTAGCTTTTTAGATGTCAAATATTACAACCTGAAATTTAGTTATCATGCCTAAATTTTAGCTGTAGTAACTAACGGAGAATGTTATAGCTAAAACATATTAGCTGGCATAGCTAAATTTTGGCATGATAACTAAATTTCGTATGTAATATATATGAACAGCTAAAATTTAGCTATGACAGCTAATTCTTTTTTCGTGATTGAGGAAATAATCGAAAGATATTGAAAATAATGAGTACTATTTTTGATGAGAAGAGAGTTGCTCCCTTCAGTATTTAATGAAAATTTTATGAAACTTTAAATTAGAGAATTTATATATAGGGCGAATATAATTTTCAAGAAGGTGGATTCGGTAGCGAAGAGACAATTTGGATCATTAATCTTTTAATACAAAACTGGCACATCGCATTCGTTAGTTTAGCTCTCGAGATAAGAATTTTCCATATTCCCAGTTAGCGGAAAGTCTCCCGATAGTAATTCTCATGCAAATCGAAAATAGTCTTGCCACTCCAAGCTCGAAAGTTTTAATCAAAATCCCGTTCTCGATATTATAGGTTTGTTCCGAAAAATTCACCAAATATCATCAAAGCAAAGATCACCTCCAGGGATCATCGTCTCGACAATTGATCGATCAAATCGACGAGGATAAAAGCGAGACACTGGTGTCCTTGATACGTAAGCTAACGTCGCTCGTTACACGACGATGCCGGAAAAGAATCCAGGTCGACGCCGTCGTCCGTGGATTATGTTAACCCACATATCCTCGCAACACAATCGCCTCTCTTCCCCCGCCTCAAATCCCCCCTTTCCCACCCGCGTGTGCGAGCTTGACCCATAATTCCGGATAACTATAATGGACGCAATTACTCACCGACGCGACGCAGCGTTGCAATTAGCGTCGCGGTTAAGTTCAACGGGTTGCAGTAAGAATCTCACCAAGATACGTTTGTGAGAATTTAGCGTATATATATATATATATATATATATATATATATATCGTTTAAATGAATGTGTTACACCTCTCGTGCGGCTTCTCTCGGGTTCATTCACTCACGCAATGGAGAACCTACGCTCTCTCGTCTCTCTTTCCTTTCCCTTCTCTTTTTTTCTCTCTCTCTCTCGATTTCTGCTCTTTTATCGTGATCATCGAGCCACGAAAAGCAGATACAAGAAACAACATCGGACTTTAGCTAAATCGGCGGATCGGTAATTCGCCGGTCGAGCGAGGAATCGCAGAGAATCTCCAGGCAGCCTTTTTAAAATGCAAAGGTGGAACAATGTGTGGAAAGAAATGTAGGTATACGAACGCGTGATATGATATAATGAAAGAAATAAAATCCTCCATGTACTTATCTCACTGCTGTGCCTGCAAGCGACTCGCGCGTTACTTTAATAAATTAAAAAATTACAAATAAAAGTAAAGAGACGCACAAATGTGTACAACAATGAAAGAAATAAAAGCTGCATAAAATTGTTGCTCCTTAGCGTCTGCGAGCTACTTTCATATAACATCGTATCTATTTTTATGTAAAGAAATTTAAAGAAAATTATTAATATTTTTTTTTTAAATTACTCGAAATAATTGATAAAAAAATGATTGATTGAAAAAAAAGATTTGAAAATCCGAAAGAAAGCCACGTCGGGAAGAAACTCCTCGCGTAACGCATACGCGCGCATGTAGGCGCGACTTTTACGAAGCACGGTGGCCATAAAAAGGCATACAAAAGACACAGTGCGTGCGCGAATGTGTTGCATTGAATGAAGGATGTTAAAACGGGCGACAGACGGACGATCGAGATATACCGATGATTCTTAAGAGATCCCAGAGATACGCGACTGCGACGGTCTTTATATGTATAGTATACCTATACGCTCGCTAAGGCATGCATTCTCTATGAACGCGAAGATGCGCAATAATGCACGGTTATACAGACACGAGTTTATACATACAAGACGGTAGAGAGTGCAGCGCACTTCTTGCAACACCGCGACTAGTTTACTTAATCAAGTTATCGAACCTCGCGATCTCGCGATTTCTATTACACTAGACAGATTGGGATCAGATTGATTTGCCGATAACACAAATCTAGAGACATTGGATTTTTAATGTATTTTTTCTAATTTTTTATATTTAAGATTAATTCTATGCTACGAATCTAATTTTTTTCTCTCTCTTAAATAAATGTAAAAATTTCTCAATTTTATACTGACAGCTTCGTAATGATTTTATAAGAATTCGCGTCTCTCCTATTTTAAATATTATTTTTATATGAAAATGATTTTTCAAATTTTCTTGCTTTTCGATTCTGATTCCTTCTGTCAGTAAAATATTCTTATATAAGTACAAGTGCAATATTTAATAAAAGTTTTGTAATAATGTTATACGATCACAGATTAACACAGTCTCTACAGAAATAAGCTCGTTGGCATTCAAATTAAAGACCGAGTAATGCAGTACTCGGTCAACTACTGAGGCTTTATTCGCTAAGATTTTGTCGGATTAAGGACGACGTAATTTTGTTATATAACATAAGTGAGATCTTTAAAGTAGAAACCCGTAAGATGACACAGAACCGAGGAATGGAATGCATATACAATGACTAATAATTTCTACGAAACTGTGTTGGCGTCAAGCAATTAATTTACTCGCTAGCAGTAAAACCAGCAAGCAATAAAATAATCTTGGAATTTTATTCCGTGTAAACCCGTAAATAATTAAAAAAATATGATATATAAATATCAAAAGCTTGTGCCATTAATTTTACGGAAATATTTAAATTTATTTCCAATATATCTTACTATTAAAGTTTCATATCTCGAGTTTTTTATCAAATATAATTTTCCATCGATCAAAAAGTAAAATATATTCTACCAAGGTTATGAAGAAACGGTTTCCATGAATAAAAAACTTGTTGGTTACACTCGTATATATATATTTCGTGCGAAACACGATTTCGAGACGTCGTGTAATTATTTCCAGCAGCGTTCGATCTCGATCGGACTCGACGAAGGGAAAGTGGAGAAATTAGACGTAAGTTCTGCCAAGCGTGCCCTCTCGGCGTATTGTATCCCTATAATATCGAAAACACGAACATTGAAAATTTTCGTTCGACGTTTTTTCGCGCGAAAGCAAGCTCGACGAGAAAAGATCGAAGGTCCGCGAGAACATCGAGAGAGAGAAGAAGAGATGTTTTTCCGCGAGATTATATCTTCTCTAAACGACATATAGAAGAGATATATTTTGGGCCACAGAGGGATGCAAGGATATGGCGCGTGCGTTGCAAAATATCGCATTGTTCTTTAAATATAGGAAATTGAGATGAAGAGCCTAGCTTCTCTCCCGTCCATTTACGATTCAAATGAGCCCATTTCTGAGAGCATTACGTATTTAAATCTATGCAGCGTCCTACAAACTTGAATGACTCGAGAGTATTATTTGCCGAAAGAAAACAGATGCGTTCACGCGAGCGGCATTTATTAAAGAGCTATTACGCTGACATTTGTTATCTTAGGATAGCACCGAAATTACTTTTAACGTTCCCACGAAGACAATAACTCTCATAGATACATACTGTTATTTTACATTTCAGATATAATAACGGTAATTTGTTTGAGGGAAAGGACGCGCGGCCTTCCAACTCGAGTTTATTAAAACATTTAATTTTCAATATCTCGAATTCCATTATATCTCGAGTATTTCGTCATTTTTTCGTTGACATTTCCTCTTTCGATCGCGTCAATCGGATAAGAGAGAAAAAAAGGAGATATTCTACAATCGAATGATTGAAAGAAATAGGAAAACCGAGCAAATGAAACGGAATTGAAAGCTCTAATTAAATCTGTAATTATTCAAGACTTTCGATTGGAGAGACGAGATAGAGACACTCGAGAAAGTAACATGCATTTTAATAACACACGGCACGGCCGATATATCACGGAATTTTTCGTGAATTAAATTAATTACCCGATATTATTATTGCAATGCAGGAGTGTTGTGGAATTAATTTATCTTCTCGCTGTTGCGATAAGAAGATAGAAAGTGAAGAGAGATTTTCAGAGATCCCGTGCGTGCAAACCCAAGTTAATACTGCGATAATAAGAAAAAAAAAACCAGAACTCACCATGGTGGATAGACGCCGCGAGGTGAAGCACCTCCAGCCCTGATCTGCTCGTTGACGTAACCGCTTCTAGGTACATTAAGGGCACTCCGAATGCCCACACTGGACCCGTCCAGGGTCCCGGGTCCCGGTTTGGGCACGTGACTGCTGCAGTAAACCTCCTTGTCGTTGATCGTGTGCTGATTGTTGTAGTAGGTCTTCAGGGTGAGCTTGGTACCGCAGATCGCGCACTTGAAGCAACCCGCGTGGAAGAACGTAAAGTCCTTTAGGGGACCCACCCTGTCCACCTGGTAGACGGTCTGAGCGCATCTCAGACACGTGCTCTCGTAAAAGTTCGGCCGATACATGACGATGTAATCCGTTTGTCCGAGAGAGAGGACCACTTCTCGTTCACGAACTCTCTCGCACTCCTCTGCGAGACTCCGTCGTCCTTTGATCACCGCTCGCTACGATCTCGCACGGCGCAGTGTTTCGCTCTCGATGCGTGCGACCTTGGGAATTAAAGGCCTCGATCAGGGAATAGAGAAATTACCTCTCACCACCGAGATATAAGGCGACGCCGGCGCGAGACAAATAACTGGGCATTAGAGGCTGTTAGAGATTGACGCATGACTCACCTAGCCTAACCATTCTTTTCGAATTTCTCTCTTTGATTTTTCTTCGAAAGAAAGCCTCGATTGATTGCAATTTGTAACATTTAATTTCTAATTTATTCGATGAGCTAATTTATTGTCACGTGTTTTTAATGTGTGTCAAGGGAAAAATCATAGAAAAAGATTATTTTCATCGTCGTAAAATATTATTAAAATACAGAAGAATGTGGATCTAAATATTAAGCTTTAGAGAAATAATAAATGTACAGAGAAAATTTTATAAGAGTTTCTCTGATTAATCTTTACCACTATATAAAAATATTAATATCTACCTGAATAAAATATAAAAAATATATATGTTCGATTAATTTTACCATGTACATATGTACACATTAATATTTTTTATTGTAAAAAATATTAATCAGAGAAACTCTTACAAAATTCTTCCAATACCATGTTGTCCAACAATTATCATGATTTTCAAGGTAAATTCTAAGAGAAAATTCTTTCCATACTTAAAATAGATACATATATAAAATTTATAAAGAGAATCTATTTAAAATGTCATATACATATATATCTATAAATTTTTAAATCTGTTATTTTTACTCTTACTATTATTGATGGCATGAGACATTTTTACAAGTCGTCCTTGTATAGGTTTAATGATTTCCTTTCCAATACACAGGATATATGAATGTGCGAGATGCCGAAGGTGGAAATCAAACGCACGTAAAGGAATTATACATAAGAATTAGTTTGTAACTGCTGTTAATTATACCGGTAGACTTCTCTCTCGGCAGTTGAAACACGCGAGCATATATAATATAGTATTCGCGTTCGTTTTACGCTCCAATTCGACATTGTAGCGAGTTTCTGTAAGTGACCGAATCTCGCATCGTTATCGCATCTCTAGCTGAATTTATTATATGAAATTTCTAACATATTATAATATAATTTATATCGGCGATTATTTGCAGCCAAATGCAACATTATTAATTATTAATTATTTATCTCTTCAGTCGGCGTTTCGTGCCTCGTCGAGTCTCCTTCTGTCTTGTTCATCCTTTCCTGCTCCTTCATGACATTTACATGACACTCACTCGCGAAAACAGGATTAATTATGATCGTGCTGCAATTTACATAGCACACTCGACATTAATCGTACACGGTGCGCGCACTTTATTTGATACTGCAAAGAGAGAACGCGAAAATCACGCTTGCAACGAAGTTAATATTAAGCTAACGATGTCAACGACGACTGTACTTATCAATTAAACGCGACGCTTAAATAAATTCGATTAAAATACCCTCGCGGTATTTTATTGATAACCGAGAAAATTATCGCCAACCTTGGACATCCTGATACCGCGCTCTCGTTAATTACTAGTCAAGACGCGAGTTAATTATTAGTTGAGACGCGATAATCGCGAAAATTAATTATCCACGATGTGACCGACAATCTTTGATCGTTCGTCCAAAGTGGTAATTTATCATTTTCTGGTGTTTGTCGTGATCTATTTTCAATAATAATACGACGACACTGTGAACGAGAAAACAGTCGTATAGAATAAAGAATAATATGCATACCTATGACAGCAAAACAATCGTATACGAACATTACTACGCAACAATAGTATCGCATAAAACAAAAATCGAATATCGTGCAATAGTTTAAAATAACTTTTATCGGCACGCGAAATATTTATAATATATTTCAAAATAAACTCGCGCGAAATATTCCATTTCTTATATTTTTTCAAAATTGATGAATAAACAATATATACCATGAGTTTTCGTTATTTTACTTAATCTTTCAATTTGTGTATTTATTACATCTGTATTTTTCAATCTGAAAATAAATTGGTAAACTGCATTGAAAAAAATTGAGAAAAGATTGGATAAAGAAAACAACAAAGAATCGACCAAAACAATTGTGTATAATAAATCAGAATAAATATCGCAAAGTATTTAACGACGTGCAATGCACAATATATACAATAATGCTATTGTATATATTACACACGTACGATAAGCTTGTTGTCATTCGCGGGGCGAAATTCGAACGAGAAGCAACATGAGAAGAGCCCTATGTGTTACATTATCGTATTATCAAAGTACGAATGATCATATTATCAAAGTTCTTCACATTTAATTAAACATTGTAAGCCAACGCGTGTAATTAATTTTCGCGCTTATCGCGTTTTAACTATAGCAACTCATTTGCATAGTATTGCGCGGTATCAGGTATAAAGTTGCCGATAATAATTTTCGAATTTCTCAGTCATTAACAAAATATCGCGGACCGACTGCGTCAACGCGACGCATTTAATTAATAATATACAGTCGTTATTGATCTTGGTAGTTTAACATATACCTTCGTGTGATTTTTGCGTTCTCTAGTCGCAATATAAAATCAAGTGTACGTCGTGCGCGATTAATATCGGAAGTGCTGTATAAAGTGCCGTGGGATCGTAATTAATCATTTTCGCGATTGAGTGTCACAATGAATTAGCAAAGAGAAAGAGGAGAAAGAAGCCTGACAGAAATTACTGATGACGAAACACTACGTGTGATAATTTTATAATTTTATTAATTCGTTATATATTATTTGTAAAATATTTAATTGCTCGCTCATTTTGACAGTAGCAACTCACTTTTATTATTTTATCATTCTATAAGATAATGTACATAAAAATTCCAAGTTTTTGTTTCAATAATTGAAATATTTTATTATTTAATAAATAAGTTATAATTAATTAATTAATTTTTATTTTTATACGCATATGCAACAAAAATGTTTTATATTTGCTTTCGATTTATGCTTTGCCATAATTATCAGGTTGTGTTTGGAAAATACTGCAGGTTTCTAGATTATATAATATATATCTACATAGAACCTGCATTATTTTCCGAACAACCTAATATTTTTCAGAAATGTCAGCGTAACATTAAATCAGCACACATCCCTATCTTTATTATCAATTTTCTGCCAATTGATATGTTCAATAAATTAGTGATTAGTGATTAGAGAGTAACAAATCAGTAAAAAATTAGCACGTAATTATACATCCGCGTTTGATTTCTCGTGAAGGAAAGAGGGATATGTCAGACAAGATTAAAGTGATCTATTCCGATTTGAGAATGAAGATATGCGAGGCGAGCCTGAATCGCCGACACTTTCCTGCGAAATTTTGCAACACGAATCATTGCTAATATCTCTCGTGGTGGGCGACGAAAGAGGTAAAATTGCAACAGCTTTAATGACCGCGATATGCCTACGGTAACACGTCGGCGAGATTTTCCCACGTATCGTTCAGCTTGAGAGTGCTTAATAGATTTTTCTTTATAAGAGATTCTCAATACCAGTATATATCTGCGAATCAGTTAATCTATCATTTCCGTTTTTTTCCCTATATTAACGCGAGATGATTACATATTATCGATACAATCGTAAGAATAGAAAGTCATAAATGCATTAATATGTAGAAAGTGAATATCACGCGAAATGTCGATATTTTCTGCTTTAAAAAGAAATCATTCCTACTGTACCGTGAAAATTGGTGTTTTTCAAGTATCTTCACTTTCAAAAAGGTTCTTAGTTATCATTTATATGCGAGAACAGTGTACTGCTCAAATTAAGTTAAACGCACTATTTCTTTCATCTATTTGGCCGTAATGCTTTCTAAATCCTTATAATAGAAGGTCATTCGTATTGCAACTATTAGTAATTAAGTGTCATTTGAGATTTTGGGATCTACAAATTATTTCTCCACTTTTTCTTAAATAAATAAAAAATATTCTGACAATGAGTTAACATTAAATTAACGATATGAACAAAATTGTTTCTTTAGACAAACATTCTAATATGTATATTTATATATTGTATAACATAAAAATAAAATGTAAAATTTAGAAAATTGATTTAGACACTACTTACAAAGTAAAATTTAAAAAATTTTTATTGAGAAATAATATTTAAATTTTGAATTTTTAAATTAAAATTATTTATCAAGATTTTTTCTAATCGCTTTGTAAAAAACATTTACTCATAATAAATTCTTCGTGTATGGTGGACAGTGAGAAAAAATGGACAAAAAAATATATCTATTTAGAATGAAAAATAAAAATATTTATATATTATAGTTATATTTTTCCTATTAATTATACATCAGAAATACATTACACGAAATTATAATAAATTAATGTAAAATAAAATAATTTATTTGTATATTAATTAAAATCTCGTTTGAAAAATTTAGTTGCTTTTATGCATCGGAAATAAATATTTGAAATGTGTAAAATTTTAAATAAAATCCATTAAAATCATTATTCTTTTGTCATTGCGTGATGCGTGAATAGTAAAATATTCGAATATTAGTTTCAAACATTTGTATTTATTTTATTTTTCTTTCTACGGGGCTTACGTTTCTCATATTCGCTTTTATTCGTGTTTTATTAAATCAATATTTGAAAAAATACAAGAAATTTGAACTTGAAATAAATTTCAAATATTATTTCAAATAAGAATTTTTTATATACACGGACAATTCCTTAAAAATTTTATTATTCAAGTTAATCAATTTTTGCATTTCATGCATGTATATGTGTATCTCTATGAATTTCACGAATTTAAAAATAAGTATGCGTATATGATATAGTGTTTCCCAACGCATTATTTGATTTAATCGAAACTATTTAAACGACTATTCCCAATGGTCTGCATTTGAAACGTGTCCCACTATCGCGTCGACAAACGATTCGAACAATAGCACTTGCAACACGCTATTAGCAATGCATTCATCAAACGCGACACGTGCCTAGCCTCCGGTTCTCTTTTTCCCTCTCACGCGGAACAGCGAATTGGAATTTTTCGCGGTCAATTGCGAGAGCGAAGGGTCGTTCCCCTCTTTGCAGTTCTAACAAATCTCTGCCCCGACGAAATCGATGCGCATAAGCCGCAGGTGATCGCGATCTCACGATGACGCGCGCCATACCGATGCGATGGAACGTATCAGAAAGTTCCTCTTCCGAAGAGCGAGTGCACGCACACCGCCATATCGGGAGAAAGGATTTTGTACACGTCGCGTCACGGCGCGCGTATATCGCGCTCCTCACACATCGAGGTATGAGCTAATTCTTTGCAAATGAGGCCACGGTGTGCATGACCTGCTCTCGCCCCACTGCGAGATAGTTTGTTACCCCGACGACTCTGTGTACAAAATCTACACGGAGAGAGAATTTTTTAGAATTTAGGTATATCCTGAAGATCTCATGGTAAGTATATGGGGGTATTGGAAGAATTTTATAAGAGTCTCTCTGATTAATATTCTTACCGTGATACAAAATATTAATATCTACCTTGATAAGATATAAAATAGGTTTGATTAATTTTACCATACTACTAAATGCTCTCCGTGTAAATATATTCTCGTAAATGGAATGAACGTATTATTACTGATACACATAGGTTTCAGTTACAAGTACTGCAATGAAATGTTATTAAGAAAAATCAGTTGGTAGTAGTGGCTGTTTCAATCAATGATATTTACAAAAATGCATCTTATAATATTTATGTTAAAGAAATATCTGAGTTTGATTAAAAATCTTGTTCATTTTTTATCTTAAAATTGAAAAAGTGTAATATATAATTCTGAATTCGATGATTATATTTATATATGAAATCTTACTGCCTTATTCGCATACATAAAACGAAGGATCAAAGTGTGTTTTCGCTAAAGATCAGTGACATACTCAGCGATCTTCGGTGAAATCTCGTCGTCTGCTTTAATCAGCGACATTTTCACTGATTCGATTTAAGGATTGCCTGATTTCCGCTAGCGCGGAAACGAGGTAATCGACGTCGGTTGATTTATTCCACTTTTGCATTTTCGCGTATCAAATTTCCCATTATACTCGACGCATAAGTAGACACGATCATTACCATCCGGCTCGAAATACAGCGCTTCATCAACGGGCTAATGTTTATACTTGTTATACCGTTCGCGCGCTGTATATAAGCCCACAGTATCTATCTATGCCCGTAACTGCCGGCGATGAAACTAATAACGCGTAATATTGATTATGACGTAACTGTGTGCCCGATAGCGCTAACAACGTCTCGCATCGAGTTACCGGTGCATATATATATATATATATACAAGAGAGAGTCCTGTTATCCGCCAGTAGAATATAAGTGATAAATTGAACGCGCGTCGCGGTTCGCGCGCGATTCTTTGATATCGTCCCTCGAAACGCAAAAATACTATATTTCAATCGGACGATAAATTTTCATAATGAAATGCTATCCGATTAACGAGTATCTGCCCGGCCGAGAGATCTCGCGCGCGTTCTTTATAACGGAAATTCTCTCAACACGTCTCATTAAACCTATGTGCGTTTTACTTTGCGCGCAGCGGCTTTACGAACCGCGGAAATCGTAAGATTTTCTCGTCAAACTTTATCAGCGCGAGTCATTTTTGCGCGAGCGATCGCAACAGGTGTGGACGGTGACACTCCTCTCCGAGGCTCGATAAACTGATAACAATAGTTGCTCAACTTTACAATATAGTTGCTCAATGTCGAAGGCTTTCGCAACTACAGTTATATTTTATCTCGAAAATAATTTTAATTATTTCATGCCAATTTATTTTTAAGTATCGAAAGCTCTAACGCGTCCTTTTATTCAATTTTGAATGATTTAAATTTGAGACGTGATGGAGCACATCTCTAAGATTATCAATCATCAAAAACACTACAACGAATAATTCCTTCTTTTTCTTATAGATTTTTTTATCATTACTATAAAATGCAAAGAGATTTCAAACGAAAGCTCGATCGAACGAGAAGAGCCACGATAAAAAGGAACGTGTCTAATCCTGCTAGACCTACTTGACAAGTGCCGTACAAGATTATTCTTTGCTTCTAAGATCTATCGAACACAACTGGGAGAAACTTAAAGAGACTGAAGTTTCATTACTTTCCATTCACCTAGATCCGTCCCTGGTCGACTCGCATCCGCGAGAGTCCGCGCCTTGCGTACACCGAGAACGGCGACTCTCCGTGGAATGCGATCGGAGCGGCGCGATTATGGCGAATTGCATAATGCGCCGGAGTGAGAAACGGGCAGTACGCCAAGTGCGATTTAATCGCGTAATATGCGGCGCGTTGCTCCTTTTACAAGTCGTCTTCCGGCGTCATTAATCGCTCGTTAAGTATAAAAAAAATAAAGAAAAATCGCGCCTATCTGCGCACTCATTCGGAACCGAAACCTCTTTTTCGCGCCTTGATTCGGGAAGAAACTCGGCGGCGCGGATGAGCCGAGGAAAGAAAGCTGCTTTTCGGAAAGTATATAAGGAAGAAAGCGAGACGCGTCTCGCGCGAACGTGTAAAAATTATTTACGCACATTCCTCGCGCGCCTCGTCGGTTTATCGCGCGCGATAATGGTCATTCGAATGCCCACCGTGTCCCCATTCTTCGTGGCCCACCTTCTCCTAGGTATTTTACACCCGTCTCGCCACGCACGCACACGACGAACTTTATTATGAGGTAAATCGCGGAGAATGCGGCCGCGATTTGGATATATGCAATTTGGAATGCCGCGTTTTCGCCGGGACGGCGAAATAATAATAAAGGCAAAAAATCTCGTAGAAATATTGCGCGGCGTCATTAATTTTAATGACAATGGCTCGTGTAGATTTTATTGAATTTTTCGAGATTATTTAATCGTCCCCAACGGCACAGAGAATGTTAAAACATTGATATTAAACATCCCCTGGATGTCCTTCAAATATCTTTTGAACATATGTGTATACTGCTACACAAGGAGAATTTTCTCTTTGAATTTATACCCTGAAAATCATGATAATCGTGGGACAATATTGGATATATAAGAGTTTCTCTGATTAATATTTATCACAATTAAAAATATTAGTAATTTTTACTATATACATAAAATTAATCGAACACATTTTATATCTTATTGTGGTAAATATAGGGTGAATTCCAAAAGAAAATTCTCTCACGTGTAGGGATTACGTAATGAAAAAAAATATTCTATATATCATATCTAAAGTATGTGTTTATCCATTATATTGCATCGATATATATATTTATGTAGCGTGAAGGAATTTGTTGCAAAAAAAGATTCACGAAAACGATGTCGCCATTCGTGTCATTCTAATGGATGTAATGTAAATTTAACGAGCGATTTAACATCGATACCGACATCCTCTGTGATCAGGATATTAAAAGTATTTCCGTTTTGTTAATACTAATTAACTTTAATTACAGCTTTGATTAACGGGTAAAAAGTCAATTAAACCGCGTAAAACGCGTGACTGATAAATAACGGTCTTTTAATTTCTTATTTAATTATGAACGTGGAAGCGTATTATTATTCCGATGATTCTGATAAGAGAAATCTTTCGAATTTTCTCGTCGGAAAAATTTGCGAGATTTCTATTAACAATGATGTACATATAATTTGGAGTACTTTAAATTTGCACAAAGTAATAAATAACACGATACGTTTATTGACATTTTATAGGCACGTGTCCTAATTTTAATCCTACGACATGTTTAATTCACATTCATTGAAGATGAATCACCGAATTTGAAAGAAAATTCTCTTTAACAAATTTTTTTGATCACGGAAAAATTAACTAAATTTCAGCTATGAAAACTAATATTTTTAGCTATAAAATTCTCTGTTAAATTATAGCTGAAAAATATATTAGTTACCATAGCTAAAATTTTGGCATCATAACTAAATTTCAGGGACAGCTAAAATTTGGCTATTGTAGCTAATTTTTTCTGTGATCATTCACAGAGATCTGTGAATAGATTCAACAACTTTGTAATTTGTGAAGCTGGTTATAGATACAAAAAAGAACGAGAAAAAAATTAAATAACTAGACATATGCCTCTATGCAAAATCGAGCATCATGTCGAAAAGTGGGGATAACAGATGACTCTATGATAACTAAAAATATACAGAGTGCTTCTAAAACTATGTCAGATATTTTAAATGATCAAAATAACAAAAAAAGTTCCTATAAACATGGGTCCAAAAATTAAAAATTAGCACCACCTTATAATTTCCTCTCAAAATTAGATCAAATTGTCAAAACCGCATAAAAATGAAGATCATTATTAATTATTATACGCAGTGCAATGATTTCTACGATCTGTAGAAAAGTCTCCGAGAGCTGCAATACATATTTTCGATTTTTTTCTCTCAACTTTAAAGGGCCATAACTCGGAAGGAAAGCATTCTTGCACCCATGTTTATGGAACTTTTTTCTTAATTTTGATCCCTAGACGTTCTTAAAATCTCTAGCATACTTTTAGAAACACCCTGTAAATGTGGCGACGCCCGTACGCACTTTTGCCCGAATTTCTCTATCGAAAACGCCGCGGGATGGCGATTCCTGTGGTAAAAGTGGAGCAACGTTGTCCCACTCGAAAAAAAATACGAACATATACATATGTACGGGGATTACTTATCCTGCGCCGATACGTACGTCCTCATAATCCTCGCTTCGTCCGCGAGCAGTCTCGATGACTGGTTCCGTGACTGCCAGGCATGTTTCTCTATCTCTCTCGCTCCTTCTTCCTCTGGTCTGGTCCTCCGGAATCTGGACCTGGGAACCTCTACTCTTCCAGGTAGAGAATCGCGGATGACGACGAGCCTCGAGCACCGCGTAAAGACGAGCACCCGCGCGATATTCTCGCGGTCCTCCTTGATCCGCCGATTATCTCTGCACCGCGCATCGAAATCACCAGCTCGCGCTTCTCGCTCCGTTTCGCGGGAGAGACGAAGGTGGAACCGAGGGTTTTTCCGCCGAGTTTCCACCTGTTCCGACCTGATCGCTCTCGTCGATCGATATCTCGATCAGCTCGATGGAACGCGCTCTCGCGTTAAGAGATCCCGCGTTTTCTCGCGTCTTTTCTCGCGAGCACTTTCGACCTTCCGGCGCGACGAACGTCTCTGACACGCTTTCGGAATGAGGTCTCGGCGAGGCGGCCCAGCGGCGAGTCTGATCGGGCCCGAATATCGCCACCTGCCTCCGACGACGTTCCGAGAAGGTCTGAGGTGAGAGAAACGGCCATTTTGAGGCACCGCCGATGGATCGCGCAGGTGGCGCTAGAAGGTTGGAGAACCGACCTACCTGCGTTTTACGTCTTTCCTGCGTAACGGGCACTCTCACGCGAGCGATCACCTGGCGAGGATCTATAGAAATCTGTACTCTGCGAATGGATATACTGTTTTGTCTCTTCTTCTTTCTTTTTTTACATTTATTTTTTTAAATCGCGACAGAAATAATTTTAAATTTTCTCTAGCTCACGGAAAAAAAAATTAGCTACCATATAGTTAAATTTTAGCTGTCCATATATTACAACTTGAAATTTAGTTGGTAACTAATATTTTTTAGCCATAGTTTAACAGAGAATGTTATAGCTTAAAATATTAGCTGTCATAGCTAAAATTTTGGCATGATAACTAAATTTTATGTGTAATATATGGACAGCTAAAATTTAGCTGTGATAGCTAATTTTTTTCCGTCCTGAGACTACATTTAGATATCTTAAAAATTAACACTAAATGAAGACTGTAAGAACAAGTAATCAAGATACAAGAAACTATATCTGAAAAAAAAGAAACAAATTGATAGATAATATTTTATGTATTAGATATTACCATATGTCACCGCGGATGATTTATGATTTTGCATCGATCTATTAATTGGAGAAGAATTATTAATTTACGAGCTAGATCTTTCATGAATTCCAATTAGGTACGTTGATTACGACGATACAAAATTTTTTTATTTATATTCGAAATATATATAGGAAGCGCAAATTGATCGAGAAGAGGTTTCGTGCGATCGATGTTATGTAATGACTTAATGTAATGACGTAACACAGTGATTCGACAGATGTTGGAATAGATACACGCAAGGACGGATTACGCGTAGTTATAACGAAGAGCTGCTGACAGAGAGTTCAATATAATGGACTATTAGCGATTGCAGAATTGCGATTTATGAATCGTGAGTTTGCAAAATTTGCATATAGAGAGAATTTTCTCGTGGAATTTATCCTGAAAATCATGGTAATCGTGGGACAATTGGTATTGGAAGAATTTTATAAGAGTTCTCTCTTTGAATTTTTAATATCGTATTTACCACAATAAAAAATATTAATGTCTACAATAAGATAAAATTTATTATGTATACATATTAATATTTTTTATTGTGGTAAATATTAATTAGAGAAACTCTTATAAAATTTTTCCAAAAAAATTCTTCCTTTGCTACTTATATTGTCCCACAATTATCATGATTTTCAGGGTAAATCCTAAGAAAAAATTCTCTCCGTTAAAAACGTGCATTAAAACGTGCGTCGAATGCTCCTTAAAGCGACACTCATCGCTTCCTCCGAGCTACCATTTCTAGGCAGAAAACGCAAAAGCGCCCACACGCGTGAATGTTTCACATGTGTACGTGGGAAGCGATTTTACAAGCAGTGATGCAACATTAGGAGGCAACGACAGATTACATATTACTCACTTTACATTACTTAGAGATATTCGAACGAATTCTCTATATTTGTTATGCTCCATTTAATTCTTATGTTTGTGGGAACTCATTGCTAGTTCTATTTTATAATGAAAAAAAGAAAAATAATAATAATAAAAGACAGAACTTTCTCTCGAATGAAGCAAATTGAATAAGGTATAGCTTTTGAACAGACTTGCTTAATAGAATTTGTACCGTGCATCCTCATTAATTGGAACGCGATAAGCAAATAATACTTTTGCGCGACCAAACGTGCCAAACGTGAATTTTCACGGTGACACAGCAAGGCGTGCCAACAAATTTACCATGTAAATTTGCGAACTGGACATAAGTCAGCTACGCGACCGGTCAACTTTGAGCCGGCATTTCGTTAGCATATGCCTACGCGATTTGCATAATTACAGATTTCCTGGTGTTACATATCAAAAGAGGTGTGTCTTCTTCTTTTTTTCTCCCAAAATTCTATGAGATAATAACTTTATCTTTAAATTGATCTTACAGAAATTTCTCGGAATTGTAATCTGGATTTTATTAACATCAACATATATAAGAATATTGAAAAGTAGTAATATTAAATACTAAGAAGACATGTTTTCGTTTATCAGAGTTAGACGAACAAATCATTTTCTCATTCAATACGAAGTAACTATAGAAGAAATAATTTAGAGATATCTCTTGATAATATCTAATATAAAAATAATTTTTTTATATTAATTAATTAGTATGTTAGCGCTTCGCAAATTAAACTAGATATTTTGATCTTTATTTTTTTCTAGATCGAGTGAAAAAATAAAGATATTATTTTATGAATAATTGAAGCTATCTAAAGTGTAATCACAGTAGATTTGCGTTTGAGAAATTCCAGTTCCTCTGCAAAACCAAGACTCACTTTTAATGTTAATTAAGAGTTTAAGAGAGATTTGAACATTCGTAGGTGTAATTCAAGCATTTTAAGTAACACAGAAATAATATAAATATTTCTTTTAATTTTATAAAATAAATAAATATATATGAATAATTGAAGCTATCTAAAGAGTAAACGCAGCAGATTTCTGCAAAACCAAGAATCTGTTAATGTATCCGCAAGAATAGAAACGTCTCGCGACAGAGTTATCAACGTTTACGCGAGAGGTGTCGAAATGAGTCCTAAACCACCGATGCCCTCTCTTTCTAAAGCGACGCCCGCTCTGACAAATTCAAACTACACGGCAGCGTCCGCGATATATTTACGCGAACGGGGAGACTCGCACCGACAAGGAACGGTGGCAGCGGTCCAACCTAACGGTTGGCGTTACGGAAATAGATTTTCGGTGGCGAGATGCAACGTCCGCCAGGCGGAGAGAACCGGAGAGGCCAGTACCGCGGCGACCAGTTCCCGAGGAAAACCGGAAGAATCGAAGCCACGGCGGCGAGGTGTCCCACATGAACGTGAGTGCCGATATCCGTCCCACGAGAGTGCGGCCATCCCCGTGGTGCTATCCTTTCTCGTGCGTCGTTTCCTCGATTCGACCGGCTATTTGCGGCTTCCTCCGACACTCGGGAGACCCTCCGTAATTCTGGACTCTTCGTGTTTTTCCCGTTCCCTTCTAATAATCGAAAGAAACGAGACCTGCTGCGAGTAAAGGAGATATGCGATTCTCTCTTTAGATAGTCGAAAAATTGTAGCATCATTTTTTGCAATAATATAAAATTTGCTAAATGTCGTTGATGTACACACAAGAGTGCTTTGCACTGAAGATCGTTCAGTGCGGCTCGTTTTGGACACTCTATAAAGATAATCTAAATCGGAGCTCTCGTAGTGCATCGACTCCGAAATACGTCAGAAGATACACGCGCGGAACATTTCACTTGTCACTTTTTTGGGGGAATCAAATGTAGATTGCGACGAGTGCTTTTTGATCTCAAGACCGAATGATCCGATCAAATTATTTTCTGCGCGCCTGGAATCTCTTATATGGCGCAAAAAAAATCGATGACGCGATCGAACGCGTGTCGCGAAAGGCAGCTATTAAAATCGTGTCTCTGCCCGTCTATTTTTTTCTCCTTTTACACGCATAAAAGAAATATAAATAACCGCATATCATCAAAATTTTACGGAAGATATTTTCGTTCAAACACGATTTAATCGTGACAAAATTATATTCATTGTTTTAATATTTATTACGAAGTATTCCGTTTGTTAAAAAAATGAAGGGAAGAATTTATCTGGAAAACTAATTATTTCGCCGTTCAAGTTTTTGCTTCGCAATTGCCAGTCTTGTAGCGCCGCATTTGCGCAGTAATCTTCTCTATGCGGGTACCAGCGAACTAAAATGAGAAGTAACGTAAAACAAAAGATAAAGCGCGAGAGATTTCGCTTCTCACACTGAACTACGTGGAAGGTTACGTCGGTGAATTGTCGTGTATGCGTTATCTCATGCTCCTACTCTGTGACAGTTGCTTCCGGCTTAAGAACCCTTATCGGGGATTGCGTCTTGCATACTAAACTACTATCTAATTATTCCGTAACTCTGCGATATATCGTGCATCGTTGTGGGAAGTGTGACGAAAACATAAGCGGATCTTCAAATTGCACCGCGTGCTCTAAATATTGAAATAAAATGCGCGAGGCGTGTCTGAGCGGAAAAGAAGTTTTACTTCTTGGATAAACTAGAGAAGTTGGATGATTTCCAGCTTGCGCGCAGACGTGTGCAATTTCAGCGAATAGTCTCGCGATAGACGCACAATTTGCATTTATCTCCCCTTTTTTTTATCTCGTTTTGAGATAAAATATATGAGGATAGAAAGAAATAAAATTATATCTGTTTAATTGCAAGCAAAATTGAACCGTCGATTTTTCTTCTTTTCTTGTTGTCACGATGTTAATGAAAGTTTTAACAAGATAGATATTTTTTGTACCTCTCTCGTGTGGATTTTCGTGGATTCATCGGGAATTTTTGGCTGCGCAAAATAGAAACAAAAACATGTTGCGCTGCGCTCAAGAGAACAGAAGATTGAACGTTCTAAAGATACGAACGACTCTAATTCAAGAAACTAATTCGAGTCTCTCTCGAGCGAGAGCTTCTCACTACGTGGCTACATACGTTTGCTTCGTTTGGCTAAGATTATACACATATACAGACGTCTTCAATTGATCGATGCAATAATAAGAAGATATAGAGAGAAAGCGAGTGGAAGACGGATAAGACGTTTAACAAATAAATGCAGAAAATTCATCGGATATTTCTGCAGCCGAATCATATTTAGAGAGATCGTCTCTGTCTGTTATTTAATTATCATTCTCCAGTTGTTCAGCGACGCGGTCGGAAATACGTCTCAAATTTAAATCTGTTACGATGCGATCGATATTCCACGTAGGACGAGAGGAAAATCATCCATAGCTTTGTCACCCACGCAGAGAAAAATAGTGTCGCGCACCACGTTGCTCGGCTTTATTTCTAGACGCGGAACACGCCGCTTTTTCCGGGGCCGGTCGCAGAAATAGATCCCGGTTGGTCCCCCCCAGTTTCCGGCGTTCTGGATCCTGGATCGCCGTTCTGACGTCACGCTTTCCCCGCGAGACGATGCCTATGCTTCGGGAAAAATTTATGACATTCCTTCTCCGAGATTATTCGGGGCCTCGCGAGTTCGCGCGAGCCCACAAGCCGCGATGACATCAATTTATACTTGGCACTTGTCTTATGGCCGATCGAAGACTGCCAGGCTTCTTCGAAATCGTCTAGGCTTTAAGATTTTAGCTCGACCAAATGCTCAACCCTCTGTTGTTGTTTGCGCGCTTTTCTGTTTGCAACTATAATGATTGTCTTAAATATTTAATTGAATAAGTTAAAGACAAATTTTAGGGGATGATTCTTTGTGGAAAATTAAGGGGATTTCTTATAGAAACATTTATATCCCTTCCTGCATGAGTAAAAATTAAGTTTTAATTTCTTTTCTCAAATTTTAGACAAATTTAAAAAAATAAAACTTGATGGATCTTTTCGACTGATAGAAAGGATATTTGTTAATATTTTTTTGATCTTCCTGTGTCGTTATAAGGGGATGAAATTAAAAAAAAAAAGAAAAGTGTATGTTTGTATAAGGAATTCCCCTTAATTTTTGACAAAGAATTTATCTTCTAAAATTTTTCGCGCGCTTATTTAGATACTTGTATATGCATATATCTGCGAATTTTTACAAGAGAATGCTATTTTTATAAAAAAAATAGTTAAATGTTTGGAATAAATTATTCCAACGGTAAAAAAAATTGTTAAGAAAATTGTGCTATCTTGCAGAATCCGGGAGCTGAACGATGGCGACCGATGGCTATATCGAATCCATCCACCAAGCTACGGATGGCGAGATCCATGCCCCATTGGGTCATGGTACGTATTTCTCACATTTAAATTGTTGTTTTTATCAGTATGTTGCTCTGGTATTTATTTCTCTTTCATGTTTACCGAAATCATTTATTTCGCGCAGCGTACTTTTACATTTAATTTTAAAACGAATAAACCAGCTGGTTTACATATTAATTGATCTCTAAAAGCGTATACACATTTAAATATAATATTTCTAGAAATACATATATGTATAAAAATTTTTTAAAAAAAGGCGCAGCAGCAACAACGAGAAACGGAGCACCAGCTACGTCGAGCCCCAACGCCCCCGAAAATCCCACCGCCATCGCTCTCGGGGGACTGTGGTGACCCCGACTACGAGATCATCGAATTCCCGACCCAGAAACCATCTCTGACACCCCAGTGGAACGTTGGCAAGTGCGGTCTGTGCGGCACCGAGAACGTGTTTGCGCGATGCGACACGTGTCGCGACAACTTCTGCGAGGCCTGCGACGACATGAATCACAAGCACCCGAAGCGGAAGGGCCACGTACGCAGGAGGATCCTGACCGAGAACGCGAGCAGAAGCAAACCGCCCCTTCCGCCGAAAGGGGAGAATCTGTGCCCGCCGGTTCCTCCGCCCCGAAGAAATCGCAAGACCACTCAGGTAGGCTGCGTCCTGGCCTGAAAAACTGCGTCTCTGAAATCTTGTTCCAGGGCAAGACCGAGTATCTTATCCCCGGCCCCGAGGATCCTTTCGCGGGATTATCGCACCAGCTCGATGGAGATTGGGTTGCGACTGACGAGTTTCAGCGGTTCCAGAGATTGGATCCGGCGACTGTCGTAGAAGCTGTTTGTCGTCGTATCCGACCTCGTCTCCGTCGCGCCGGGTGCTCTTCCTTCTCTTCTCCTCTTCCACGAACGAAACTCTACGATTTTTACGACATCGCTGGTTGCAACGTAATAACGTAGCTTTAACTCGAAACGTCACACCGAGGCAAACCGAGAGCTTTCCTCATTGTTCTCTTGCGAGTTTCAAACGATCGTTGTTATCTCATTTTATTCTTCCTCGTTCTCTTTACATTTATTACATTTTATTTTACGTTCAGACTTTATTGTATATACACATGTTGTCGTTGTTTTTTAATACACCATGTTACCGCAAAACACTGATGCCGTATTCACTGAACCTGTTCTCTCTTCCAGTTTCATCGTTGACGTAATGACGCGGAAAAGACGGACGTGGCGCGTCGGCGCCATCGTAATGTCGAACATTTTGTCGAACATTTGTCGTGACGTGTAATCGGATCGTTTTACCAAGGATAATTTTCTTGATAGGATAGGGGTCGGAAGGGAGAGGAGACGGTGAATATGGCAGGTTACGATCAACACGATCATTTATTTATCGTATTTTCGCTCCGTATTTTCTGTGTACACCGTTACAGCTACCATCCTGACTTATTTTCACACTCGGTGTGATCGACTTCTTTTCAGCATGTATGTACTAGACGGACTGGATCATCCGCAAAGCTAGAGCTGAACTGAATCGTTTCATAACGTGTTCGATTTACAAGATTTTTATTCGTAATATTTATTTATTTTTTTTTTTTAATTCTATATTGTATTTTTTTTTTAGAGGAGACTTTGTTGTTATAGAGATGATTCCTCGTCCATCATGATTGTCCATATATCTGACATTTATTTTTAACGATATATCAGCGCAGTTTCGCATACATCTACAGTCCTCGACAACACCCCGAGCACTGTTCCTTCATATGTAATTAAGTCGAAATTTCGCGCTTAGGCTAAGTCGACATTAGCCAAAGGCTCTACACATCTCCCTTTGCTCGACAAGGTTGGGAACTTGAAGCGCAACCTTGCCAATCCGAAAGCACCGCCGGACTCGAGAGTATCGAAATCTACGAACACAGCTTTAAACACGCTCTCCAACGATGCTTCAGGATCAGGAACGGATAAAATGTCTACTCTACAGGTGAGAAGTATAGATCTTTTAATTTAATTGTTATACAGAGTGGTCTTTCAAAAATTCAATTCAGAATATAATTCTACAAAATTATAAAATTGATGTGCATTTGATCGAATGAATAAATTAACTACAAAATAAAATAATAATTATATTTGTATAATTTTCATCATTTCTTCATTAATTCGTGAAAGTTAAATTTTTATTTTTATTTGGTAATTATTAATATTTTTCATTTTATTCAATGAAAGTTTTTACATATTTCTTTTCATTATTATTTGCATCGTTGTAACTTCGCGTCCAAAAAACTGACGTTCTGTTATCTCAAAAATCGGAGCATAACAAACGCTGTGATTTTTTTCAGGAAAGATACAGAAAATATCAAGAGGCGATGAGAGCTCAAGATGCAAACAGGCGACGACATCCATCCTCGGACACCTCGAGGGACACTTTGAGTGGAAGACCACTTAGCTTAGGCGGCTCGAAACCACCGCTGCTTCCACCTCCGCCTCCACCTAGAGCTATGATACAATCGGCCAGCGTTTGCGATTTAACGGCTGCTCACATGTGGAATCCGGGAATGCATCAGGTATGTTCGATGTTCTCCCCAACAAGTATTGTTACATTTATATTTATTCTTTAATTTTTCTTATTATTTCTCGTTTTTCTAATTGATTATAAAAAGGAAATCTAAATATTTTTGGAAGAAATTCGTGTAATTAAATAAAAGTGTCGAAATATCGTATCTGTAATATATATAAAAAATATTGTATTTGTAAAATTTCCAGACCCAGTCGATGGCGCACTTAGGACCCAGCGGAATGCCGATGATGTGGTATCCGCCGACCAACTCCTGGGATGTACCGATGAGCGGTTCGACCGTGAGTCTGCATCACCCAAGCATGTGGAGCTATCCCGTAGGCTATCCATCGGCGCAGATGCTGCCCCCACATTATCCGGGATCCCTTTCTAGAGCGCACAGTCCGGCCAGAAGTATAAAGTCGAGCAGAAGATCGCGACAGGCGTCACCGTCTCCTAGTCTGAAATCTAAAAAGTCCTACGCTTCGAGATCGCGATCGAGAAGGTCGCCCGGATCACCATCGGACGCGAGTTCCGAAAACTCGGACGAGTCCGACGACGACAGACTCTCCCGGGGGTCCAGAAGTAGACGCGGCAGCGTATCCAGAAGCATACGACAACGAAACTACGACGACGATACCAGAAGTCTGACGTCTAGAAGTCGACGAGAGTAAGTGGAAAAAGAGAAATTCAATATTTTTTCCAAATATTTATTTTAATTTTGTTTAACTAAAATGTCTAAAGATTCCTTATATTTTAAGATTATTGATTATTTAAATTATTATTTTATATATATAGATATTCGAGATTAAAATTCGGAAGCAAAGTGTTTGTACAAAATTTTATGTTTAAATATGTAGATATTGAAGGATTTTTTGCAAAATATAGATTTAGTTTTGTCAATATTTAAGCTCGCATATTTTATATCCGCGATCACATTCGGTGATCATTTCGGTAATGTTTCAGGAGATTAATGTCCGAGGAGAGAGTGATGAGTACCGAGGATCAATGGTCCGAGAGTCAGTCTAGTAAACGGTACTCAACGCCCTCGAGAAGCTACGACGAACGCTCGGTTTCCCGAGGAGTAGATCGATTGGAACGCGTGCAAAACGGAGCTTATCGCGACCGTCAAAGACGAAGCACCGACGACGAGTCCTCCGATCGAAGGATCAACGCGCCGAGCCGAACGCGAGTGACCAGCTCGTCCGACGACCATTTCGAGAGGGTGGAAAACGCATTAAAGAGAGCGTCGTCCCTTCGAAGGGACATCATGCTGGATGATCATCGTCGGGACTCTCGTAGATCATCCTTCGAGAGTGACGGTCAGACTAGGAAGACCCCTTCTCGAGATGTGACTTCCCCGAAAAGGATACCTAGAGAACGAACGCACCTTTTGGAGAGACAGTCTTCTCAAGGAGATTCAGATAGAGACAAGAGTCGCGCGAACAGGGATGAAGTTGAATCACGCTCGACGAGAAGAGAACAACAGATCCGTGATGTTTCGCGAGAGCGCGAGATCCGTGTAAAGAGAGAATCGTCTCAGCGAAGGGACACTCTCGATGATCTAGAAAGGATCTCCATCAAACGAAGCTCCCGCAGATCCTCGGTGGAATCCGACAGTCAAGGTCTTAGAAAAATAGCCTCCAACGAAACACCCATAAAAAGACATGAAGAAAAAACTGGTGATCTTCAAGATCGCCAGCGATTGATCGAAAAGAGTCAACAGCTCGAGAACTCCGTACGAACTGTTGAAGCTCAACAAAAGAAACAAGATAACGTCGACATAAAACAGAAACAGCAGCAATTGCAAAGATTTCAGTCTCGAGAGGATCCGAAGGTAGCGAAAAAAGAGGCGGCCGAAAATGCATCATCCAAGAAGACAGCTTCCACCGAGACGGCCGGCCTGATGGAAATTCCGAAAGAGGAGTGGGCCTGCGAGCATTGTACCTTCATCAACAAGATCAGGGATCGCGTCTGCGTGGTCTGCTGCAAAACCAAGAGCAGCGCGCTACCGCCGAGCACCCTGAACGATCCTGATCCGCTGCAAGCGCCGAGAAATGAAACCCCGAGCAAGGTCGGCGATCCTGGTCTCGATCTCGAGAAGCGGACCAATCTGTTGAAGATTTCGAACAGCGAAGAGAGCGGCGACAGCGGGTCCGTTAGGAACAAAGGTAGACCGAAGCGCAAAATCAGCTTCTCCTTCGGTACCAAGTTATCCAAGTGACGTTTCCAGGGTCCGTGCTCGTTCTCTCCCCGCCTCGCGTATTCCCATCCAGAGAAATGCGAATGACCCAGATTATATTTGTATGCACGCGTCTCTTCTTTCTTTCTTTCCTTTTTATACGTAAAGCAGTGCAGTCACGAACCACTACAACTGGTTGTTCTCCATCCTTCGATGTATTCCCTTGGATGAATAATAAAGAGACATGGAAACTGTTTTTCGTACAAGGCTACAACGGGACCAAATGCATAGTCGTATTTGAAATTCGGCCATCTATTGCGTTCATGTCTGAGGCACTATATTATTCATTCAAGTGATGCGACGGTTTCAAGCACGAGCGTGCATTTGGCATATGTTCCTTTATTCCGGGGCGAAACCATCGATGGAAATCATTGCCAAAGCATTTGGCTCAGCGATGTTAGAATGCGTCAATGACGTAGAAGATTTATTTATTTCAAGATAAACGAAAAATTTCATGCAACAATAAATGTTCCAAAGTATTCTTGAAAGATTAAATTGCCCAGTTGAAATTTTACACACCAATTCTAATATAATATTTGGATATTATTACAATAATGCACTGTTAAATTATTAATAACATTTTTGTAACAGTGCAATTACACATGTGTTAATTATTACAAATATTATATACATTAGTTAAGAAATACCTTGTAAAATTAAATTTTCTAAAATTTGCCAACACATTATTTATCATTTCTCTCTCTGTTTCATCTTTTCTTCAATTTCTAAAAATAAAATAAAAGTTTTATAAATGCGCGCATTCTTGGATGACCTTGAGAATTATAATATATGAAAATAGCTTTGTTAGAAACAGCAGTAATGGCTGATCATTCAGACTAATCTCTGTCTATTTATAAAACCACAATTAAAAATTATAAAATGAAATAACTTTGCAATACATTATAAAGGATTTTTATGATTTACAGATGTGATCGCAGCAGATGATAATCCTCTCGTGGAGAATTCTGAAGCTACGATCACTACTTCAACTTCACAAGTAGAAGAAGCATTATTGGAACCGACAGACACGTCATCATCGCCGATTGCTGAGAATCTGGCGGCAGCATCATCAACATTACCATCTTCTTCGGCTACGAATATCTTCAAAATAGATGCGAACGCGCCGCCGCAGGAGGAAAAACCTACACGAGGAAAACTTTTAAAGAGTCATTCGGTGTCTACGGGAACATCTCCTCCGCCACAGAATATCTCAACTCAAGTAAGTGGTAAATCTCATATAAATAAGATTAAAATATTCGTATATTTCTATAAACGTAAATACGAGCAAACAAATTACTGAAGATTTTAGAAGATTACAAATAAATGTGAAGCAAATTATATGTATAAAATATTTTAGACTTACGACTATCTCCCTCCAAAAGGGACTCTTGGAAGATCCTCGTCAGTGGCAAAGAATTATTTGTATTACGATGACAGCGACGGAGAGGTGAGCGTAAAACTGTGAATGAATTAAAACGTAATTCAAATTTATAATTAAAACATTGAATAAAATAAATAATCAGTAATTTTATAAAACAAAAATATCATTATATAGATATATAGTTTATTATATATATTGTACATACATGAGTATAATTTCAAATTTCATAATTGTATAATATATAAAATTAATTTATACAACTATATTAATTATATTTTATCACATTTATAATAACTATAAAAAATTATAAATAAATTTTACGAGTACGAATTATAACGAATACCTGAAAACGATGAATAAGAGATATACATGAAGATTATATATAGGAGATTTATTGGATTCCAATCAAGTAAATTACTCTTTCAAAAGATGTTTCCGCGTTACCACGATCGATCACGTTCTAGTGAAAAGACAAGGCGGAGCGTCTGTTTCAGGAGCAGACCAGATTTGCGAACAGTCCGGATCTGTATCCGCGGGCTTTGCAGGAACAGCAGCTGGTTATATCCGGTCAGAAAAGCAGAGAACGGACTAGGAGAAACTCCATCGACTCGTCCCATCTCTATTATCGTTCCAGGGTAAACTCGCTTACAAGCTAAGCTTCACGGGTGTTTCGTTGTGTTCTCATTGATCCTTGATCCAATCCAATTACCATAATTAGCCTCGGTGTGAACGTAGGCAGGATGATATTTTTATTTATTTTTTTAGCATCATCCAACCGCTTAAATAGATGTCTCATCGTATATCTACCATGCTTATTTACATATATAATTTACAGCTACTAAATATAGTTTTAATATTAATCTAGACAGGCACTTAACAGCGTACGATCAAAGATATAATCTTTCGATGGCAGAACCCTTAGCCATAAATTAAGTAATACCTATCTCATATTGTCTCGTCCTTTTCACCGATCTCAATAAAACGGTCTTTAATGGCGACATAAATAACTCCGCATTTCAGGAACCCAGTCAACCGAGATATATGGAAGCGAGTTCCAGTTCCGGCCAGCAAGGGGTTTCCACGTTGACCCGTCAAGGATTGGAGATCGTGGAGCTCCTGCGAGAAGCCGAGAGGCAGGGATTCACGACCGACGATGTTCAGACAGCGTTGGCCCAGGGTGCGTCGAATCCGATCGAGTGGCTTCACACGCAGTGGCCGCACCTGGTAGAGACGGTGCGAGTCCTGGTGACCGCGCAGGGCAAGGAACTGAGGGAGAATAGCATCGGCGTTTTGTCGCAGTCCGAGGCGAGAGAGGCTCTACGATCGGTCAAGGGCGACGTGTGGAACGCTGTTGCGACGGCCATTCAGCGTAGACAGCAGAAAGTGCGTATAAAATAATTACTACTCTTTGATTGATCCTTTGTGATCCCTCCTCTCTCTCTTTCTCGATTGTTGACAGTGCCAGCAGATCATGGCAAAAGGAAACTTTGCGCTCGCGGACGTCGTCAGAGCTCTCGATAATAACGCCGGGATCGAGGACGCTGCTTTGCTCGAGCTACAGAAAAATCAGCTCAAGCCCTTCTTAATGAGGATCTGGGGTCCTCCGGTCGGGGTGGAGAACGACGAGGCTGCACCGCACGAAGGTCGGTGGATACTCTCGAGGCTAATTATTTTTATTAGCGATTTCCAATATTTTCGATATTACTTTATAGATGCTAATATTATTTTATTTAATAAGCATGATGTACTTTTTATTTCTGAACATTTTAAAAATATAAAACTGACTTGTGAATTATACATATTTTAGATAAAATCTAAAATAGAATGCAATTATGAAATAATTAAAAATTATGTTTACAAAATTCTCTCTAAACAAGTCGATTTTCTCTACGCGATAAAGAAACATCTTAACTTTGATTCGAAGAAGGAATAAAAATAATGAATTGTACACCGATTTTCCTTTTTTTTGCTGCAGATGCAGCGGGTGTGGTCGATGGTGGGACGGGGGCGGAACCCGTGGAACAAGTTCAGAATGTATCCGATACGGAGGCGCGGAAGCAGGTAATGTCACCAATTGTTGATCATTTCGTGGCGTTGCAGGCCGACTTTCAAAAGCAACTGGCGGCCCTGAGAGAACTGACCGATAACTGGCGACACGAGAAAGATCCCCCGAATAAACTGGGTAATAATAAGTCTGATAATCTGTACGACCACCCTGACGATGATAATAGTAGCACTGTTCTAATCGATGCAAATCTGGTCCCAAGGGCCGTACAACAAGCGCCCGATGATGTAGCGATGATGCCGGGCGATCTTGTTACGCGGCAAAAACAGGCAACCGTAGATTCGCAGGAGGGCTCGAAGCGCTCAGAGTTGTTGAATGCTACGAAACCGTCCGACGAGGTCCTGGACCAAATAGATGCCGCGTCGCATGCCGAATTTGATGATCTCGCGACACTCTCGCCCGAATATCCCTCGAAAAATAACAGCGTCGACCCTGCAAACGTCGGCGAGACTGTCGTACGAATCGCCGAATCATCCGATCCGCCGAAACTCGACGATGAGGGAGGCGACGTCGACGCGGGGAAACGATCAACCTCGAAAGCGAGCGACCTCGCGACGACGATATCGATCGACGAGACGGCGATAGAAACAGCGAAGCGAGTTACGAGTCCACCGAAAGAAGTGGAACACAGGGGATTATCGTCGAATGACGTTGAGATTGAAGCATCCTCCTTCTTGTCCGGAATTTCTGCGCCCGACACAACGAATACGGAACCAGGTCAGCCCTTTTCTCCGCAAACTTGGAGTGGTCCCGAATTACTTAATACAGCGGGACACGCCGCGAACAACGACGAGTCGCTCGTCCAAGTTGGAAAGTCGACGGAATTGGGCGAAGCACTTCCCATCTCTTTCCGGGATTCGAGTGCCCCTCGAGAACAACAAGCCGATATATCGCGGCAGCCATCGCGGAATGAATTCTCGATCACGGCGAATACAGCTGAAGAGGATCTTTTCGCGACGAAACGAACCGATCAGTATATTTCGAGGGAAGTTCCCGGGCAGAACGACGAGTCGTCTCACGTCGCGGCAATGGAGGCTCTGATGTCCGCCGTGAGATCGCTGCCGGAGCAATTTCTGACGCCCTTCATAACGGCGATGCAAGTCCTGTCGCCCAAGAAAGGTGATGCCGATGTAACGACCGCTGATGTTCGATTTATGAACCGATTAAATACTTTACGTAGCACGAAGGCCGAAGAAACGACCGAGGCTGAAACGAACGTCGACGCACTTCAGCCGAGGAACGAGAGAGACAACGAGAAGGAGCCTGTCCCGGTGACCGCGGATAAAACTGACGGGTCGTCTGTTCAGGAGAAGAGTAGTAGTAGTAATAAGCAGGCGAATAATCTCATTAAAAAATCGAGCAGCAGCGAGATCATCGACAAGAGGATCGTCAGATCGCGCCAAGTTCCGGATTCTCGGATGGCAAAGTCCCGGTCGAGCGTTCCAGATATCAAACAACAGCAGCTGGATGTCAGATCGGTACGTAATGCGGACACGGACGAGGCTAACATTTCGCAGACTAACACCGCGACGGAGCTGACATCCGAAACGTTCTCGGATTCGGTAGACTCGAAGTTGACGGACGAAGTATCCGAAGAAACGCTGACTGCGAATAAAGGGGCAACGTCGAGTGTCGCGGAACCCATGACAGGAACGTCGCAAACGGGCATCACGGAGGGAATACATTCACGTAAGAATTCTTTAGAGATAGTCGACACGCCGGCGGAAAACGATAGCCGGGACAGATCTGCCGGAGGCGAAACCGTATCGACGGAAGGATCAGTCCAAGAGACGTCTTCAGGTGAATCATCGAGCTTTCACACGCGATCGTTAACAGCATCTGCGACGCATGATCCGTCCATCGTCCGTCAGGAAACTCACGTGCTTACAGTCGCATCCGACGACACGTTGCTCGATGCGTCAGCATCATTATCATCTTCATCATCATCATCATCATCATCATCATCATTATTAAAGGAAGCGATCGACTCTTCCATCGTATCTAATGAAAAGCTTTCCGCTGATAACGCCTTCATGATCATCGATCCGCTTTTAAAAAATCAAATTTTACCCCCTTCTATAAATAACGCGGAAGAATCTATCTGTCAAACGGAGACTGATATTAATACGCAGAAATTAAAGCAACTCTCGAATGATTCGTCTCACATTACCTCGTTAGATAATTCGCCGATTTCATCTCCCGCGAAAATTTCCGACGCGAAATCACCGTCCGTGGAAATATTCGATAATGTCGAAACGACGCAGCGTCGCGATGATAAAAATGATACAAAGCCGACCATAGCGAGGGATGCGGTGCACGTTTCGGAAAAAGTAGAACAGACAATTTCGGTCACATATCACACTCCCGCGAGCGACGGTAAAGATGAAACTACGCTGAAAGGAGCAGACGTGCCCGTCGAGCAAAGTACGACCGACGATTTATCCATTACTCGATTACGAACCGATGATGAGAGTGTCTCGCTGCCATTAACAGACCCCTCGACTACCATGAATTTCAATAATCCGTGCGATTCGGAAAGGGAAGGGCCGGTTCCTACAAAATTTCACAGCTCGACGAACGAACCTAAGTCGGAAAATCCTGTGGACGATTTAACCCAAGACGGACCATCCTCTCAAAGTAACCGAAAAGTAATTGATCGCTTAACGCAGGTTTTACGATCCTCCCTAAGATCGCAGGTACTTTGTATGCTGGAACATCGAATACCTTACGCGACTCTGAATCTTCGAAAGACGTGAAAATTTCAGGACAGGGTGAAGTGGAGGAGTCCATCTCTGACACTTTAAAACTTCATATCGCCGACGAAGACTCTATCGCCGACGGACTCTAACGGGTAAAAACGGACTCTCCAACGAAAATGTGGACGATCGACTGATGAATACCATTAATAATTCGCCGGGTAATAACACGTCCCGTCGATTATCCGTCGAAGATGCTGCTCCCGAGGGTTCAAAGTCTAGCGAAAGCTTCATTTCTCGATCTGACGGGAAGAGACAGAACGCGCAAACGTCAAATTTCGCGACAAGGGGCATTTTAAACGCGTTAAAGAAAAATCTCAATAAATTCTTCGCGTCGCGAACCGAGGAGAAAATTATCGCGCCGACGAGGGAGATCGAGAATCTTTCTCTGTTGGATCCCATTAAATCGAATATCCACGACGTTACACCAGGCGTATCCGATACTTTTGAAATAAAGATATCGGAATCGCCTGTAATAACGGTGAACGAGTGCGCGCCGATAAAAGACACCGCGGCAAATATCGTCGGGGAAGAACCGGGTCGATTAGCTGATGATGATGATGATGTTAATACAAAGATAGCTCTGCCCGGAATCGTCGCGCGTAACGAACCGGTTAGATCAAAATTAGCGAATAACGAGTCGATCGAAAGGGACAACACGAGGCAGCCTCGTAAAAGCGTAATCACGAAACCCGTCGTAAAGGATAGATCTAGATCGCCTCTTAAAAAAATCGTCCGAAGAAAGTCGCCCGTTAAGGTAGTAAGGAAGTCGATCGGCGTCCCGAGGAAAAGCGGAAGCTTACCCTTCCGTAAAAACACCAGCCCGAACAGCACGACTGTCACAAAAGCGAGGGCGAAGGCCAGCGAGATCACTAGGACGTCGAGTCGAGCGACGCGAAACGATGATGATGATGATGATGATGGGGAGTCCTCAAGGATCAAAGGATCCTCCGTCAAATCGACGTGCACCGTCCGCGAAAAGACAGACAGCGGAAATAAATCGGTTACGAAACTCCTGTCGGACAAATCTATTAAACAATCGTTATTAATGAAAGCCAATCTGCAAAAAACTGCGGAGAGTAACGAAATAAATAAAAATGGTAAAAAAATTGTTTTTACGTCCGATGCAGAAAGAATATTCGCGATCGATAATCCCGAATTGCGGACCGGCATTAAAAAATGTAACGAGAAAAAATCGGAAAATTCGAAAAATGGAAAGCTCGAGCGTTCTAAAAATAAAAAAATTGTATCTGTTAATCGGAGTAAAAAACCGGAAATGTCAAAAGATATAAAAATTGATATTCCCAAAAATCAAGAAATAAAACAGATTATAAATCACGAAACTGAAAATAAAAAAATGTCGATGAAAGCAATGTCGATGGAAAAAATAAATTATAACTCGAAATCTAAAATATCTTCACCGTCGAAGATACCAGTTTTGATGCACCGTAAAATTGTACGCTCTACAAGTATTATTCCATCAAGACCTTCTAAAAAAATTAATGACACACCATTATCAAAAAACGTCTCGACCAAATTGCCGATAGCGTCGCAAGCAGTTTCGAAATTATCTTTAAAAATTCAGGAGAAAGTTAAGGTACCGAGTTCATCAATCGTGCGGAAAGTCGATTCTAAGGATAATTCCAAGGATAATTCGGATCGAATTGAATCTAATAATGGAGAATTAAATCTAGGAAGGACGATTGAAATTGCAGAAAATGCGAAGGACGAGCGGAACCTTCCGGAGGAGGGAAATCATGCTAAGGGAAGCGCCGTGGAAGAAACCGAGGAGCTCCCGAAAATGAAATCAATACGATCGGAATCCACATTAGACGAAGAGAACTCGCGAGCGTTGAGCTCGACGCTTAACAACGACGATCTGTCCGCGAATTTTAACGAACAATTGGAAATCGAAAACGCTCTCGAGGAAGACTCCGATGCTTTCAGCTCGGATTCAACTTCCGAGTATTCCGAGGACACAGAAACTGCGAAGTACATCTCCGATCATAACTCGGAATGCAATTCCGTCGAGGAGTTCACGGACGCGGAATTGTTGTTAGAGAAAACGCTAAACGAGATAAGGTCTGAAATATCGGAATCCGAGGAAGAGGAGCAGACGAGCGAGTCTGAGAAGAGTGAGGATATCACTTGTTCATGCGAAACGGAAAGCCACGATCGTGATTCCATATTGTCCGAAGGTATGGTCGATGAACGGGAGATTAAGTCGAGTGAGCTCGAAGATTCCATGGAAGAAGATATGTACGAGGAGCTACCGTCCGAAGGAGAGGAGACAAATATACAACCCGATGTCCCGGAACAAGAACAACAACTCGAGACTACTATTGAAGAGACCGATGACATAATACATGAGGTAGTCGATATTTCGAGCGGAACGGAAAGTAATTCCGAAGTCGCGCGAGAAGACGACGGGAATAATTTCGATCCATTGAAGAAAGTTACAGTCGTCGAACTAATTGAACTCGAAATAATCGCGGAGATCGAGGAGGCGCCGAAAGTTTCTCAAAACCTTGAAATCTCGGAGTCTAAAACTGCTGCGGCAAATTCCGCGACATCGTTTTTAGCAAAGTTGGAAGAAAGTGCGGAATCAAAGGGAGATATTCAGTCAGAAGGGACCAAAGACTCAGAGAGAAATGAGACGAGGCTCGAAGACGCGAACGACAAAATTCAGGAGAAAGATCAGTCGACAGTCGTGCAGAGTGACAAGACGAGGAAAGTGATGAACTGGAAACGGGCAAAGATAGGCCGAAGGGCGAGTACGGGGAGCAAAGAGGTCAAAGTCGGGAATGACGACGATGACGACGACGTGTTAAAGGGGGTAGCGCCCAGGAAACGATTTTCCCTGGTTGCCAGTTGCATCCGGCGGTTCGAGGGCGAGGAGGATGTCGAAAGGACGAGGATCCGACGCAAGAGACAGGGATCTCCCAAAACGGAGCGGGAGGTCAGTAGACGAGAGTTGCCGGAAGTGACGTGACCCTCTCTCCCTTGTAGACGTTGAAAGATCCTCCTCGCGAGTCGCCGCAAGAATCGACTTTAAAAAAAACCCTATTTGATGGCAAGTCGCGATGTCTACGAAATGCTGAACGAATGTTCCTTAATATATTTTAATTGCGCGTTAATCATTGATTATTTGACTGCGACAAGGGTTTTGACGATGTGGCTAACGCGAAGGTAGGTATCGTATCGCGACTAACTCATTGTCTATCGAGAAAGTTGACGTTACGTGTGTCTTGTATATGTAACATGTATAATAGCACTTGGTTTATTCCTTATTCAGGAAAGAGATTACATGAGAGATGTATTAGTCTGGATTCCCCATACTTAGTACCCTATTCTAGATATAGAGTATTCAAGACATCTATGTATAAGCGTCGATTGTATAAAAAAAAACACATTTGAATTAATTATTTCGAATTAATTATTTATCTCGATAGTTTTATATGTTGAATAAAGGAGAGCTCGTTTCTAAAAGTTGATGCACATCATGAAGATTTTAATATTCTCTTATTTTTTAAATATTTTCAATCATTAAATATCTTTTTACCTTCTGTTTTTATTTAATCATCTAACTTATTACTAATTATTTTTAGTAGAGATAGTCATTCAGTAATATTAACAATAAAAAAGGAGAGATTAATCTCATTCTTGAAATATATGTAAAGATATATGTAAAATGTAAAGATATACCTTTTGTAAAATTAATATTTAAACATACAAGTCGGATTGCAAAAATTTCGAGTCACCTCATTGTCTTCATTATTTCAAAGTGTCACTTTAAATTCTCCTCTCTCTCTCAGAAAGAGACATTTACTTCTTATAATGTCTACATTGAGAAATGGCAAATCCGAATCTTCTTAACAATAAGTCGAGATTTGTAGACAGATGAGAAGCACAGATTATCTTTCTAAACAAGATGTGAAAATTGTACGTGCCGATATCGGAGCGATATTATGTTTGTCACGTGTGCAGAGAATAGCTCGTCGTCTCCTGGCGGAAGGTCGGGCGTCGAATTACGATGAGGCTGAGGTCGCCGCCAGTTTGTTGGCCCTCAAGTTCGGAGATGCCGAGGCGCTTCAGGCCGCGAAGGAGTGTTCCAGCGTGGAATCCGCGCTCGCCTTCCTTCAGCAGGAGTGCGAGCTGTGCACCGGCCGTTTTGCAATGAGTCAAGTGAGTGTCGAGGTCCTGTGTTAGGTCCTGCAAATCTTATTTTACTCTTTTACGATGTTTCGTCGAGATTAATAAAAATGATTCGACGACAAATCGCATCGTAATTCTTCTCGATTTGTCTTGACACATTTTTCACATAATTTCAGATGATCTCTATGCTGAAATGCGTGCATCGTTGCTGCAACGAATGCGCGAAGAATTACTTCACCATCCAAATTAGCGACCGAAACATCACGGATGCCGTTTGTCCGTTCTGCAAAGAACCTAATCTCAAGGACGCGAGCGAGGACGAAGTTCTCGAATATTTCAGCAATCTGGATATTCAACTGAAGACCCTGTTGGATCCGCCGATCCACGAGCTTTTCCAGAGAAAGCTCAGAGACCGGACTTTGATGCAAGATCCGAACTTCAAGTGGTGTATCCAGGTAAATAAAATTTGCCATCTTTGATCGTCTATTTTTATATGCAAACCTATCTAGATTATTATGTGTATTTTTCAGTGTTCGAGTGGATTTTACGCCGATCCTGATCAGAAGCGTCTGATCTGTCCCGATTGCCGATCTGTCACCTGTGCCTTTTGCCGAAGACCGGTATGTATTTTCGAGTTTGTGTTAAACAAAACGTTGTAGATACTTTTTTTTAACTGTCTCTTTTTTCAGTGGGAGAAACAACACGAGAGAATCTCGTGCGAGAAGTTTGCGGTTTGGAAGGACGAAAACGATCCCGACAATCAAGCCGCAGGTTTGGCCAAACATCTGGCTGATAATGGCATCGACTGTCCTAAATGCAAATTTCGTTATTCGTTATCTCGAGGAGGTAATAACTATTACACTTTGACTTTATTAATTTGTCTTATCTTCGATTCAATTTTTTATCGTGAGATTTCATCATTCAAGTTCTTTAATTAATATTAAAAATTAACATATATGTGTAAAATTTATTATAACGTTTAGTATGCACATCAAAGCATTATACTTGTCGAAATAATGCTGAAGAATTAGATGATATATCTAAATCTATCAATATTGCTGACAGAAATCTTCGTTACGAAAGATTGCACTTTATATAGATTTTAGTAATTGTTAGGAAAATCATATGGTAATATAAGAATTAATGAATGATGATTCTAAATATTATTTTAATAAACACACGTATACGTATGTGCGCGTGAACTATTTTAACATTATGTAATTTTTAATCAATCTCGCGGAGATGAGAGTTTAATGTATATATGTGGAGAAAGATTTTTTCTCTAAATTATTCGATATGCATATCAGGGACATATTTTTCGGAACTCGCTGAAAGAATTCGTGAATTTTCATAGGTTGCATGCATTTCACCTGCAGCCAATGTAAATATGAATTCTGCTGCGGTTGTGGCAAAGCTTTCATGATGGGGGCGAAGTGCACGGTTAGCCCCTATTGCGCCAAACTGGGCCTGCACGCCCATCATCCGCGCAATTGTCTCTTCTACCTTCGTGATAAGGAACCCGCGCAACTACAGCAGTTGCTCAAAGAAAACGGCATTGATTACGATACCGAGGGTCCGGTCGGGGAACGCAAGTGCAAAGTGCAACTACAGAAAGAAACGCCGACCGGGGTCGTCGACGCTATCTGCAATTCCGACGTCGTCGAAGGTCACGCTGGTCTATGCAGGTAAAGTTCATATTCTCAGTGGCGCTAAAAATTCTAGATATTATATAAAAAAATGTGCACTTGCATCTCAGCAGATTATAATAAGGTCGATTGAAATATATATATGTAAAGTTATTTAATTAATTCTTCACACTCAGAAGAGAGTTGCGTTGAAAGAAATTCCGAGCAATATTTCCTAAATTTCTAAGACGATCCCGGGCGATTTTTCGATAACGAGAATCCGCGATGATTAACGAAATCCTCCATGTGAATTCAGGATTCATTACATCGAGTATCTAGTTCGAAAGATCCGTATGACGCGGCTGGAGCCGCTGCCCTTGCTAAACGTGGACGATCTCGAAACGTGCGTGCGACGCGCCGGGCTGAAACCTCCCGCGAACTGGTACGGTCGCGACCCGGAGCATTACAGGAAGGATCTGGTCCAGGTAAAAGCAAACACCTTGACGTGCCTGACTAAAATCTTGGGTACTTTTCCCCCTTAGGCAGCACTACATTGAGTACTTGGCGGGCCTGGTACTCAAGGGCAGGCTGGACCCGGTGATGATCTTTGACTTGAACGACGCCAAGCAAGAGTTGCGCCGACGGGGAAAAGTTCCCCCTGCGAAGGACCAGGAAATGTCCGAGCGGGATTATCTCGAGGCGTGCATTCAGGTGACTAACACGTATTCCTCTCTCTTTCTCTCTCTTTCACCCTCTGCTCCTCTTCTCCTCGTTCTTCTCCTTTTTTCCCTCTTGCTCCTTCAACTCGCCTCCCGCTCTTCCCTCCTGTCTTTTGACCCATTGACCGAATTAACAACAGTTGCATGAAAGTAGAATTCCTGCGTGCACGAGACTTTCCAGCGCCGAAAATCGTAAAAGTGAATAGACCGCCGCCGAATAATGCTGTCGAACGGCCGCACCTGCGTCAATCTCCGGAGATATACACATATCGTCGCGGACGCTTTTTCCGAATGCATTGTGAAAAATAAACGAACCAGAAAACATTAATATGCTACTCTACGTGAAATTCGATCTATAATTTACGTAATATAGAAATTATTACAATGGAAATCATTTTTCACATTTTTTTACAAATTCTCTTGTTTTATACAAGATGATTTATTTTCAATTCCTGTTGGAGAGAGAGAAATCATATAATTGCTTAATAGAAATTTTAAAAAAATTATATGTGATAAGAAAAGTGAGCATTACTATTTTATATTTCTGGTCAAGTCGTCTATTACTTATTTCTCAGAAGGAATAGAATTACAAGTAGAAAAGATCCAAAAATGTTTACCTAAATCGAAATTTCATATCGGATATTCAAATTCACATTAATTATATTTCAGCAATATTGAAAAAATATCTTATTCAGTTATCGTTTATTACAATTGACTTATTTTTATGGATATTTAACAAAATTTTACATAATCTTATTAGTTAATTTTTACAATTTTTATCTGAAAATATTAAAAACTCAGATATGGAGTTTATACATGTTAAAAATTCAGAATTTTATTAAATATTTAAAAATATTACGTCGAAAAAGGAATATTTCATTTTTATTATAAAAGATAATTTTAAATCAATTCCTGATAATAATTTCCATTTTCGATAATATTGAAAGAATATCCTATTATATACTTGCTGTACCGTTTCGAGAAATAAAAATTTAATATTCAACATTGTAGATCCGCGCGGCCATTCGCAGCTTTTTTCTGCGTAAATAACGATTTCCCTCTCCTGTGTGAGTTGCCTTTTTTTATATGGATATTGAAGTAAATAAGGTATACGAGCGAAGTATATACCGCGGGAATACGTTAACATTCTACAACTTCACCGTGCATAAAGTATACTCCGATGTTGCAGGTCGTAAAAAAGGAGATTCCACTGGAGTGACTACGGAAGAGTATTTCAGAAAAACACTCGTACACCTGAAGTCATATGCAAGAGAGATAGAGCGTGTATCTCGTGCAGTGTATTTATTTTAATTTGTATACACTATGTGAAGAAGCCTCCCTTTCCCATGTGAAATTAATATAGGACCATAGAAAACAAATAATGTGCAGCATGTGAACATAACTTCGTCGCAAAAGTTTATTTATATCTTTTTGACATGACGGTAATCCGCGATTCGCACATTAATTCGCCTAGCGTTAATTTATTCGTGATAGAAATATCACAAGAAGAAAATAGTGTGTTCATATCTCTGTAGATGCTCTACTTATTAACAACTACAGATTTGTAATAATCGATGTTTCTTCAATGATGGAAAAAATACTTATCTCGATGAGATTTATAATTAGTGTTTGAAAATATTTAATTATTTCTTGTCTTTATATAACTGTTTTTCAAGAAATAGACGGTTTAATTAAAGACTTGTAAAGTTTTTTCGTGCAAATCCCTTCTTTAAGTTCTTAATAAAAATTGACAAATTCAGGATTTAAAGGCAAATGAATTATCATTTAAATAAAGTGTAATATAATACCCACATGTATTTACAGAATTTTATATTTATCTGTTTATAAAGTAAAATATACTATATTATCTATAAATATTCAATACAGTTCTGCCAGAAAATTGTGTAAGCTTTTTCTTTTTGTAGACGTTGCTGTACTCTTATCCATGATATTTTTAATCGTTCAATATTCAGTTTTTTGATTTTTAGTGGAAGTGACTAATTTTTTATTACTATTACTTGGTATTACTTTAGGTCTACTTAAAGGCGACTTTGTATACGTCTTACTGGTATCTCCCTTATTCAGTTGCGATACAGGCATACAAGTTGAAATATTCAAACCAGCAGTCTTGTCCTTAGATTTCTTCTTCTTTTTCTTTTTACGGTTACTTTGCGGTATCTCTACCAAAGAATTGTTTACTTCAACTGGTTTTAGTCGGTTTTTCTTTTTGAATGGCAACAAAGTATTTTTAGAACAGACAGAACACTTAATAACCAATTTGTTCATTTCATTATTTATAGATTTCTTTGCCAAAGCAGCACAAACTTTTGGAACCTTCTGGTTTGGATTTTCTTTCATATGTTTTACAATCTTTTCCATTGATTTAGACATTTTTTTACCTCTTACTAACCGAACTTGATGATCTACAGTGCTCCAAAGTGATCCGCAATGCGAGCACATTACTGATGGTCCAAAGTTTTGTTGTGGTAATTCCACTATACTGCTGAGATTTTTACACTTTTGCCTAAAAATATGGACAAAAAATAGTTTAGATATTTTAAATATATATTCTCTACATTCTAATATATATAGTACTACATTCTATTATTAATATAGTATATATAAATGTCATCAATTTATTACATGCGGAATATCTAAATTTATTCTTTAATTGTAGTACAAATTACTAATTATATAATGAATTATTATTGTTAGATTATTAGAGCTACTACTAATTTATTAAAATAATTATATTTTAAAACTTATTGCATAAAATCTTTAATTAATCAATAAATATTGAGACATGCAACAAGCAATTCAGTAACATTTCATAAATTATCTTAAATTAAATAATATTAATATAAAATATGCAATTTAAAAATTACATGTAAAACGTTTGTAACTCCTTAGTTAATGGATCATTGAGCTTTGTCATAAACTGATTAACGTTCCATAAATGCTTAACAGTTTCCGTAAACTGATTAACGTTCTCCAAGTGTTTAACAGTTTCCATGATGATTATTATTGAAGTAAAATTAAAATTTCTTTTTTCCTAGATTTAACTCTCTCGTAATTGGGTTAAAAGCCTGATATAATTCGCTCTTTGCACTATGTTTATAAAAAAATCACACGAGATCAACATCATCATAACCATAATCTCGACGCGCGTGTTCTATCATCATTATGTACTCACAAACACGAATCTCATCTGCAGTGCAGCCAACATGAAGAAAAACGTAAATGACGTTCCGAAACCCATCCGAAATATGACACCGTCCGTCTGGTCCAAAGTCCAAACAACGCATGCATATTTTGATTTGTTCCAATTTCCATTCTTTCTCTTTTCCCTCTCGACTCTCCCTGATACGTCCATCTCGCTTTACGGACGTGCGAAACTCGCGAGCGAGAATGACAGCTCAACAGCAACGAAACGTCAAAACGTGGCGGGGTTTCCTCTCTAGGTTCGCGCGACACCGCGGACGATGCCAGAAGAGTTTCGTATTTTGTCATCCTTGTTATCGATGCACCGGGAGCAGTTCTGTCAAACAATAAGTGCGGAATTGTTGACGAATTGTCGCGGCAGCGAATCGATCACATCGCGTCGTCGTTCGACATGGGAGACGGCAAGGAGGGCGAACGGCAGTCGCTGCTGAAGAACGAGAACGTCACGTACAGCTCGCACGGCAGCGATGCAATCGGTAGGTATCAAAATACGTATTATATACCATGACTGACACACCGCTCCCACGACTCCTTCTCTCGAAGGCGTGCCTTCGTACTTTGCTTTGCCCATGTAGACCTCTTGCTTGAGGATGTCCTCACATTTCAGACGAATCACAGTCTACCGTTTCACCGATCGGCCCGGATGAATTACCCCCGCCCTATCAGTCCGCGACCCAGGGCGGCATGCCGATGGTCACCTGCAGAGTTTGTCAGGCGATGATAGATATTTCCGGCAAGAGGGATCAGCACGTCGTCAAGTGTTGTCAGTGCAACGAGGCCACGGTACGTGTCAAATTAATCAATTGTCTTCCACGTTTGTTCTGCTATGTGTAAATAAATGACGATGGGTTTTTCTTTTTCGTACAGCCTATACGGAATGCTCCACCAGGAAAGAAATACGTACGATGTCCGTGTAATTGTCTGCTAATATGCAAGAGTTCTTCGCAACGTATTGCCTGTCCAAGGCCGAACTGTAAACGTATTATCAATCTGGCTCCAAGTCCTATTACACCACCAGTTTTGTCCATGCCAGGCATGTGCAGGGTAGGCTGTGCACATTGCCATGACACATTCTTGGTAAGCATAAAAATATGCATCGCAGTATATGGATAGAGAAGTAGTTTTTTTCTTTCAATTATTATCTTTCTACCCGGAGATATTTTGTCTTTCAGTTTAACACATTAAATAATGCTCTGGCACGATGTCCACATTGTCGTAAGATATCTTCAGTTGGTCCAGATTTTGCTAGAGGACGAGGGATTATTTTCATTATTGTTGGAATTATAGCCTTAGTAATTGCTATATCAGTAACGGCAAGTATTTAACTTGAATTCTTGTTTGTGTATTAAGTTTTTGCGATATTTATAGTTCGTTCTTATATTTAAGATCGTCTTAAGACCTCGTTCAACCAATCAAGAGATGCTATGTGGCCATTTGATTGGTTGAACGAGGTCTTAAGACGATCTTAAATATAAGAACCAACTGTGAATACCGGCCTTTTGTATCTTCATAATATTAATTTTATCACTATACACAATTACAGGTTGGGACCTACAAATACGTAAAGACGAATGGTGGAATTTATGTTGCTTATGTTGGTAAGTTGATCGTTTCTTAGCTCTGTTATTATTTAAAAATTGTATCCATCTAATTTGAGATAATATGCTTTAGGTGCATTTTTATTGGCACTTTTGTGCTTGGGACGCAGCATTTATTATTGTACAATGAAGATCAGTTTAATAGAGGGTCCTATGTAGTCTTAAAAAAAGAAACTACAATGAGTGAACAATCCCACTGAAGAGATGATTGTCATATAATCTGTTTAGATCAAATGTTTATAGTAACGTGACATCTCAAGTTCGTTTTAAGGCAAAAACGATATAATATATATATATATATATATGTGTGTGTATGTATATATATACATATATATGTATGCATATACATATACATACACATACATGGCCATATGTGCATATGCAGACCTGTATTGTTTATAATAATAATGCATGTATACATACATTCTCTTATATAATATGCATACACATATGAACGTGTTCCGTGATCAGAAAGAAAGCGGACGTTTGCGACGTTTTCGTCTGGTAAGATAACGATTGTAGAAAATTTCTCTCGGAAATCTTATTTTATGAAGAATTGATTCTCTGCACTTTTATATACGCAAGCATAGGATCAATTAACCATGGGTTCCGATTTTTAATTTCAATCTACTGACTAGAATACGCTCTATACATAATTATATATACAAGCTTTCTACAATACATCGCGTATCGAATGCACATCAATAAAATCAAAGTGCAAATGTGCTCACAATTCCAAAACATACATATATGTAGTAAGTTTTAAAATCCATACGAATAAGTCTATGCAAAATATGTTTTTAAATTTGTTCTTATATTGTTCTATACACAAGTATCTGTATCGAAAAATTAAAAAAAAAATTGTATTATTTCAAATAAATTTATATAGATCTCTTGACACATGTATGAGAAATTGTGTGAGATACAAGTGTATGCGTGTATATATTAGTTATACCAATATGTTAAAGATATAATGCGATTAGTTATTAATATAAACTCAAATACGAAATTATTACACGAAGAACATTGCACGAAATTTTTAGCTGTCACCAGGTACATATATATATACGAACGTGATTTGGTCAGTTGTGCAAATAAAAATATATTTCTTGTAGTGCTAATTAACGCTTTTTATCATATATATCTTATATAATTTACACATTACTCTCAAATATAATCTCTTCCTCTTCTATAAACGTCTCTCCCTTTACATAAATTCCCTTACAATGAAAAATATGTTATACTTGTTGAAAAAATAAATTTCGTTTTGGTAAAAAATTAAATGTGTATTTTATATAAAGTATATATAAATTTGATGACAAATGTATCAATCGTATAAAAAGCAACTAATAATTATTAAGAATATTATCAAGAATAGAGTAAGAAATGTGTTATAGCATATGTATTATTTTTTATTAATGTCCAATATACTGTCATTTATCAATTAAATTATTAAATTATATTTTTAACTCATAAATTACATTAAATACTAGGATTCTATAAATGGATCACTAACAACATCACGTTTGAAATTCCCGCCGGAGACATCCTGGAAAACAAAATCCCTAGTATCGTGACACATGGAACAGCTGATTGTAGAAAGTGGCGAAAAGGAAAATCCGCATCAATTAGAAGGTTACTGCTGGAGAAGCATGTAAAAAAAAGGATCAAATAAAAATCGCGTCGTTGTGTTCCTCAGCACGGCTCTTAACGTGACGATTTAAATACCGCAAGGAAATACCGAACGGGAACTGCATCTTCAAATGTAACAGATGTTTGTTGTGAGAGATGTCACAAATTGATATCCAGAATTTATTTAACAAAAGCAGGTAAGACAATCTGTAAATACTATAAATATCAAAACATGGAACCATAATCATTATTATTCAATTGCGATATCTCGTCGAAATGTCGCAAATGTTAATCGAAAAGTGTCAAAAGTGGTTTTTATACGTGAAAGAATATATTATTCTTTTTCGCACATATGTGAATAATCATTGGAAAGCAAGTTTAGACAAAAATAAATAGAAACTAGATTCACTCCTCACTACACAATTGTCATCAAAGTGTTACATACGTTGCATTGAAATATAATCAATTGTGTTGTTATGAATTTAGGTTTCCTAGTGGTTGGCGTCTTCTACTTGTAATATTGTATTCACCAGTGGGTATTCTACTTGTGTTGCTGCGATTATTCGTAACATTGCAACTTTGGCTTTTTGCATCACTATTACCAGATTGTAATCCTCTTCAAACATTCTTAAATTATGGTATTAGTTTTGCTTTTGGAATCATAGTTAAATTCGATACTGAAAGTGAGCTCAGAGACAAGCAGTCAAGAATAATAATCGCTAATAATGTATCCGTTCTGGATCACTTTGCTATACGTCGAACAACGGAGACGTTAATTCCCAGTGTTTGGGAATTACCTACCGCTCTGAGTAATGCGCTGGGATTGCAGAAAATGGATATGAGCAGCAAAGAAATACTGATTGCCAATATTAAGCAATTTCTTTCCACCTCTACATATAGCGTTGCAATACAACCTGAATTTGGCACAACTAATAGCAAACTTGCTCTATTGAAATTTAATTCTTGGCCGTTTAGCATAGAAACGTCTGTTCAACCGGTCGCCATCAAAGCGTCAAGACCACAATTTGTGCCTGTGCACATTACCTCATTGGCTTCAACATGGTGGACGGAAGTATTTTGGTTTATGTTCATCCCTTATACAGTTTTCACACTCAAGTACCTGAAAATTAGACGAAATTCTGATCATGAAATTCTTGTACGAGAGGTAGAAAAGGATATCGCAGATGCTTTGGGACTTGAAACAAGTTCCCACACTGTATCAGATAAAACAGAATATGAAAAACGTTATCGTATGGAAATAATACTTAGTAACCGTTCTAACAGAAGTGCACCAAATTCACAAGTTATACATAGCATAGAAATACAAAGGATGGTTCGTCAAGTCAGCGAAGTACTTCCATTGGTACCACACAATGTGATTCTCCGAGATCTTTGTACGTATTATACGAAACATGTCTTAATTTAGTTGTATTAATTAATTTCATACAATTATATAGTACAGTTTTGATGATAAAGCAATTATTTAATTAAATCTGTTATTGCAGTGAAAACTCGGAATGTTGATGTTACAATTGCCAATATTCTTGATGGCATAGTTACTTATACTCCAGAGCCAAATCCACAAACTTCATCCTCTGTAACATCCTCGTCTGGTGGATCTTCAAATTCTGCAAAGGATAAGATATTGGGTACTTCTTCCTTCCAAGAAAAGAAAGCTAAAATGATACAAGAAGCCAGAGAAAGGTATATTAAAAAACGGACTGACAAATTGCTGACATTCTTATTATTGTTTTATTATGGTTATAACATTGTCATCGACAACATGTATGTAACTTGTTTTATTGTATATGTATTATATTTACTATTACATCATGTGAATATATCTTTATTTCTAAAATATGATTATGTAATTGGAAAAACCTATCCATATTACAATCAGAAGAGGCAACAAAATTGTTGTTTCTGTAATATATTTATCGGTGTATATAATTATCACATAATCATAAAAGAATGGAATATGCACATGCACAGAACAAGGAAGATTGAGACTTTTATATCAGATTATCAATTTATAATAGATAAACAACAGAATGTTATAGGCACATTTTTTATATATTACACAAACTAAAATAAGATATATATGTTTTTATTATTATTATAGAAACATTAAAACTATCATTAGGTTGATTAAATAACAATCAAATAATTCTTAAAGTATAGATCTATTTAGGTATATATATATATTATTTTCTTCTGTACGAAGCTTTAAATGAGTATGTAGTATCAGTTAATTGCGTATTTAATTATAAAAACGAGAAATTTTTAAAACTTGAGTATAGATGTCGATAGTTAAATTAAAAAATTATGGTAATTGAAGAATATTTCAAAAAAGAAATATAATTTTAAAAAATGAGATGTAACAAATTATATATGTATATATTTTAGTATAATACTTTCTCTCAATCTTCCATGTTATTGCTTTTATGTACTTTAATTTTAAACTTATAGAATTTTTCATCTACTTAATAACATGATTAAAACATATTACATAATTTTCATTGTAGAAAAAATATGTATATGCAGAAAAATGTGTCTTAGATATTTCTTATATATATATTGTACTCCATTTACAAAATTTGGAAGACTTGTTTTGTACTATAATACGTGATATAGGAAATATAAAATTTATAACAGAAAAGATAGAGTATATAGAAAATATAAACAATATTCTTTTATAATTAATATTGCAATCTATAAAAACTTAATATATTATTCTCGCTTATATAATTTTATTTTTAATGTTAAAATATTATACTTATAATGTTAACATTATAGGAAACATATATATATATATATATATATATATATATATAGGAAATATAAAATTATATATATATATATATATATAATACATACACATACATACACAGACCATTTTAATATCTCCATCCTAAAATTTTTTTTCTTATGCATTCTGTTAAAAAAAGATTTAAGCTAAAGTTATTTTAAATTAAAGATGAAATATTATTAATCTTAATAATAGTATTATTTGATCTTCAAGGACGTTTTCAAAATTATTGTCATTGATTCTAGGTAGTGTACTTACTAATTACAACTTTGAAAATTCATAACTATTTAACAAATTAAAATAAAATATTCAAGTAAAAAATTCAGATACAGAAAATATGTATAGTCTTATCGTTTATGTTATATCATGTTATGCAGCTTTTTTATTTTATTATTTGTAAAATAATATTTCGAAAGTCTTAATATTTATATACGTATGTCAAACAAATGTATGATCCTATTTAAAGAAATTATGACGATTTTTAAGACTTTAACATAGTATTTAAGATCAAATTAATATTATCGTTATATTTTTCCTTCAATATTTATCTTTATATAATGCATAAAAAAATTTTGGAGCGCGGACGTTAAAATGGTCTACTCTATAATAAAGTTTATATATTTTAATAAGCGTATGTAACACTAATTTAATAAAGCTACTTGACTTTAAATTAATTTACATAAAAGTAGAATAAATTATATCGTTTCTAATGTTTATTATAAAATCTCGCAGCAAACTATAGCGGAAAAACATGCTTAAAGCATCAATAGACCTAAAGATAATAGGAACACTATATGAATAAATATATAGTTATACAGAAATCCTATAAAATTTTTAGAAGATGTAAAATGTTTGTTTTCTTTCGCTGTTATGCAGGCAATATAATTAAATTACGTAGCTTATTATTGTCTATCATTAAATTAGAGTATCCATTATTGAATAATCAAATGATTGCTATTCCAAATGCAAATTATATTGCTAACTTTGCTTGCATAATCAGCGCTTGAGATTGCCGATACACACATATTTGATATCGAGGAAATCTTCGACCCCGTGCTTGGAACCTTCCCTTCCTAAACCAGATTCCTTCACCCCACCGAAGGCAGCCTCCGCGCATGAAATTAATCCTTCATTGACGCCTACCATCCCAACTTCGAGTTTACGCGCGACTCTAAATATCTGCGATATGTCCTGGGAGAAAAAGTATCCGGCTAAACCGACCGGCGTATCATTGGCTTGCCTTAATACATCCTCCTCACTGCTAAACTTATTAATCACGGCTACGGGTCCGAAGATTTCCTTATTGTATATTTGCATGTCCTTAGTCACGTTGGTCAAGAGGGTAGGCGCATAAAACAAGGGACCAAGATCCGGTAATGAACGACCACCGCAGTGTACCTTGGCACCCTTCTGGACCGCATCTTCCACCAGACCGCTCACCATATCCAATTGACTCTTCTTGATAAGCGGCCCGTGAGTGACACCCTCTTTGCTACCATCTCCCAGCTTAATGTCTTGCTTGATCCTCGCTACGAATTTCTCGACAAACTCGTCGAAGATATCGTCCTCCACGAAGAATCTGTTCGCCGAGACGCACGTTTGACCGGTATTGCGGAATTTGCTGGCTATAGCGCTATTTACAGCCAGGTCGACGTCCACAGTTTTGAAGACGATGTACGGTGCGTTGCCGCCCAGCTCCAGGCCAAGTCGCTTCATGGTTGAGGCGCATTGCTTGTACAGGATCTTTCCCACGGCTGTGGAACCGGTGAACGACAGCACCCTTATTTTAGGATTCTCGCACAGCTCCTTGCCAACAGCGGCGGAATTCGTCACGCTCGTGGTGAGCACGTTCAGAATTCCCGGGGGGAAGCCAGCCTGTTCCGCAAGATCTGCTAGTGCCAGTGCCGTCAATGGAGTGTCCTCGGATGGTTTCACGACACACGTGCAGCCAGCAGCAAGAGCAGCGCCCGCTTTCCTGGTAATCATAGCGTGTGGAAAGTTCCATGGTGTAATTAATGCAGCTACACCCGCTGGTTGTCTTAATAGAAACAATTCTCTGTTCGCTACAGGAGATTGCAAGACTTCACCCTCTATCCTTCTAGCTTCTTCCGCAAACCACTCGACGAAGGCATTTCCATACTTGATCTCCATTCTAGACTCAGAGAGGGACTTCCCATTCTCCTTGGTCAATATATGTGCAAGATCCTCCGAATGTTTAACCATCAGATTGTACCAATTTCTAAGCAAGTCACTCCTTTCCTTGGCTGTGGTTATACTGAACGATTCGAAAGCTTTGGCAGCAGCGTCTATGGCTACTTGAGCATCAGCAATATTCATATCAGGAACATGAGAGATGATAGTATTGTCAACCGGATTGCAAACAGGAAATGTCTGCTTACTACTGGCACTTATCCATTTCCCATTGACATATGCATTGTCTCTCAGAAGATGTATCGCTCTACAGTTCAAAGGCACATGATGAGATAGACAAGCTTGCAACAACCTTGTCCTAACAAACATTTTCTCGCAATTAGATGAATCCTGCAAAGAATAGAAAATAGATAAATAAACTGAAATAATTCAACTCAGTTATATCATAGTAAGTGTTATTACGCTTACAATTTATAAATTTTCTATCTGTCTGATGATAACTGATAACTTATACAGGGTGTCCCAAACCTTACCGTCTGTTTATGGGAGACTTCTATATAAATAAGACGATTTTTCCTCTGCGAAAATGTCGAAGATCATCATTTTTTTAATATTCCCAATTTTTTAAATCATATATCTTTGTAACTAAGCCTTAAATTTAAATCCTGTTAAAGTAAACTTTACCTGAAATTAACTAAAAAATGTAATTTTGTTAACAATTTATTTTCACAAACTTAGTTTACAAAAAAGCTGTTATTTTGATGTCTGGACATTTTCACTGAAAAAAAATCGTCTTTAATTCTGGGACACCCTGTATAATTAATTGCTTACTTTTTTTTACGATACGTATTTATGATACGTGTATAAAATGCAATTTAATCACAAATTCATATCTTTCATAAGATGAATGATTTGCTTTATTGAATACAAGCTGCAACAATGATATTAATAGAACCTAACACTTACAGATTCCGGAGAGACGGATTTATTAATCGGATGATTTGCGCGTCGTCAGCTGATCGACGTCCCGGCACCGGTCGCTTGACGTTACCAATTGGAGGGTTGCGATTGACGGAACGAACTTATATAAGCGACGTGATAACTTCGCATCTCGTGTACTCGGATTAATCAAATGCTCAGTTCGTCGTTGCCGGCGCGTCGGCGTCCTTCAGTCAACACATACACGCTTCGTTATCGGAGGCTGATTGTTCAAGTTATATCAAAATCGATTTAAACAACAGAGTCATCGCATCATGAGCGGCAACACAAAACGAACCATTTACGTAGGCATGTATGGATTAATAATCGAGAAATTTCACCGGTAACTTCTTTTATGATGCATGACAACGTGACTTAACCTCCAATTTTAAATGCAGAGTTTATTCGTACATTTTTTAAAAATAATTTGTCTAAAATATATTATGAGAAACTGTTAATTGCACTCGACACAAATTTTGTATTAATTGTAATTGTATTGTATTAATTGTAATTGTTGTAATTGTGCTATTATTTTTTAATCTAATTTTTAAATCTTTTTTAGGTGGTCTGGCCGAGGAAGTCGACGAAAAGGTACTGCACGCAGCATTTATACCCTTTGGAGAAATTGTTGATGTCCAAATACCATTGGATTATGAGTCTGAAAAGCATAGAGGATTTGCATTTATTGAATTCGAAATGGCAGAAGATGCAGCTGCAGCTATAGATAATATGGTATATTTTAAAATAATATATATATAATTGCGAGTTATTTTGAAAGAATAACTTAATGTTCAAGACTTAATGTTCGTAAATTGGCATAAATAGTTAATTTCGTGAACATTAATTGATTATTTTGAAATATAGCTTTTAAAATTATTTCATAAAATTTATTTATAGTAAATTATTTAAAAGATAAATAGGGGATAAATGCATTAATACTATTTTTATTTAAATTTGATTGATATTTTTCTTATCTAATCTAATCTTAAATATGTACATGAACAAGGTGACATCTTATTTATGTTTATCTTACGATAAGCCATTATAAATAATCTGTTGATTAATAGAATGACTCGGAATTATTTGGCCGAACAATAAGGGTAAATATTGCTAAGCCACAAAAGATAAAAGAAGGCTCATCGAAACCTGTATGGGCGGACGATGCTTGGTTACAAGAACACGCAGGCGAGACACTGAAAAATGATGATAATACAAAGACAAATGATGTTACGCAACCAAAAAAAGCAAAGCAGAATCCCCAAGTTTATTTTGACATAAGTATAGGAAAGCAAGAAGTAGGTAGAATTATCATGATGTTACGAGCAGACATTGCACCAAAGACTGCAGAAAACTTTCGAGCTCTTTGCACACACGAGAAAGGATATGGATATCAGGGTAGCACCTTTCACAGAATTATTCCAGACTTTGTATCCTTAAATATTGTTTTTAAAAATGTATTTGTCTTGAATAATTTCGCGTTGTCTTAATTTTAAACCTTAATACAAGTATAAAATTAATTAATTAATTCTATAAAATTCTTAATACAAGGATAACAGATGTGTCAAGGAGGTGATTTTACGAATCACAATGGTACAGGTGGTAAGTCGATTTATGGCAATAAATTCGACGACGAAAATTTTGAACTCAAACACACAGGACCAGGAACCATATCAATGGCAAATTCCGGGCCAAACACAAATGGGTCGCAATTTTTCTTGTGTACAGCCAGGACGGATTGGTTGGATGGGAAGCATGTCGTCTTTGGGCATATCCTTAGTGGATTAGATGTCCTTAAAAAGGTTGAAAAATGTGGAACAAAAGCAGGTACACCAACGCAAAAAGTTGTTATAACTGCTTGTGGAGAATTAGTATAACTATTTTTATGTGTATCAAATATTTTATAATAAATTATGACTTGTATAAACGATTCACAAAATTATTGCACACGTACACATTTACAATTTTCAACTACATACGTCAGATTAATTCCATAAATATGAAATAGATATTTCTATTATTTCTTCCAAAGATATATGTACGTATATATCTAAATTTCTTATTTTTAACAGCTTAAACAAAAAAAAATATTCTTAATATTTTTAATTGCGCAACATTTCAATATACATCGTCAAGATTATTTGCCAATATGAGATAAAAATAGATAAAATACACAGAAGAGTTAAAAATGAAGAGATCTGCAAAAGTTCATTGAACTGAGAAACCCCTGCCCCCATACTTCCATTCATACAATTATTAACATTTGTCATAATTTCTTCTGATATATATAATTATATAACGTATGATACAATGAACATGTATTTATATCAAAATCTCTGAGTAGAATCTTTGTGTTTATTTTTGTTATTTCATTTTCTTTAAATTAAGGTAATATATAGAAAAGGAAACAAAATGTACTCATGAACAAAAGCTTAAGGAAAGAGACTGCATTTACACATATAATATATAAGTTTTATGGAAAGCAAAATTTTTTCTCTAATTTTCTATTTTATACAAAATATGAAGAGAAAAGATACCAGGTATACAAATATTGCTATGTTATTGACATCACAAATATATAAATATCAGAAACTGAAAAAGTGAGTGAATAAATTTATCACGAAAGACAGTGTTTCGCATTCTCTTCATGATCTCATGTGCTTTAATTTTTAATTAATCAAAGTGTCCTAAGATTCAGCACTAATATAACTTCTCCTGTAAAATGCAACTGATTAGAAGAAAGAGTCGTGATCGTAACAGCATCGACAGATGGGTAATATAAGAAATTAATACTTGTTATTCGAAAATTTCAGATGATATGTTTCGAAATTACTTTTCCATTCATGAGGCTTTATTAGCTATACAATATTTTGAACATTTATGCTTAGATTATGTTTTGAATTTCCACAGAATTGAACTTTCCATAGGGAAACGCTTAGCACAGAAAGGCGCTAAAGTGATGATTAGTAGTCATAAAGAATCGAATGTGAAGAATGCTGTAGAAAAACTTCGATCCGAAGGATTACAAGTTTCAGGTGTTGTTTGCCACGTGGGGAAGGCAGAAGATAGGAAAAATCTCTTTGAAAAAGTAAACAATAAATACAATTGAACTCTCTTCCTCTCTTTTCTTTTCTCTCATATTTACTTCCTTTGTTTTCTCATCTTTCTTTTTTCTTTCCCTGCCCATCTCTTTTCTTTTTCTTACTCTTTGAGAAATTTACATCTGAATCTGTTTAATATAATGCGTTTTTCTTTAATTATACAGGATATTATATCTAAATTTCATCATTATCAGTGTATTGAAAAATAATATAAATTAATTAAAAATTACAGACGAAAGTGAAATTGGAGATTTAGATATTTATTGGTATCTAATACAGCTCTTAACCCAGCCAATGGCAAGATATTAAATAACACTGCAGAAGTATGGGATAAAAATTTTGATGTCAACATTAAATCTCCATTTTTGCTCATGAAGGAGTCTCTGTCACTTCTTAAATGTAGTAAATTGTCGCCTTCCATTATTACTATATCTTCAAATGTTGCATATCAATATTATAAAGTAAGTCTATTTTTTTTATTTTGATTTCTATTTGTACTCTGATCTTATTTATTACTAAAATAGACATTATAATTCTTTATAATAATTTATGTTTTCTACCTTTTTTTCAAGTTCCTTGGTATATATTCAATTAGCAAGGCTGCATTATTGAGTCTGACTAAAATAACTGCAATGAAACTTGCATTTAACGGGATTTGTGTAAACTGTGCATCAGGGATAATAAAGACAAAATTTTCAAAAACAGGTACCTTGCCATTTTCATCGTTTTAGCGATAAATCTTTTATGAAATTTTCACGTTTTTAGTTGTATAACTTGCAGGAAGCATACGATTATTCTACGTCATTTATTAGTATGAAAAAATTCGGAATGTCAGATGAGATCGCGAATGTAGCCGCCTTTTTAGCAAGTGATAATGCTTCTTACATTACTGCTGGTGAAACCATAGCAGCATGTGGTGGAATGTGTTCAAGACTCTAAATTCATTTTACATTAACATTTCATACATTTTTATAATGCCTTCAGCTTTGTTCAATGACTCTAAAAAATTCTATTCTCTTTTAAATATATTTTATTATATATAATATTAAAAATATTTGAAAGTAAATATTTGAAAATAAAATATTAAAAATTTTCTTTATTGTACACAAGAGACAGAGACTAGTATTAATGTATATTTTGCAAAGATAAAATATATATAAATAATAAATAAAATGTATATATACACATTGAAAGAGAAAATGCAACCAGTATCTATGTTATAAGAAATAGTTTGATTAATAAGCAATGTAGAGAATTTAACAATGTAGATTTCACAATTGTGTGTGTGAAACTATCATTTTTCTCATTTTTATATTTAAAAATAATACTTCCACGTATCACAATGCTCTCTTATTTATTTTTACATCGTATTACATTGTATTCAAATAATACATATATCCAAATAATAATATATGATTATTCTAATTAATAAAACGTGTTGGATCTTTCGTATGGCTACACTCGGAATCGATGTATATCCGTTTATTATATTATCGATACTCCTACATTAAGGGCACACGCACACACACACACACACATATATATATATATATATATATATATATATATATATATATGCATGTATGTATATATGTATGTATATGTGTATATATTCACATACGCACTTTGTGTTTTCGTTCACTTTAAATTATGATAATACTACAAATTATCGCGCTTACAAACTAGTATTGGGTAATTATCGACCTATAGCGCATATAAAAATGTATGAATAAATTAAAATTTCGTATAAATAGATAAACCCGTCAATGTTTGTGGCTCTGCGCGATATTTATTCGAACGATTCGGATGAGAGAGAAAGAATGTCGCTTCGGCTTCGTACGGTGATTGAAATAATCACTTGATGAAGTAAAACCTTTTCGAGATGTATGTCACCAGGATGTGAAACTCATCATAATTCGATGTTGGAACTGCTACGACGGACGTATCGGTTGAAGTAATCCGGTCGCCAACACTTGCAGCTACCTGGTACGAGGAACCAATCGTAATACAATCGTACCTGAAAGGAAAAATAATATATAAAGATATAAGAATAATCGTAAGTCAATCAATTAACATTTTAAGGAAAAAAAAAATAAAAACTATAGCTCAGACAAAAATTTTGAAAACAATTTTGTGTTTTGCAGAAAAGATCCTACTTGGAAGCAACCCATTTCGTCGACACCGTCGCAGTGATGTTGCTGAGAGCCACCATTGTTACGCGCCTCTCCCGTGCTCGCCCGTTTCTGCAAATATTGCTGATAATTTTGGAAGTCGTGGACTGGCGGCGGTGATCCAGCGACGGGATCCCGGGTACCGGATCCGATACCAACCGCTTGATTTTCCTCCAAGAACGTGTCCGGATAAAATATCTCGGCCACCAACAGGCTCGTCCATCTCGGTGACGACAAGCATCCACCGTCCAGGTAATGGCATCTCGATTGCCTGCAACATCAGTCAGGAGGATCTTGAAAATACTTGAAATGATTTCAAGGGGGTCTACTAAAAGTAATGAATGGCCAGTTAGGTCGAAATTTCAATAAATTTGTATGGTTTTACTCATCACAGGCGACTTTATTAATTTTATCGTTAGTCTACTAAAAGTGTTTCGATATCTTACATGCATCTGGTGAGCTCGATAGTCTGTGTGAAGTATCCCTCGTAAGGTATCTGCACCACGTATCTCCAAACACCCTGATAATTCTTGGCGAAGACGGGAGTCGCATATTCGACCTTGGCCGGACACGGCGTCGGCGGACCCGTATATTCCGTTTTCTCTTGTGAAGGTACACGTTCCCCTCGTCGATACTCGGATGTCGAAGGTTCGTCCCGACGTTCGATAACTGATGCTGATGACGAGATCGGCTCACCTTGGATCGCTTTGTACAACATGCACACTCTGTTCGTGTAACATGTGTATGTAAGGTGAAGAGAGAACACAATATTATATATAATCATATTTTGATCAAGTATATGTAATCATATTAATTATATATTATTAATCATATTAATTTTATATATTATTATATATACAATAAATAAGAACTCTGTGTCTTCCAAAGATATTTTCTAATCGACTTTTTCTTACAGAAAATATCGAGGAAGAGATCATTAATTACTACAAGAGTATGCAGTCTTCATACAGAACTTGTTGAGATAGATTCTTGAAACAGTGAGATATACTTACACTCCGCCACCGTTTTCGCAAAACTTGCGACCGTTTCGATTAGTATCCGTAATTAAAGCCGAATTCGGATTAGACCTTTTGCTTCTACTGTGTGTTTCTTCTTCGTCTGTATCAACACTACAAAAAGAGAATTTTCACTGATTTGATACATCGAATTGATGTATTCAATTTGCGGCTAAAGCAAAAATTGTCGAGCACCAGTTTAACATAGGTATTTATTTTCACAACAAATATATCGATATCGATATTATGTACATGCATTTGTATATTAAATAATCAAATTTTAGCTATGTACTTTTTTGAAGAATTAAAAGTATGAAAAGACAACAAATATGAATTTAATTTTTTAGCTACATTCGACGCATCTTATACTGAAGATATCTCGGACTACTTACGAATTTTGCGACAACGAATGCACTTTGGCGACCTTCGGCAGTGAGTCATCAGCCTTGAGGATCGGCAACGCCTTGCTGAGGAATTTCAGGGTATGATTCTTTATAAGCGCGCTGCAAATAAAAATTATTAGAAATGGTCATTTTTAATAAGATCATTTAATGATACGCGGGAATCTCTCTATATTAAGTATCCTATGTTTACTTGACTTCTTTCTCACTTACAAAGGATACGATGAGCCGTTCACATATTGATTCATTGGATTCCGCGGAATGTAGCCCTTGTTCAGATCACCGCAAATATTATGTATTGAAACAAATCCCTTTCCTTGTTTATCCTTGCTACCTAAAAGTCAGGGCAAGTGGCAGCAATAATTGAAAATCCTTGTTGCAATTTAATCTTCGAGAAAATGCACAAATTAATTTCTTTTTATTTAATGTCTAATGCAATCACTTTGCTACGACAAAAATGTAAAAATTAAAAGAGATATAAATGAATTACCGGCAATTGTCTTTGATGCAGAATTTTTATCTGAGATATAAATAAAATTTTATTCTCGCGTATATAAGCGTTTTTCTCCACGTCCGATACAATTAAAAATATGTCTACATTTTCAAAAGCAACAAATATATTTACATCTTTTTATAGAAATATAACTCTATTTATATAGTCCGTATTCCGGACCTACCGTAACATTCTTTATCGCTATCGATGTAAGGCGGTGGTCGAACTCTGGGTGGTTCCGCATTCGGTGATTCGACAAACGCGTAATATCCCTCTGGGGGCTCATCTTCTCCTTTAATGGATTCGTTGTCGTTAGTGGTAGTCGGCTTAGTATTTTTCGACTTGTCGTGTTCTTCGGACGCATAGACCGCATAGGACGATACGCACAAGAGTATCATCTAATAATAATCATATTTTTATGAGAGGAAATATATTTATATTACATAATTACATATATTACATAATTATACATACATATATATATATGTGTGTGTGTGTGTGTGTGTTTAATCTTTTGTTTTTGTCAGAGTATAAGTCTACATTTGATTTTTAATTGCAGTTTTTCTCCGTCTTCTCAACAAGATTTCTCTAGACGTGCTCCTGCGGTATAATAATAACGGCTAACAAGTTATTACGTTGGCGCGATTACGAGAGAGGTATTCCCTCGTAGTTACCGAGGTATGCGTTGGATGCTAACGGTACACGGTCCATGGTCGGCGCTTCTCGTGCTCCGGGCTGTTCAGCCTATTTTATAACACGCGTGCTACTCGATCGTTGCCCTACTAACCGGTGCATTATACCGTTCCACTGATAATAATCACACTTTGCTTAAGGGCTGATAAGTCGAAAAAAGGAAAGAATGATGCTTTTATTATTATTATATTTTATTGATATTATTATTTTTTTTCGAAGCGTCCTGAGTGCAGTTCCTGAAGTAGTTTACATGCTTTACAATATATATTCTGTATGAATTTAATTTTATTAATTCTTCGAAAATATAGAAAAAAATCCTACGCAATAATTGTCATTTTTTTTATTTTGAAAAAACAGAAAAAGGAAAAGTTCAAGTGTCTATATATATTTCAAAATGATAAGCTAGTCGAAAACAGTTTTGTATATCAACACATTCAATGATGTCTCATCTTCATTGATAGCTTTTTCAACTTGAATTCTATTGATTTTAAATTGAAATTTAATATTAAAATTAACTTAAAAAAACATCGCAGAATGTTTTGCGCAACTTTATTCAGCTGCACCGATCGCCATAGATATACTTTATCTCCAATCTACTCGATGTACATAGTAAAACCGTGATTATCAATTAGTGACTCTTCATTAGACGCAGCTTGATGGGACTTGAGGAATTTTTAAATGTAGGAATTCTTTCCGCGTCGCCCGAGCAAGGTGGATGTTCGTCCTACTTTCTTGCAGTAGATTCGAGCGTTAGGAAGTTACGATACAGTTACGAGGACAATGACGTCTCCGAACCGGTATCGACAGAAACGGTAGACTTGATTCTCATTTAGCGGGGCATAGCCGATGATAGCATACGGATACCTGACATTGTTTTCAAAAAAAGCATACAATTCAAAAATTATAATTTTTGTAATGTTGCTACAGATTAATTTTTTATTCAGTTCTGTCACTTTTAAAATATTTTAATATTTTACTTTCTTAGTAAATCCGTATTTAAAGTCTCGTTAAAGATTTTTCTCTTAGAAGAAATATTTCTTTCAGAAGAACTTTTATTTGATCGCTTATTCTGAATTTCTTATAAACTACTTTTATACATAGAACATAGTTCTTCTTTTTATTTGATTTAATTTTCTATTTTATCAATTTGAAGTTTAAATATACTTTATCAGGAATAGAGAGACTTCTAACTTTACATGCGATAAATTTTATATAACTGTATAAATAGAGATCAAAAGCTTTATTTTGTTTAGAGAATGTTTCTATTAACATTTAAAGTTTTCTTTCTATTTTACTCTTTAAATAAAAAATATGTATATAGATGTTAGAAAATTACAAATAAAACAACGTCTCACGTGTTAAATTTTTACTAAGAAAATATTAGCTTTAAATTAGTTAAAACATTCGCGAATTACAGAAGACGCAAAGAAATTGGAGCAATTCATACAATTCATTTGATCATAAATTTTTAAATATGTTGCAGTCGTAAAAAATAAGTTGTCAAGGAGAAAAAGGACTTACGACAAACGTGCGAAATTCCATGGTGCGTTAAGTCCAGGATGAAGGATAAGGAAGAGATAGAAACGTCCTCTCCGCGATTTGTCAAGTTCTTCTCGACACTGACTCACGCGAGAGCCACGGTTAAGTCTACGTATCAGCCAACGGTTATAGCAAAACTGAATTTCTCGTCACCCGCACCGCGCTCGAGGAAACCAAGCCACTCACCTTCACCTCGGCCGTGTACTTGACCGTCGTGCGGTGGAAAAACGCGCGAAGGTATCGAACTTCAGCTCTGATTAAATATTAAAGTTGAATATTAATGATTTCCTTTTTTTTGTTTTGTTAAATTTGAATAATCTTTAATGATCACTTGCTGCGTTTCAACAAAATTTATCAAGTTACAAATATAAAATTAAAAATATTTTACTAAAGAATAAAAATCATATGTTATTTTTTCAATAATTGATATTATATTATTTTTAATTAATTTTTTAAAAATATATTCTATTCTCTTAATTATGATTTTTAATTGCTACAATATACTGTGATTTTAATAACTTTAATATGTTTAAAATTGATAATCACTTTGGAAGACACGCAAGTTATTCAAGACATTATGCGAAGTTAATAAAGTTAATAATCATTTTTTTAAACATAACAAATATATTATTATATCATTCTTTAATTTTTAACAAATCTTAAAGCTCTAAAAAAATATCGTGTTTTATTTCATTTTTACAATAATTTTGCGCTACTTAACTCTCCGATTATTCGATTCAACATAATCATATATTCGAGACTAGATGTATCTGTGAAAAAATATATATATTTTGTATAATTTGTTAATGAAGATTTTCAGAGATTTTCACACCAAAAACATTTCTACTGTTATTCATATAAAGATTCGTATAAAGAAAAATTTAAGGTATAATTATAAAATCTCTGAAAATCTTTATTAACAAATTATACAAAATATATATATTTTTTCACAGATACATCTAGTCTCGAATATATGATTATGTTGAATCGAATAATCGGAGAGTTAAGTAGCGCAAGCAGCCAGGTCTTAATAAGTGACATTCAGCTCCGTCTCATCCTTGTGATAGATCAAAACGTCCTTCACCATCATGTTCGGACCATCGTAGCGGAAGTTGACGGCAGGTCGATCCAACGGGAATCCGAGCGGTTTGTTGTCGAATTCAGAGGCGCCGAAGACACGAGACTCGTAGGGATGCAGTTCTCCCTCGACCGGACTCACATAGACGAAGAATCGTAAGGGCATGCCCTCTTTTTTGCCCTTCGGCAGGAGCAGACGTTGAGGGAATCCGTAGAGTCGTTCCGTGTACGAAAAAGTGTCGGAACCGTCCAACGCCTTGAGTACTTTCTTGTAGAAGACCTCGCTCGGTTCCGGATCAGGCATGACGAAAGAGCAATCTTCACTGTTTCGGACGATCTTATTTGCGCCGGCATTCACTGTAATGCAACGTAAGAAGAAAATTAATCTCCGAATCCGAAAATATATTTATATACATGAAGAAAGAATTTTATACTTTATATTTTATATAGCTTGCAGAGAAATTAAGCTAAAATTAACAAGTTTTTAGAAGGAGGAATTAAATTGGTACTAACGATCGACTATCCAGTTGTCCATTTCATAGAAGTATTTTCCTCTATTAGCAATATCCACCGGTTTATGATCAATGTCGAACTTCTGTCCGAGGAAAATACGTATGGCGGCTTTCATCGGCTTCTCGGCGTTGATTACAAGATGGAAGCTGAATGGCTTATGATTGAGACGGTGCTGACGGATTTTGATCAACGTGTTCTCGGCCTCCTTGAGATTATCAATGATCAAACCGTTGTTGATCGAGGTGTCAAATTGATCGAAAAAGGTGATCAATTTATCCACGGTGAAGGACTCGATCTTTAGCTCGGGATAGATGATATCATTCTTGTCATACGGTTTTTGATGCAGTTTGTATCTGAAAAAAATTTAGATCAAACATACTGTCAAGAGGAAAATGTCATATTGGTTGCAATTGGTAAGTAAAAGTCGGGACCAGAGTGTTCCACGTTTTTTTTTAAAGTGTTTAATCCTATTTTTAAGTGATACCTGTAATAATAGGATTTGAATATTCTCTTGTAAAAACGATAGAATGCGGGATCTCTCATAGACGTGCTGTAAAACTCGAGAGCACTAGGTATAATCTGATGGGTTGTTGACGGTTTCAGATTGGATCCGAGGACCTTCCTCGCGAACAAATCGATGCTGCCATAAAAGTCGCGGTTGCAGGAGTCCGCGTTACCCTCGATGAGATTGCCGAGGAGATTGAGGCCTTCGGGCGTGTAGATTTTTATAAATTTGCCGTTTGCGTCCACGATAAATCCGGAATCGATGGCGGCCGAAACTCGAGATTCCATGTCGTCCAAGTCCTAGAAACAGATTTTGATCAAAAAAAATTCTCGATCGCTCGCTTTGATCAAAATTAAATCAAAATTAAATCGCACCTTTATGTAAGGGTACTCATAGGAGGGAAATTTGCTCGAGTGAGGTCTCTGCGGCAACGGCAGTCCATTGTGATAGGTCATCGTCGGATAGTATCCGGTGTAGAATTCAGTGTGCCAATCGAAATCCTCCATTTTACCGACATTGTTGGACAGCCGTTCCAAGTAGTAACGAGTCATCAGCAGTTTATGACCGTAAAGATATTCCGAGCCGCGCCATTTCTGCAACCCGAATTCCTTGCTCTTGAGCCAGAACGGATTGTCCAATCGGAAGTAGAAGTAGTAGGCATTCCAGCCGATATCCTCGGTGAAGTAATTGAGCTTGTGCTCTACATCGTGGTCGTGCGATATGTACCATCCGGAGTAATTCGCCGGGATGATGTAGGTATCGTAGCTACCAAACTTCTTTGAATCTATACAGATTAAGAAAGAATCCTTTAAGAATCTTCTGAGGGGAGACTTTTAACGAAACTCTTTTTATTTTTAAGGTCATACGCGGATATCACATTGAAATTCATGCAAACAACGAGATCTAGATGAACGCGAAGAGAAATTTCTAAAACATTCAACTCACCGAGTTTACCGAAGAATTTCGCGTGATGCGCTTTCTGCAGTATTTCGGAATTGAAGTACAAGTACGGATTCATCTCGTAAATAGGTGGTAGCTGCAGGAATTTGGTATCCTCGCGACGTATAACGGCGTTATAGAAAGCATAAGTGTATGTCATCTCGTTCATATTAATGCGCGCCCATGACGCCGTTTTGAAAAAGGTGTCGAAGTCCTTGGCGTAATAGAATAAATAGAACAACGCCTCCATTTCCTTCAGGTTCTTTTCATAGTATGGGGAGCTGACCTCGCCGCGCGGAGACACGCCATATTCGTACAAATAGAGGAAGTTCTTCACCGCAGTCTGCAAAAATTAGGTAAAAAAAATAACTGTAGACAATAATTTATATAGACAATATCATTTATCTCAAATCTTACTATATAAAATTTTCAGGAACTCGAGAGCTTACTGGAAACATGAAGAAATCATTCGCACATTACAGATAAGCGTAACATAGTTAATTCCACAAACTCGACCGGTTTCGAAATACCAGATGAATTAACCGAGTCTACAGGATATAATAAAAAAGCAACCCGGTTAGTAAAAAAAAAAATCTCTTATCCGTTATTATAATTACATAACTGACACGATGTTTACCGTGTTAGTGTAATTGTTGATGTTGGCCTTGATATTGTACGAACGGCCTTCGTCGTACTGGGCAGGATTTACGAGGGAGGGTTGCGAGATGTGATACAAGAGATTGTAGATCTTCTTCTGCTTAAGGAGAAACTCCTTGTCGGCGACCTTGACGGTTTTGTAATCAGCCGCTACCAGACCCAAAAGAGCCGCGACGACGGCCAGTGCCGTCAGGAGTTGCATCTTCTCGCAAAAGCTATTCCCGATGTGTCCCGAGTCGAGAATTCTGTGCGACGCACGAAGCGGCGCAGGCACTTTTATACACCTAAGTCAAGCGCACAATCAAAGCGATAGGTCATAGGGGACATGGACCGAACCATGCCCGATATCAGTTTGTACAAGTTTCTTTTTACTCTCGTTTCGTCCGCCGAGAACGTGTGTCGCTCGAATGAATGATTAACATCCAATGCAAGTATAAAAAAATTTTATCGCGATTTTTTATCCCGTTCATTAATCACGTACGTCTCGCTTCAATTAATCATATTAATTATATCGCCGTTAATCAGGGTCGGATTAACCAATAGGCAAACTAGGCACTGCCTATGGAGCCCACCACAAAAAGGCCCCCACTAATCAGTGAAGAAAAATTTTATTTATAACCAAAAAAATTGTTTTGTATTATGTTAATTACAGTTCCTTTTTAATGCTTATATGTTTAATTAATTTTCAAAAAATCCTCGTCTTACATAGGCCCTCACCAAAATTTACCTAGGACCGCATATTAGGTTAATCCAGCACTGCCGTTAATTATTCCAGATGTTTATGTGTTGATATTTTTTAACTTTTGACTGCATAGAAGTTATATATATGTATTATTATATTTTTAAATGAAATGAGCAATTTTCTTTATCTCATTTTTTAGATCAACAACATATATATCTCGATCATTATTTATCAAGTCTTCTTATCTCTTGGGAATAATATATTTTGAAATACTCATTTTTGCAGTATTATATATATCTATCATGTTATGGATACTAAAGTGAAACAGTTACACATATAATATTGATATGAATTTGATATCTTATGATAGATACGTGAAAAAGTTTTTAGCTTCTTGTGTAGTATTATTTCTTCTAATTTGTGATACATAAAAATAGCGAAAAAGACTATTCGAAGCAATGATGCTAAATACCGTGTCAGCCAAATAAGCGGCGTAATTAATTAAAAAAACGAATGATTGTTAATGAATTCGTTCTCATGCGAATAATATGTTTTTGAGTAGACCTGATCGTGCAATCGATCCAAAGTATATTTGCGCAAGTTCTATGCAACGACAAGTACAAGCTAAATTGTTTAAATTGTCTTTCAAGGAATGATATATGAGACCTCATTAATAGCCGCATAAGTGTAAATATACGTACTATCATGTATGACTTTTGACTCGAATTCAAATTATATACATGTCTTACTTATGTGTCCACGTGGCTGTTTAATTGAGTTTTGAATCAATCTTTATGACTTGTACACACAAATATGATTTTATAAATCTAATAATCTTTCTTGAAACCTAAATACTTTCAATTTATTGCTTTTTTAAAATTTTTTATTTTTTATTAGTAAAATTTGATTCTTTAATAAATATATATTTTTAATCGTATTATTAAATTAGGGAAGTATATGCCAGCTATAATCATTAATTATACACTTGCACAATTATACTTATCAAAGAAAATTAAGAAACAAAGCAATTATTCTTGAACAATTTAAATATTAAATTTTATTTACTTTTATGATTTTATTTGCTTTATTTTTTTAATTTTATTTTCTTTGTGATCTTATGTGCCTTATATCTGTGGCAATCATTTAGGTATAAATGAATGCATAAATAAGAAACAAGCGATTTCTGAGTATATTTGTTATAGTCAATATTAAAGTATTGGTATTAGTTTGTATATAGTTATCAGGGTTGGGAAGTAACGAGTTACTTGTAACGAAGTTACAGTTACAGTTACTTTTTTCGGTAACTATAACTTAACTTCGTTACTTTTCTCCATCTGTAACTGTAACTGTAACTTAGTTACATTTTTTTAGTAACTAGTAACTATTTTAACAGTTACTTTATGAGTTACTTTTTTGGAAACATGCGCTAAAAGTATCGTTCAAGTATGGTAGCCGTTATATTGTTATTAAATTCTGATAACAGTAACATATGGATCTTTATATGATTTAATCTTTTACCTACAATTCTCATATATATTTAGTGTACATAAAATAATATAACACATAATTAAGATCGACTAATCACAGTCAAGTATTTAAAAAAATTCTTAAATGTAATAATTAGTCGATTTGCGACTTTGCGACTTTGCGATTATCATTTAGTAAGTTACTAACTATTGTTACTGTTGTATATAAAGGTCATTCCCCAAGGAGAACAGAAAGTCAAAATTATGTCAATTTAACATCATATTGACTAAATATTGACCAAAAAATGACATAAATTTAGTCAATATAACATCAAATTGACATCATTTTGACTTTTCTGTTCTTCTTGGGTTCATATATACATTGATGGTAATCGCAAAGTCGCAAGCAAATCGATCAATTATTACATTAAAGAATTTTTTTAATACTTGACTGTGATTGTGCATAAAATGTAAGCTCCTTATATTTAAAATAATGTATAATTATTTTTAAAAAGTAACTGAAAAGTAACGACTCGTTACTTTTTGAGTAACTGTAACTGTAACGAGTTATTTTTTAAAATCGGTAACTTGTAACTGTAACTAATTACTTTTTCAATGAAATAACTGTAACTGTAACTAGTTACTTTTACAAAGTACCCAGTAAGCAAAAAATCATTGCTACAACGTTATTATTGTTGTCAAGTATGTCGTTTTTAACATTGTATACAACATCATTATGAACAAACTTTGACATATATTGATCTAGATGTTTTAGTAATGTTGAAATTAACGTTTTTAAAATATTTTATTAATATTTTGAGAGCATTATGTTATTAAATAATATATTTAAAACATTTATAAAACATCAGTTAAAACATTTTTTAGAATATTTATTAATAATATTTTAAACATATTTATACAACATTATATCATAACGTTTGGAAAATTTATATAAAATCAACATTATAAAATGTTGATTAAATATTTCTTGCTTACTGGGTTATTATCTCAGCATTATCTGAACATATTAAAATATTAAAGAGTATATGTATTTAGAGCTCATAAAAGAGCAGAAACCGCGAGATGCAGGTCAAGACCCCCGACTTCGACCTGCTTCGCTTACACTCAAATTAGAATATATATGCAGGGTTGGAAAAGTTACTTTATAAAATTAATTAGTTACAGTTACAGTTATTTCATTGAAAAAGTAACTAAGAATCCAATCCATGCCACGATTGATGATATGTCATGACGATAAAAATTTCGCATGACAGATCGATAAATGAATCATTGTGCTTAGTACAATAAACGAAAAATTTTTTATTATCGGAATTTATTTGAGTCTATATTATCTGGGATGACCATATCGGAAAGCGTTCGCAAAATAATTAATAGTTCCTCGAAAGGTCCTTATTGTCTCATGACCCGTGATAAGTGCCCTAAACAGCTGATTGTTGTTATTGTGACTTGGATAGCATAATCGTCTGCCTCTTCGATAACGTTAATGGAGAGTATTATGCAAATATTAATTGATCCATAGAACGTTACAGAAAGAATTGAATATAAAAGTTTACGTTTCAAATTTGATTTTTATTTAAAACTATTATTTGATTAGTTAATATGTATATTTTTGCATAACATACTGTTTATTTAAAATAAATTAGAATATTTTTTGATGATAAATCTAATATTTTTTATCAGTAATAGTAATAACTATTTAAATATCAAAAATTCAAGGAATTATTCGTTATGAATTATATATGTATGGTATATATATCACTTTGGAAAATATTACAGCATATCTATTCAAATGTTTGCACATTAATTTCAAGGTTTTATCTATGGTAAAAATAAACATACGTCAATTATGTAAACCACACATGCAAAGTACAAAGTATATATTATTGATTATCGCAACATTACGACATTCGCATTGCTATTAAAAGAACTTCACGTATAATCACATATGTATTTACAATGGCTATAAATCACATATTTGTCGCATATATTTATATCATCAAAATTTTCAAAAAGCGAATATGTCGATTTATTCAAATTGATTGAAATATTCGATATATTGTTTTAATTTTACAGATTTTAATGGAATCCACTTTACGAATAAATGAAAAATCGAAAGAAATCGAAGAGGATCGAAAACTAAAAGATTTGGTGAGTACAGAAAAATAGAAGAGACCAGATATAAATGTGAAAGGATGTTTCGTAGAATTTATTTCTTCTGGGAGATGCAAATTGAATTTACATATCAAATGCTGGAGGACGCAAAATTATATAGGTAATAATCTTCTCTTAATCGTATATCTCTTTTTTAATTTTAGCTCAATCGCGTGTGTTAAATAACTATACAAGTTATAAACGAAGAGTATGATGATACGTCATCGCTTAGCAGAACGATTATATAACGCGGACTTTGTTGTTACGCAGTGAGATTCAATTCCTCCATCTGTTTGTGAAAAATCAGAACGTCCTTGGTGTAGAAGTTGGGTACGGTGAAGTTGAAGGAAACCGGTCTGTCAAGTGGATATCCTAAGGGACGACTGTCCACCACGCTGGGACCCCAGACGGGAGTATCCATCTCTATGGCCGCCGTCTCATCGAAATGCGACACAGCTACGAAGAACTTGTATGGCATGCCCTCCTTCTTGCCCCTAGGAAGCATCAGACGTTCAGGGAGACCGTAAGGCTGTCCTGGATAGGTGAAGGCCTCGCCACCCTCGAGAGCCTTCACCATCTTCTTGTACAGGGCGTCGCTTGACACCTCGTCGGGAACGACGTAGATGGACTCGTGGCTGTTGCGCTCGATCTTGTTGGCACCGGTTTTCACTATAACGATTAACGTTATTGAGAACCTTATATATCTTTCATCAGAGAAAAACTTGATTTTGGTAAAGGAATTTACGAGTAAAAATATACTTGATTCATCTTTCGTATAAAAAGGAAATAATTTGATACTAACGGTCGACGGTCCATTGATCCATCTCCATGAAGTTTATGTAGTTCTCGCTCATGTCCAATTCGTGACCGTGAACGTCGTATTTCGGTCCAATGAAAACGCGAACGATCGCCTTGACATTCTTGTCACTGTTGACCGTGATGTGATAGGTGAAGGGCTTGTGGTTGAGACGATACTGACGAGCCTTGATCAGCATCGACTGCGCTTCCTTGTGGCTGCGCACGGACACGGCATTGTTGAGCAACGACTCGAATTGATCGAAGAATGTCATCAGTTTGTCGACAGTGACGGATTCGATCGTTACTCCCGGGAAGGCGAGTTCCTCGTACGTGTATTTCGGTAAGTGTTGCTTGTATCTACGAGAACGAGAAAAAGTAATGAAGTCAAAGAAATGATTTCAAGATTCCTCAGTAAAATTGTAAATCTGCAAAGTCGTACCTCATCCAGTAAGTGACGATGTTCTTGTACATTCCGTAGGTCACGGGATCTCTCATGCGGGTGGACAACATGTCGAGAGCGGTAGGGACGATGTTGTGCTTGGTGGTAGTTACCGGGCTCATGCCAAGGATCTTCCTGTACATCGGATCTATGCGTCCGTAGTACATGGGATTGACGGAATCGGCATTACCTTGGATCACGTTGGCGAGATGATTGAGACCGTCCATAGTTTCGTAAATTTTGATTTGTTTGCCGTTCATGTCGATGAGATTGCCGCTGTCGATGGCGTTAGAGATGCGATTGTGGGAATCGTCCAGCGCCTGTGTCATGCAAAAGAGAAGATTTAATTAATTCATTCCCATTAATTATTTAATTAATTCTATTCTCTATTCATCATTATATAATATCCTCCATTTCCAGAATATTCTTTCGACGTTTCTTGGAAGTCTCAGTCTTTCTTTGTGATACTTATGATCATTACTAACATACCTGAATATCTTTGTACGCATGAAGAGGGATATTGTAATCAACAGGACGTTGCGGAAGTGGCAGTCCATTGTGATGTTGCATCGTCGGATAGTAACCGGGAACAATAGGCTTGTGCACGTCGACGTAATCGATCTCGCCGAGATCGTTCGACAGTCTCTCCATATAGTAGCGGACGAGCAACTGCTTGTGCATGTACATATACAATTCACCACGGACGTTCTGGAGCATGTTGAATTTAGCGGTGTTCATCCAGTACGGGAACTCATGGGAGTTTGCGAGATAGAAAGCGTTCCAGCCAACATCCTCGGTTAAGTAGCTTAATTTTTGCTGTTCCGGAGCTTGCTTGTACACCATGTACCAGCCGCTGTAGTTAGCAGGAATGTAGTAATGATCCACACCCCCGACGGTTTTTTTCATGCCAACTGTGAACCAAGAGGTTTTTATTTCTTTTATTATTTATATAATAAAATATTAATAGAATAATTCTAATTTAAAAAGAAAATAAAATAAATATTTGATTTGACTAATATATTATACTAACCCGATTGTGTATCTCCCATTGCGATGCGATAGGCCTTATGTATGACTTCCTCGTTGAAGAAATACTGAGGGAACACCTCGTAAGCCGGGGGCAGACGGATGTTCTTAGTGTCCGGGCGATGCAAGACGGCGACGCTCAACGCGTAAATGTACATTTGTTCGTTCACGTGGAAGCGAGCCCATACGGCGGTATTGTAGAAGGTATCAAAGTCCTTGGCGGTGTGGAAAACGCGGAATAGCCTGATCGCATCCTTGTAATTTTGCATGACTCTCACAGTGAAAATTTCTCCCCGTGGGAGCATTCCATGCTTCCATCGCTGCAGGAACTCGGTCACGACCGCCTAGAATAACCGAATCATGATGTGGCTTACAGCATTGTTCACTAAATCAGGATCAAAATGAACTTTTCGGGATTTTCTTCAGCTTCTCATTCAATATAAGGTAGGGACAAGAGAAAGTCTCTATCTACTACTCTAATGATTTTATCATAAAATAATGTAAAAACTAAAAAAAAATTTAATATAACAAACATAATTTATGAAAATATTAAAATGTATTATACACGCATATTAGAAAAATTATTTTTTCAGATATATAGCTTTAATTGTCCAATACCTGATCCGTGAAAGAAGCGATGTTGTTTTCGAGGTTGAAGGATCGCGCCTTTTGGTAGAGCTCCGGGTGGTAGACGGTCGGCTGGTCGACATGCCAGAACAGCTCGTAGATGCTCTTCTGCTTGATCAGGTACGTCTTGTCGGCGGTACGGGTGGGCACTTGCGTGGCATGAGCCAGGCACACAGCCGCCAGGAACAACGCAATCACTTTCATCCTCGGTACTTGCTCCGCGAAGGACCGGCTCGCAACATCTCTCGCTGGCTGCATTATATACTACTCTTTGCCGAGATAACACCAATTTTTGGATACACGATTATGAGACCAATGAGGTAACCAGCTACATCGATAAACCAATTTATGTGTTGTTTGTGTAATTATCTTTATATTGATAATTTTGTCTACCCTTTGACTCTTCAAAAATCTGCTGGGACTCGTATTTTTCGTAACATTTTATTTTGCGTTATCTGTTGAAAAAAATAATTTACGTCTCTCGTAAAATATTTATTTTTTCAAATATTCTATCAAATATTCTATCAAATATTCTATCAAAATATTTTGATTCTTTAGGTTCTCCTTTTATTTTTAACAGATATAGATTAAAGTTGTAACGCAGCAGAATTGAGATAAATTACATATATAGCGAAATTTTGCTGTACAATCTTTTGACAATCTAACAAATTAAAACGTATTGCCACGTTTTAATGTCCAATTTAATAACTTTTCTCAATTAGAAAAGTAATAGTTATTTTTAGAAATGTTATAATAGCAAATGCACATCTTAAAATATATTATTGTTATATACAAGAGTATCTGAACAATATCTATATACATAAAAAAATTGCAATGATAACAGAAAAAATTGCAACATAAAGCTAATTTAGATAACAGACCATTGATTCTACATCAATGTTTTTTCAAACAGAAAGATTTAAATAGAAAAGATTCATATTAAAATCAAGAATAAAAGATAAGTATTTTCAAAAATATATTAATAAGCAATAAATAATCATTTTAATTGTGGACAGATCTCTTGCATAATACGATAACGAATCCGAAAAAGTATACATATATAACTCGTTTTCTTGCGATTATATACAACTTTGATAAACTGTTAAACCTAACGATTATATAACATATTATTTAAACATTCTTATAATAGTGGCAAGTCTTCTAGTTAAAAACAAAAATAGAACAAATTATCACCCAAAAAATTATTCAAATCTCTCCTCATATAAAACATAATCAAACATTAGTAAAAGTCTTTATACACATACATTAGAAATTTTTATATTTTAAAATTATTTATATAAAGAGAAAAGAAATATAAAAAATGGAAAGAGAGTTCTCATAGAATTAAAAATAGTTACTTATTTATAATATATTCATGTATCTTGTTTCATTTTTGAACAATTTATAATTATCTTTATTTGTCTTTAATGTTTGTAGATATAAATAATTTTTGATACAATTAAATTTGTTAAATTTCTATTAATTATTTATATTTTATTTATATTTATATTATTTATATTATTTATTTCCAAAATATACTAATATTTTGTTACGATTAAAAATTTTTTAAATTTATATAGAATGGGTTACAAGCGAAATTATAAATCTTTATTTTTCTCGCTAAATTTTACATAAATAAAATTTTTTTGTAAAACTTCACGATTAATTATATAAAGTTATTTATAATTGAATGTTAAAAAGTATTGCAAATGAAAGATAGAGATAATATCGAGATAATATCAAAACTTCTCCTGAAGAATTGTTCGACCAATTAATTTTTTAATTGAAGAGTAGATAAAGAATATTATTTTATTAATAAGCTAAAGTTTAAATAAAATATATGAGTAGAAATTATTCTATTCAATCATTAAATTTTCGATCATTTATTTCTGTCATATTCTTTTTTTTAATGTAACAATTTATTTCTCATTCTTATAATAAATATGTGTGAATCTAAAAATAAATTTTTTTTAATCTGTATGTAAAAAAATGATTTGACGTAAACGTAAGATAGTAATCAAATAGCTATAAATAATTGATAACATCAAATCTGTGCACAAAGATAAAGCCTAATACTTTCTAATTCTAATTAGTACGTGCAAAATTCGACAGTTTCAATACAGTCAATACAGTATACTTCAATAGCATTTTTTCTGATATTATTTTTTTCTTAACTGCTTAATTTCTAAGCTACAAAACGCATCATACAAATTATTTTTAATGTAATAAAATATACATTGTTTTCAAAATTTTTTAAAGTTAATAAATTATATAAAACACTTTTCTCAAAAAATATCAAATATTATACTACACATTATTGATAATTAAAATTGATAATTAAATTTATATATACGCAGACATTAAGGAAAATTGATCAAATATGAGAAATTCAAGTAGAAAATAAACTTTCGCAAAATGCAAAAACTTCGCAAAGAAAGAAAACGTTCTTTGTTAAAGAAGAAGACATTTATAAAACAGATATTATTTTAAGTTCTTAACACGAGGAAAGGAGAGACGGATTCGTATAAACCTTTTTTCTCACATAATTTATCAACATTCTTTATTGAAAGAAACGTTTTAATTCACGTACCACACTCGAGCGATACTTATGCAGTTCTAATTGTAATTGTCAAAAATAGCGTTATTCTTTTTCGGAAGGTTTAAGAGTGCAAGGTTCAGCAACTTAAAAGCTCATCGTTTTCTCGTCCTCCATCGTGTGATAGATGTATACGTCCTTCATGAACATGTTTGGCGTGAAGAACTTCCACGGGTACATCGGTCTGTCGAGCGGGAAGCCGAGCGGTTTCCCTTCAAACATCAATTTGCCGAAGATCGGCAGCTCTATGTTCGTCATCTTGGTGTCGTCGAGCGTGCTTAAGTAAAAGAACATCTTAAATCGCATCCCCTCAGGTTTGCCCTTGGGTAGAGTCAAACGCTCGGGCATAGTGAAGAGCTTCTCGTAGTAAGTAAATGGTTCGCCACCACCCACAGCCTTCTCCAACTTCTTGTAGAACATATCGCTGGACATCATGTCAGGCATGGTGTAGATCGAGTCCGAGCTGTGGCGTTCGATGGTGTTTGTGCCTTGTCTCACTGAAAAAAACAAGGTTTAATGACGATTCCGAAAAAAAAGAAAAAAAGGAAAAATCTGCAGGATCAGGACTTACGCGTTATAACAAATTTATCCATCTCGAGGAAGTATTTGTAGTATTCGCGGAGATATGACATATCCTTCTCCTTGTGCATGTCATCGAGAGCGGGCCCCAGGAATATCTTGAGTAAAGCTTTGGTCTCCTTGTCACTGTTAATGTTGAAGCGATAGGTGAACGGTTTGTAGTTGAGGCAGTGACGGCGAGTCTTCACACGTAGCTTCATTCCCTCCTTGAAGCTCTCCACGGAGAGAGCATTGTTGATGAACGTATCGCAGGTATCGAAGTAAGTCATCAGCTTATCAATACTGACGGATTCGAACTTGACGCCCGGGAACATTAGTTCGTTCTGGGTATAGTACGGCATATATTTTTTATACCTATTAAAAAGAAAGAAAGAAAGACACAAATTAAGATCAAAATTTTTATGATTTCAGAAAAATAACCGCACGTACGAACCTGAAGAAGTACATCATGATCCTCTTGTTCAGACGATAAAATCCTGGATCTCTCAAGCTGGTGCTGTAACATTGGAGAGCGCTCGGGATCACCTTGTTCTTGTCCTTGTAGTCCATGTTGAAACCAAGGATGTCGCGAGCGAGAGCGTCGTACATTCCATAGAAGCGTCGGTTGCACGAATCCACGTTACCTTCGATCATGTTCGCAATGATGCTCAAGCCCTCGGGAGTATAGATGTTGATTTGCTTGCCATTCTTGTCATACACATAGCCGAGATCGATGGCGTTCATGATACGCATCTCCAGAGTTTCGATATTCTGTTCGCGATAGATTTATAAATAAGTAAGAAAAAATTAAATAATTATAGCGTAGGAATAGTGAATGAATGACAATACCTTCAGATATTTGTATTTATAGAAAGGTACGTTCATGTAGCGAGAGCGTTGCGGCATGACGAGTCCGTTATTATACATAAGGGTTGAATAGTAGCCCGGGTAGAAAGGCTTGTTCCAATCAAAGTCCTCGACATCACCCAGATCGTTGGAAATGCGTTCCAAGTAGTAGCGACTCATTAGTTGCTTATGTTTGAAGAAGTAGAAATAGCCGCGGAAGTATGCCGGGATGTCGAAGTCCTTCATGTCCAGCCAGAAGGGCATTACTTGACGAACGTAATAGTAGTAAGCGTTCATACCAACGTCCTCCATGAAATAGTCCAGTTTGTACTCGTTATCGAGGTAGGGTTTGACCATGTTTCCGGAATAGTTGGCGTAGATCATGTAGCTGTCGACATTATCCATATTGGTGGACATGATTCCTGTTTGCGAAGAAGACATTCACTTGTGTATAATTTCGTCAATTGCTTTTTCAGTTTACAAGAATCATGAGATGTGACTTACCGCGCGTCATCTTGATGTTGTGAGCCTGCTGGATTACGTCGCTGTCGAAGAACAGATTGGGGTAAATCTCGTAAGGAGCCGGCAGCCTCATGTATTTGCAGTCGGGACGGTAGAAGACAGCGGTGGTGAAGGCGGACGTGAAGACGCCGTCGTTGAGGTGGAGACGCGCCCAGGACGCGGTCTTGTAGAAGGTCTGGAAGTCCTTGGCGCAATAGAAAAGCTTGAAAAGGAGCTTCATTTCCTCGCGATGTTCTTCGTAATACGGCGAGTAAATGGCATTACGACTGAGCATACCGTGTTTGTACATTTGCAGGAACTCCTGAACAATCATCTGTGGAAAAAATGAAAAGAGAGATTATAATGAACAACGATGATGTATAGAAATTCGAAGAACGAAAGAAAGACATGCTCGAAGAGTATCTATGAAATTGGGATCCTTCAGACGTCTATTTTATTCTCGAGAAGGTAACATCTTCTGTCTTTTAAATTAACTTAAATCTTCCTTTAAATTACCTTGTCGTTATACATGTCCATGTTGCTTTCTATGTCGTAATTGCGGCCAATCTCGTAGAACTCTATATCGGTAAGGGTGTTTTGCTTCACGAAGAACAGCAGCTCGTAGATCTTCTTCTGCTTGTGAAGGAAGTCCATGTCGGCGGTCTTACCGGTCATGTGCAACCCCTTCGACGCGCATAGCGCTACCAGCGCTAAGAACAAGAGCTCCTTCAGCATCGTGCTCAGCCTTCGACGTCTTCACGCAAGCCTTGTCTACCTCCGCAAGAGGAGAACGGATAGCTGGTAGCTGGACTGTTGCCGGCTTTTATACCGGTAACAGTGTGATTTCGTTATAATCAGCTGACCTAAAGTCGCGACCTGCCTGGTTTAGTTGTTTTCTCGCTCTTTATCTTCGTTCGCGTGTCACACCTTCCAATATCAGACACACCCATCAACTTTTGCTTGACAGTGAGGGAAAGTCGGGGAATCGAAAAGTTCAGTCTCCTCTACGAAATCGATGAAGAAACTAAATCATCTTCTCGCTCCCGATTTTACAATCACGGTATGAGTTAACAATGAGAGATCATCATCTTTTGTCTCATGGTACGATTCCATTAAAGTAATTAAATTAATTAAACGATAATGTTGATTAATATTATCTAATTAATATTAATATTAATATATAAATCTTACAAAATGGAGTGGCAGCATCCACAGATTCTTTCATTCATATTGAGCGAATGCTTTGTAGAAAATATTTGATCAATGTTGCGCTTTTTCGATATTTTTTAATATCTTGATACGTCATGTCGAAATTCCATTTGAGCAAAGTCTATATAAATTAAACGAAGAATAAGAATTTACAGTATATTATAACATGATGATTGATTTTCGTAACTCGTAACTCAAAAGAAAAAGTATTTCAGGCAGGCAAACACGTGAAATCTTTTCTTATATATCCAATCTTAGATATTCATCGCAATTTACAGTACAATATCAAGATTAAGTATCATATAATAATACAAATAAAGTACAATAAACATTACACTTTTCTGATTAAATAATTGTGCATAATTATACAGGATGTGACGCTTGCAAAATATAGGCAAAATCGTTTCATCTTCGTATCATATTCGCTTTTATCTCCATATTTTTCATGTCTGCTTTGCTTTGCAACTAGTGCGATAACGATTAATTGACACATGATACCTATATTTTCTTGGGTGAAATTCCTACGTAAACATGATTACATTAATAATAAAAGAAACGGAACGGCTCTTGGCCTCACAGTTGTAATACTTCTTATCACTCACGATATATGTATAAGGCATTTCAGGTTCATCTTACCCTTTTTTATTTACACGTTCTTTCGGAAATCTTTATATTTCTTAACACAATGCGTCAAAAAATCGCGCGATATACATACATACATACATACATATATATAATTATTTAGTGTTTAAAAATTTACAAATTTTACAAATTAATCTACACAAATGCTATAAATATTCTTTACGCAATTTGAAGCAAATAAATATAATTCTTTATCGAGATTTTAAATTCAGAATATTAACTCCAATAACATATAGAATATAATATAGAATGTCACTACTCTAATCTTATAGAACTTTAATTTGAAAGATATGTATATGTACATATATAAAAAATATTAGATAGGAAAATCTTTTAATTTAATTTAAAACCAATTAAATATTTAAGAAAATGATAATATAAAATTATCCATGAAAAAGAAGTAAAAAGAATATCAGAATGCCATTAGTGGACAAAAGAATAATATATATTGCTCTTCTTTGACAAGCCTCGAAAATAATGAAAATACATTTTATTATTTTTAAGTCTGCATAGTCCATTGTTAATTAAGCTAATTAAAACAGAGATTAGAAAGATATCAGAAATTTTCAGCAAAAAAATATAGTTTTGAGAGATAAAAATCTAAGAATACCTTAATGAATAATTATTTACTATATTTTTATGTTCTTATTAATATTTATATCATTTTTAATAATCACAAAAGCATGCAAAAGATCAATAATATTATTTAATGATTATCAAAACTGTGCATGCATTTTTTTTAAATGGCTATATAAGTTCAAAAACTGAAGAAAACTAATAATCTTGTAATCAAACAGATCTAGCAATTAGGAACTATAATTCTTTAATAAATAAATCTATAAACATTAATTAATAATTTTCATAAAAATGTCAACCAAGTACTTAAATATTTTGTTGACTTCTCCATAGGATAAAACTCATAGTTGGAAAACTACTCGGCTAAATCAGTTTCTAACTATTCAGTATATATATAATATAATAAACCAAGTCCCTTCTTGGCTAATAAGCTGATTGAATAAATTATCTATCTATCTATTCAGTAATAAATTATCGATAAACACTGTTTATATCTTACAAGTCGTAATATTTAAACATATTTAGAACATTTATTATAAATATATATGTATCGTCAATACATATACTTGACGACACGCGCCATTTTATCGCATGGTCAGTCAATCTTTCAAAGTTTATCAAGTTTATCGAGTCTTCTCGTCAAAATTTGATTATTACGTGCCGGATGATTTAGTTTCTCGTAAATAACAGAATTTACGTAATAATGCACAAACAATTTCCACATAATTCAAATAAAATATAAATGAGAGATTATAAATAGATTTAAATTTTTCCATTACATAGATGATCCATTCTTATAGTCATATAAGCGAGATAATATGAAATTAAAAAAAATATATATATACAACGATGCTATACATCTCCGAGAAGGCTTTCTTAAAAAATTTCTTAAATAAAAAAAGTTAATCATATTTTTAAATAAATGAATATTTTCTGAACATTTGGCAAAACGTGAATTGTTCAATATATTTCAGTGAATATCAATGTATGATAGTTTTACAGATTTGTTTGTTTATTTAAAAAAAAAGAATTCAAAGTTACCAAATTTATAAAATATAAAGTTTTTACAATTATTATTTATATTATGAAAAACGTTATTAGAACAGACTCGTTGATTTATGGCATAAAATATTATCAAAAGTTATGTGGACTTAAAATAGAGAAAACATTACATAGAAACATTATTAGAATAAAAGTACTTATAAAAGAAACCAATACATTGGTACAAACAATATGACTTACAATGAATCATAAATCCTAAGTTTTATTTATAAAAAATACTTTAAGTCTATTTCTTAACATTATTTGTTGTATTCAAATATATAACATTTCTTATAAATCGATTTATAACAAGAGGTATACGAAAAAGCACTTGTTGCTTATTAATTATAAATGTGAAATAATACACTTATATTTTATTCACCGTGGAAAATTGGATGTACAAGGATAGGCGATGTAAAATTATTAAAACATGTTAAATATTTGGATTTTTTCTAGATCCAATTCATAACAGCAAAAATAAATGTTTTCAAAAGAAAAGAGTATTACTTTATACATCATCTTCATTACAGACATTCCCATCAAGGATAACAGGCAAAGTCATTATTGAAAGGAATTAATGTAATATAAATTGTAATATAAAAAAAGGTACTCTATTTCTTTTTTTTTTATTAATAACGTTTATATATAATGTTTTTGACAACAACTGTTCCAATTTTGTCAATGTCTTGCGACAAATAAAAGTTTTGAACAGAATAATATTACCAAGAAAAACTCATTTCATTAATGGCCAATATTTTATTCTTGTAATAATAATTTTATTATTATCCTATTAATTTTATTTTGTATCTCCTTTTTTCAAAAAATATATAATGCTATTTTTTCAGGCACAAGATCATCTTATTTAATAATTATCCAAGTATTATGCTATATTCTTGAACAAAAACACTCGTGATTTTAATAATTTTAGCTAATATTGTTTACACTTGTTTTAAACAAACTATAATTTGGCACATTTTTTGTGAAACAAATCTATAATTTTAAATATGTGGATATAATACAAAAACATTTAAAGAATTAAAGTATAGGCAAATACAATATATATAAACTTAGGATATACAAAATATAAAATAATAAATAAATTTCTATCTTGAAATACTGTAGCAAATTTAAAAATTTTTAAAGCTTTGAGCTTTATATTTATGGCCTTCAATGAATTAATGATTAGGTAAATTATTCTGTTACTAACCAATTCAATTATAAATTCAACTGTGCATAGACTCATTGTCATTCATATCATCACTCTCAGATTTAATGCTTTTAATATCTTCTTCATCTTGTTCATCTTGAACATCTTGATCCGACATCTCTTCCCAATTATCGTCCGATTCGCTGCTCAATTCAACATCATCTTTGTCAGCACCTTCGTCCGACGAATCTGTGTATAATATGTATATTTTTAATAATATAATAATGATAATATAATAATAGATATGATAATGAATAATTTATTTAAATCACAATTTCTTTTGGATTACCAACCTGGATCTTGATAAACGAGCAAGCTCTCCTCGATTATGTCCTTATTATTTTCCTCATTAGCTTGAGATATTTGTCCCGTTATGAGAGAAACTCTACCTCTTAATCTTTGTACAGCCGTCAAAAGCATTAACTTCGCATCGATAAAACTTAGAATAGGGCTGAGCACCTCCGCGATATCTGGTCGCGACATCAAGTGCGCCGCATGAGTTGTGATCAAAGCTTGCAACCACATCACTGCAATCTTACTTCTAAATACAAAGAAATCATTGTTTAAATTTAGCAATGTTTTAATGAAATTAGATATGAATTTTATATCACAAGAAATAGGAATAGGGGTCTCACAAGGAATATAAAAGTCAGAAAATCTATATATAAAAATAGAGCATATAACAATAATTACGCATATGTTTTGCCTTGCAACATAACGGTTAGTTCCTTAAGCAATGGCGTTATCGCTTGTACTGGTAATTTCGTGATGGTATTACGAATTACAGATTCGTTCTTTGTGAACAATACCGTCGTCAAAATAGTTTTATCTTTGCTGTTCAATGCTTGCATCAGTAATTGCGTCATATTGGCTCCTTTTGTCGGTATCCTTCCTGATGTGTTCGCGTCCGCATTCAAACTAAGATTCTCTAATCTATCTTTTAACAGTAATTGAGAACCTGAATTGGTCCTATTTCTTTTTAATGTCGAGACTGCTATGCCTATAACAGAAAACATTTCTCTATTTTTCTTTTCTTTATATATTCTTTCTCTTCTATTCTTATTTGATTGACATATTATTGTAATCAATTATTTACTTTCATAACAAATGAAAAAAGGAGAGAATAGAAAATAGAAAATTACATAGTTAATAAGTCACCTGGTGCAAGATATTTAACATCTTCTTCTATCGAGGTAGGTTTTACTTTTGAAATTGTCTCTTCTTTCCTTTCTTTTGACTTTTTTGTGTCCAACTTTTCCGATCTGACTAAACATTGCACTTTGTCTGAAAAGTCAGGCGTAACTTTCTCGAACGTCAAGTTCGAATAACTACCATACGCCAACAACACTTTTTCATCCTCTGTTAGATGTCCTGATAAGATAGGAATCTGTTGAACAGTCTCTTTCTGATTGACATCTGCTGCAACCGCAATGTTTAGAGATGGTTTCAATGGTTTTGTATGGCCATTTGGTTGATATTTAAACAATTGTGTTTGACCCGATCGAGTAGTGGCTAATACAACAACTTGCTGCAATTCTTCCAGAACAATTGTCGAAACGGATGTAGCCTCGTCTTGCATGGATAATGTTGCTATCGATGCTTTGTCATTTTTATGCTAAAGAGAATAAAAAACAATTTAATTGTAAAATTTATATATATTTTAATATTCAAGAAAATTAAATTCTTTATTAAATCTAAGATAAAAGTCCTTATAATAAAACGTGAAGAAAAATTTATTTAAATTGCATTAAAATTCTACTAAACTAAGTTCTCTGCTTAATATTTATAAAGAAATACACTTTACTATATATTCCAACTATTTAATTTCGAAAACTTAATACTATGCTGCTCTTTGATAGGAATTTCTTTCTTAAAATTAAATCAAGTCCTTCAACATTTTGTATGCTAGTTACAAATTATATGGATGAAAAAATTAAATATAACATGTACCTTATCTAATGGCCATACAGAGAGATAACTATCGGAGCAAGCTCCGCTGATTAGGTAACTGTTAGAGTCGTCTATTTTCACAGTGTGAAGAAAGACGACGTGATTTGCATGTCCGGTAAACGTGCGAATTAACTGCTTTGTCGTCAAGTTCCACCACTTGATTATCCTCTCCGCAGACAGCAAGGACTTTCCATTAGCTGGAATGGCAAGAGCCATGACCTTTGCCTTGCCAGATTTCCATTTACACTTGATCCCGTTCTCTTGAAGATTCCATTCCACAATGTGGTAGTCATCGGCTGCTGTGATCAATCCGGTGCCTGTGGACCAAGCCATCGCAGTGACAGTGGACGAATGACCATTTTCTAGTGTAACGCTGACATGTGCTGCTGTTATATCGTACAGTATAACTTTTCCGCTAACCGAACCCATTGCCACCACAAATTTGTATTCGGCCTCTTCCGAAATTGACTTTCTTTTGCGTTTCTTCTTCGACGATGGCTAGAAAGAGACACATGAAAATAGACATTTCATATTACACTCTTAGGAGAAATAAATATTTCTAAAAATGTTTATTTCCTCCTTTCTCTAATAGTCATATCAAAATTTAAAAATCCATCGACAAACAGAGAAAGATGTTAAAGATGTCTTTGTTGCAGGTCTCAAAAGACATTAACGCGCGTTTTTAACCTAACCTTTCCAAGAGAGTGACGTATAATAAAAAAAATTTTTTAAATAACATAAATGGAAAACGCGTTTGTAGGGATAAGGGATTAGAAATAGTGATGAACTCGAGAGAAAACAGCGCGAAGGAAATGCGTAAGTCGAGCGAAAGATGAGAAAGAAGGGCGCCGCGGTTTCGAAAGCACATGGCGTGTCTTACTGATGCGTTGCCCGCCGATTGTTGGCTCACGGAGATCCATCCCAGGACGCTGCACGGCGAGGATAAATGTCGATTCGGCGTATACTCGTGCTTCAATCGGCCGCTCGTTGTCTCCCAGATCTTCAACTTGCCGTCATTGCCGCAATGCGCGTAATATTGACCGTCCGGAGAGAAAGCGGAGCAGCAAGCCGCGTTCGCCATCTTGCTTTATACTGAAGGAAATATATAAATGTATAAGTTAGGTTCTCAGTGGTTCTCAAGGTGCTTTTTTCATACGCAGCATGCTGCAGCAGCAAATCAGTCACGTGATCAAAATTTATTAGAACATTTCTTTGTTCTCTTATTATTTCAAAATTACGATTTTTGCTTTTATATTCTCATAATAATCTTGTATTTTATTCTTAAAATTCATTATTAAACTAATATAATAATAATAATAATAATTAGAATTAATTATAGTTGCGTATATTCTCTTCTGCTTGTTGCCTTTGCTGTTCGTTCAATTAAACTTCATCATTAGCAATAAACTGCTGCAGCAGCATGTTACATATGAAATGATTCCTACATGGGCGCCGGCAGAATTATTTTTAGGGAGGTGCACCCAAAAGAGGATGCACTGAAAAAAGTTTTTTTCCTAGTTTATAATTATATTATTGTTAACACCATTTATGTTATTTATTGAATCTTAATAAAGATGCATTAATAATTGAAAAATTCTAATTTTTATATTGCAGATCTGTTAATATAGTTAAAGAATTGCAGTTTTACAATTGCTAATAGTTATATTTAACCATCACATTTTTGTTCAATTAAAAAAATTATAATCGATATTATTCTATATTACATGATTTTTTTACTAAATATTTTCTCTGTTGCTTCCCCATTTATTTTATAGAACAGAGCCAGGGGGGTGCAAATGCACCGCCTTGCACCTCTCTCGCGGCGCCCATGCCTGCATTCAACAGAATATATAAAAATGAAAACAAGATATACAAGTTACAATTATATGCAAATAAAATATATGATTAAAGAACGCGATTTTTTCTCAAACGTACAGAAATGTGTCACATTGTCAGAAAAAAATGAAATTATTACCTCGGGTATTAACATGCTCTCTAATGCATTTGTACTGTCAGCAGCATTCGTATTGTAATTCCTACACCCTGTATGCGCATTTAATAAGCCTCGTAACGTGCATTTTCTGCAGATTTACTGCCTGTCCAAGAGCCTGCAAAGATTTCAGCAAATTACAATAATGTAAAGTAATGTAGAGAATATTCTCAGAACTTTTTTTATATTCTTAATACTCCTTTACATAAATTTTTTATATTAATTGTATTAATATAATTTTTATATTAATTTTTTTATATGCTTTATATTAATTTTTCTAACAACAATTGGATACGATAATCAACTTTTAGAAATTTTAATTACAAATCACTAAATCCTAATTATCAATTATAATTAACTTGATACTATAGTTTCTCAGGGATATAACTATTCTCAGGGATAGTTTTTCAGGGATACTAAAATAAATTGAAATCTTACAGTGGATGCAAATTATCCTGCGGGAATCCATTTTGGCTTAAAGTTACTGATTATTTAATTTCTTCTCTTTTTGTCCTTCTCACGTTGCTTAAATGCCAGTTTATTTTGTTGCCTCTTTTTGAAGATCTCATCTTCTACATCAAGGTCTGACATTATTAATTGTACACGATCCAAATTAACATCGCCACCGTCTGTCAAAAAACCCTGCGCAAATAACAAAAAAATATATCATTTGTAAAAGAAGCTGATTATAATGTAATATTTTGAAATAACTCAATAAATTAGTGAATAAATGATTTACTGATACTTTCATTACATATTTAATTTTATAAATTTAAATAGATTATTTAATAAAAAAACTTATAAAAAAATGCATAACTCCTTTTTTAATTTCATTTAAATTATAAAATATATATTCTTTCTCTTTCATTACAACTAATTATATAAATTTAAATATTTAAACTAATTAAATTTAAATTTAAATATAAATCCTTTATCAACTTTTTCAAATGTCAAAAAATGTAAAAAGATAAAACTTTACTCTTTTTATTTAATTTAGAAATGATTTTTAAAAGAGGATTTAAACTTATTCTTCTTAAAACAGTATTTACTCTCTCTCATAGAAATTAAAAAAAAAATATTAAATCTTAAAATTCAAGAAAAAATAAAAAAAAATAAGTGTCCAATAATTAAGAAATACCTAAATGTTGGCAACTGTATTTCTTAATATATCAACTTGATTACTAAATAAATTAATAATTATTCATTTTTTTTCTTTCGTAAGAAATATTACATACTCCTGTCTTATACACTGCTTTTTTATATAAAGCCACAACAAGTCTGTCAATTGCACCTTCTCTAAGTTCTAAAGAAGGGAAATGCGGTAGAAAATCATTGCGTATGAAAAAACACATCCCAGATAGCACCATGTCCAAAATGCACCCATAAGACATTTTTAAGATGTTTTCAAGATGTCTTTGGGATATCATATCATAAGATTTCTTAAAGATGGCTTAAAGATTTCTTAATGATGACTTATGCATGCATTTTAGACATGGTGCTATCTGGGATAAACACCCAATCATTAATAGCTCATTCAAAATCATATTTGAATAGTAGATTTGGCATAGATAACTCTCTTTCTAAATATTCTCTGAGAAAATTAGTATCACTTAGTATCACTTTAATATCTCTCCAGTCTGGGTCATTATTAAAACGTTCATGAATATAATAATGTAAACATGTTGATAATCTTGCCATAAGAATATTTTTGTTACCTCGCTTTTATTGTGAGTAAAACATTGCATTTGTATAATATATTTTTTATCGTCTTTTAACATTCGCAAGTAATATATTAAACAACAAAATTAACAAAAAAAAGAGAGAGAGCGCGCGTCTTGATGCGTGCGACTTTGAACCGACTTTGATCTTCAGGCGGCGCTGTGGAATGCGGCGCGTCACGTGATAGGCGAAGAGTGGGGAGGCGTCACGTGACAGACGCGGAGTGGGGAGCGTGTCACGTGACAGCGCGGAGTGGGGAAACAGCTGCGCATTCCAGTCGCCCTTCCATCGTTCCCCACTGCGCAGCACGGCGAAACGAGAGAGAAAAACATCTCTCTCTTTCTCTCTCTAAAGAGATTTCGAAAAATAGTTTTCTTATCAAGAATATATGTGTCACTATGTATCATTTACATGTGTGTGTGTGAGTGAAAATATATTAATAATAACATATACATATATATTTATAAATTATAAAGGAAAAATCATGCGTGACTGAGTAGTGATTTTATCGATAATCGGAAAAAAGATTTGTCATTTTAGTTTGCGAAACGGACATGTGACAGATGATTGTCAGTGGTTCTCATGTGACTCTCCATATCCGTCCGTGAAAACGCGGCGAAAGATAACTTCACGGAAAATATCCCACCTGACGGCCAATCCGTATTGAACAAGTATATGTGCGATAGTTGAGCATGTTTCGGTATTTCGGAACTTCTGGATCCGCCGAATAAATTTTTGCAAAAGTGCGATTGCGCGCGTGCATGTGTGCTCTTATGCTTGTATGTGTGTGACATATGTACGACTCGTTTGGCCGAAATATCGCAGCTGATCGCAGGTGAAATTAACGTGATGGCTCGTTCGTTCGTGTCCCTCGCATCAGTACCCGATTGCATCCGGCCATTCATTCGATCGTATTGATATTCATGACGTGTAATCGAGTCACGCGTTACGCTGGAAAGAATAATTGAATTCAAACCCTTCGCGACTCGCTGAACCATTTTTGCCCTGTCACCGTGACCGAATAATAGAACACTGTAACTGGGACTGCCGGACGACGTACAAGATGGATAGCAATAAGGACGAGGCAGATCGGTGCACCGAACTCGCGGAGCGATATATGCGAGAGAGAAAATACGAGGAAGCCGAGAAGTTTATCCGCAAAGCCCAGAAACTCTATCCGACGAAGAAGGCTGAGGGTACGTGCGGAACATCGTTAAACGATGATAAATGAACGATGAGAATCTTTCCCTTATATTTTGAACTGTTTGTCGCGACTAAATTTTTTGAAATATTTATTGCAAAATTGCATTCATGACTTTTATATTTGTCTTGCGAAAGCACAGCTTTTGTAAGTTTTTATTAGAGAGCGATGGAACAAGTGTCATGAAGGAATAATCAACTAATTATACATTTATAGAATTGTTGGCGGAAGTGACGATACTCTCAAAGCAAAACCAAAAACCTGAATCTGCTGAGCCTACTGTTAGAAAACGTCAAAATGTTACTAAAGAAGGAACACATTCCCAGACTAATTCTGATTATACGAAAGAACAGTTGGATCATGTCAAAAGGTAGATATTTTTAATGATCAGACTGTTTCAACAGTGTCAACAGATTTGTGAAACATTTATTTGTTTTAAATTGTTTAATACTTATATAAGATATACTTCTCGTTTACAAGGAAATTAATTATTTCAGGATAAAGAAATGCAAGGATTATTATGAGATTTTAGGAGTCAGCAAAGAAGCTACAGACAGCGACATTAAAAAAGCTTACAAGAAATTAGCCCTCCAATTACATCCTGACAAAAATAAAGCACCAGGTGCTGCTGAAGCTTTTAAAGGTAACTCCATATATTACAATGAAAGATAATTTATATCAAATACACATTTAAGTGAAAAATCTATTTATTTTCTTATAGCTATTGGTAATGCGGTTGCCATTCTTATTGATACGGAGAAGCGGAAACAATATGACATGTATGGTCCTGAAGAAGAGCGAATGCAAAGTGCGCAACATCGCCAAGGTCATACACATTATAATTATACTCGTGGATTTGAAGGTAAAGAAAAAAGATAAATTAATATTACAAATTTAAGCATTAGGAAGTAACTATAAATTAAAATATCTGTGTATCTTTAGCTGATATCACAGCTGAGGAGTTATTTAACATGTTCTTCGGCGTTGGTTTTCCACAACAAGAATTTTATATGCGTCGACCAGGTGGTAGATGGATGAGACAGCAAGAGCAAGCACAACATACCCATTCTCAGGTAGACTAGAACATTGTTTATACTATTGGAGCAATTTTTATACTTTATTTATAATGTAAATGCAATATTTATACTTTATATATAATGTAAATGTAAGTGCAATTTTTATACTTTATTTATAATATAACAATATTTTACAGCAAGCAAATGGATATACTACATTTCTTCAAATGTTACCAGTCTTGTTACTAATATTGTTAACTATGATGAGCAGTTTTTTCATATCTGATCCAGTATATAGTCTGCATTCAAATTCGTAAGTATAATCAATAGTATTTGAACTTAACCAGGAATCGTTAAAATACACATGTAATGTGACTTTCTTCTTATCTTCAGGAAATATTCTGTGGCGAGAACAACTCAAGGTTCACAAATTACATATTATGTTAAAGAGAACTTTCACAGTGAATATCAAGGCAGTTTACGTAGGCTAGAAATTTCAATTGAAGAAGAGTATTTCAATAATTTAAGACAAGCTTGTGCCAGAGAGAAGAACTACAGTATGTATACAGAATAACTTTCTTTTTCTATAAGTATTCAAAAGGTTGAAAGAGATTGTAAATGTTATTATTTCCTAGGGGAAGCCATGATGTGGAAAGCCCGTAATTTCGGAGATCATGATTTATATCTCAAAGCTAAAAATCTCGAAATACCTTCATGCAAAAGATTACAAGAAATGCAAGAGAGAGTCTGATAGGTGAAAAATGTGAATTAAATAGAAGTCTATTGTAGATAGATGTATATTTATATTTATATATATGTATAATTGTCTTTGGGTGTGATGAAAATTTGGCATATAAAATGCAGTTACATATATCAGTTTCTATACACCCAGAGGGGTTAATCATGTATTTCAAGTCCACACAGAGAATACATATTTGGACTACTTTTTAGCTGTTTATTCTATGTATTAATTATAAATTGCATAATGAATGATCAAATTATGCAATGTGAATGAAGTTTTAATCTTTAGTTGGACTCGCACGAGTAAAGATACATTAAAGAAAATTTTTCTGCTTTTGTAGATCCTATAATCTCTTTAAATGAATGTGCGTATATATGTATATACACACATAATATTTATAAATTTATTATTTAAAAATTATATATATAAATATATATTGAGAAAATAAATACTCCAACTTTTCATACAAACGGATGATAGTGAAACATCCTTAAATAGAGATCTTAATAGTCATTTTGAATACTCGGTTATTTATAATGAGCAAAATGAAAGCCTAGTACTTTTATTAGTACAACTACATAAATCATTTAGATGAATATCGTATGTATATAAATTCACAAATTTGCGAGTCCACAATTTATTTCGTAATAAAATATTACAATGCCTTTTTCAATTGTAATTGAGAAAGTACATCTAATGTCAGTTATTTATATTTACAGTTGGAATGTTAAAAAACAGTGGCCTATTAAGTGTATGCATTTTTGGCAATTTTTAAAGATAAATTTATAGTTATACAATTTAACAAGGAAAAAGAATAAAATTCGACAAGGCTATATCTGGATATTTATTCTGAATCAATTAGCTGTTTTTTTAATCTTAACTTTTATATTGAGTTTTGATTATTTATTGATTTCATAAACACACAAAATTTAAGTAATATTTTAAATATAAATTATAGCTAATTTTTAATTGTCAAAATTGTAATTGCTTTACACTTAAATTATACTTGCCTTGACATTTGTTTATCAGTTTTTATAATTATAAAGATTATAATAGAGAATATATACATATATGCACATTGATGTTATATGTATGTGCATTGATAATATACATATATGTATATAATATTATTCAAATTGAGTTTATCATAATTATACAAAAGTAAAAGTATAACATTTTAATATATATTTTCAATAAATTCTTGTATTTCTTTTCAGAATTATATAAAGATAAAATTTTGCAATACTTCTGTAAAAGTTTACTCAAGTTAGTACTTGTGTAAACTTTTTTCAATTCAACTTTAATTTGTTTTTTATTAGATGTTAGTAGTAAATTTTCTTAATAGTTTATGAAATTGAAATGAAGAAATTCATTCTAATGAAGTAATTTGAAAAATGTTTGATGTTCCATATATATTTCTTATACATTGTAAAAGTTGATCAAATTATATTAGAATAATGAGTTTTAAGAATATTTTTGAGGTTTCAAAGTATAAATGAATGTTAAATCTCTCTATGTTGATAATAACATGTGTTTTAATATATAATTATAAATTGTGCAATTTGTATTATAAATTTAGTTATAGCTTATTAAAATAATTTATTATTGTTAGCAGTTTTTAGCATAAATTTATGGTAGAAATATAAATTGTATTAAAATTTTATTTCCTCTGCTTTAGTTAATAATATATAATTTACTTTTATATTTATATATATATAAAATTGTGTCGTGAAGTATATACATATACATTACATATATATTTCTCTCGATTATATTTGATTTGACGAATGTAAAATGAGAAAAAAACTAGATTTTTTTATATATTATATCATCATATATCATTTTTATCTATTATATATAGACAAAGTTTTTATAGGAACTCTAAAATCTCATACGATTAAAAAAAATTCTTTTTAGAATGAGTTTTTTATTTCATATAAACTTTGTGTATAGCAAATCTTTATTTTTTTTGTCAAAATAATTTATGCGGGGGTGCTCCAATAAATTAGAATTTCTCAAAAAAAACTCACATGACAAGTAAAATATTTAAGGCATATAAAGGCAAATACACACGTAGCGACAGACGCAAAGAAACTGTTCAATGAGAATCACTGGTCAAATGCAGACACTGCACTGTATCAGAAAAATACTGGTGTAGATTATAACCTATAAAATCTGCGTAATTTTACGCTCTTATTTATACGTGGCTAAGATATTTTATGTCTCAAAAAGAAGACGAGGTAATTGTAATAATGGCACTTATAATCTGATAATAATAATTCCTGAAAATTTGAACAAATGTCAAATAATCGTAATTACAGATGTGACACATCTGCTTGAGGGGAGCCTCGCTAAGTTAATTCCAGAGATCAACAACTAAATCTTTAAAGTGACAACTTGAATTGTTTCTCGTTACTGATTCTCGTCGTTCAGAGATATGTCGGGAAAGGGGAAACAGAGTTCGAAGAAGGCTGTCATGAAGGTACGCGAATCTGGAAAGACTGCCCAGTCTTCGCTGGGGAACACAGATACAAATTCCGAGACGCCGGAGCCGACGACGTCTCAGGCAATTTTAAAGACGGTTGACAACAGTCAAAATCTGCCAACGTGCACCAACATCCTGAAACGCACAGCGGAGAAAGGTGTGGGCATGGAGGATCTCGACACACTACAAATGGAACTGGAGACACTCCTGTCAGCTGTCGTTGTACGGTATCGCACTCTTCAAGAGGAGACCACCAACTTGTCGTCAGCAGAAGAACGTAGAGACAGACGTTCGAAGAGCGGAAAAAGCGTGCCTCTGCTTAACAAAAAGGAGAAGGTGCGCGAGGAAAAGTTAAAGCCAAAAGAGGCGAATACCAAAAGTCAATCGCCTCTGTACACGAAACTCTACACCCAGAGGACAGTAAGAAGTTCGGCAAATCAAGTAGCATCAAATGCACACGAAATTGCGAGGATAGAGGGATCCAAGTCGGATGCACCAAAGCTGCTTTTACCGAAAAACGATACGCCCAACAAGTTCTGGGCATCGGTGGATCCTTATTGTACTGACATTATGCCCGATGATATTAAATTGTTGGAGGAATTGATTGCTACGCATGGTAATATAAGTGAATTTAAAAAGATCCCATCTCTAGGCCGTCATTATAGCTTAATGTGGGCGCATAACGACTTGTTGCAAGAGGAAGAAGCGGCTAATCCGAACAGGGAAAAGAGGAAGAACCGTACAGACATGTCCCATTTGATATCCAAAGGTGATAAGAAAAGTAATGGTATCGCAGGACCTCTCACTCAGCGACTGGTCTCTGCGCTTCTGGAGGAGAAGGTGTATGTTGGGAATAATAACACAGAGAATAAATTATTCCGAGATGGGGACTCGCCCGTTTTGCGGGATCTGACCATTCAAAATTCCATTAACTTGGAGTTACGAATGCACAAAGAATTGGTCGAACAGGGAATCTTGGAACCCGATGGGCAGAAAAAGAATCAAGATGATGATGAGATTCTTGCAGAGATTAAAAGGTGTCAACAGGAACTTTCAGCATTGTCCAATCACAATGTCATGCAGCTGAAGAGATTGTTAAATCTAGCCCAGGAGGAAAGTAAAAGGCAAGCATTGAAACGAAAAATTAGCATCGTGGACAACGAAGTGATAGAACATTATAAAAAATTGACTAAAGCCAAACAGAATAAAGAATCTTTAACAAAAAAAGAACAAGAGAAAGCATGGACATGTCTACGGGAAAGGGAGAATCTTTTGGAACAATTAAATACCAAATAATCTAGTGGAATTTATAAGTTTTACACAGCAGGGAATGAAATAATTTAAAAATATTTCTTAAAAACATATATGTTTAAGAAATATGTTTAAACATGTATAATAGTACAATCATATTATTAATACAGATATTTAAGTCTTCAACAATCTGTCAAGAAATATTACACATGTGTGAGTACGATAATACTCTGCATTATCAGATTATGTAAATTGTTAATTCTTTATATTAAAAAATATATAGATATACATATAGAAATTGTATAACGCGCGATGAAAATTAAGCTGTGCACAATATAAATTTAAAATTCTCATTAATGTTACACATACTATTGACCAAATTGAATGTATAATTTTCTCAGTATAACATTGTCAGATTCACTCATGTGTTCTAATGCAGAAAGAAGTTTGAGTCTGAATAATATTGGAAACAAGATTTTTTTTATCAAAAACATAATTATGATATTGTTATTTTAAAGCAGCTATATTATGCGCAATCAATAATTGCCAAAAATGAGAAAAAGAATTACAAGAACTTATTATATAATACTCACAATTTTATCTTTCATTTAAAAGTAATTCTTCATTCTACTAATTTTTATTGATATTCCATTACATGTCATCATTCTTCCATATATTTGGAGATTTTTAATATAGAGTTTTGTATAATATAGAGTTTATAAATATTATATGTAATCACATATGTATATATTTAAAATTTATGCTCACACACATGTATACATGTCAAATTTCAAGCTATATTTAAGAAAATTAGCAACTTATGAAAATCAGAGTGAATTATTTTTGCTTTAAGCATCCCACAAAAATAAATTTAATAATTATCTATTTTGAACAGTGTGAAAATAAAAATTATATTTAGTCTAAATATATATAAGTATGTATGTGTGAGGATTAATGTAAGAAGTAATTGTAAGTTTTAATTTTATTCCATTAGTGATTTTAATTCGACATATTGTTATATTCATGATTTAATTGCTTAATTTTTTTATCATTGTAAACGATATAACATATTTCATGCATATATATACAATTTAGATTAAATGCATTTAAATAGTTTCGAGCCTTTATTGTACAATCACAATTTAGTTAATCATTAATGGAAGATTTATACTACAGTCATAATTGAAGTATATATTATGGCAGCTTTGTAAAATATAACACCAGACATCTTTAAATTCTAATAAAGCTGTACATATCTGCGATTCTTAATTAATAAAGCAAAAAAAATTAAAAAAAGAATTTGATTTGTTAAAATCTATAATGCGCACATTGCTTATATACATACCAATGAATAACTCTTGTTGCTTAGAATATAGACTGCTAAAAAATTTGATTACATAATTAAATGTATAAATATCTTAACTAAAAATAAATTCTTATATATATATATATATATATATATATATATATATATATATTGCTAAATAAGATATAGCTGTACTTTGATCAATTTATCTTTATTTTTTGAATACTGAATATTTCATGGAAGCTTTAAGAGATAAATTTTACATTTTAAGAATATTTAGTTACTCAAGTAATAATTATTATAATTATATAAAAAAAAAAGTTTATTTTTATACTTAATTCATAATTGTATACAAGAGCAGATTCGATTTATTTTTCGAAACTATCTAATATTTTCGAATTTAGAGGCAACAGAAAAGGAAATTTGTGTAAACAAGTATTTATAAAAATCCACATGTTCACGACAAAGATGTTTATTCGGTATCACTGTACAGTTTTGGTTGTTTTTTTTTTATCGTCAAGAGTTACCTTAACAACGTGCGTACGCGACGGCACAACAATGATGAACCCTTTAAGGTGACAAGAGGATTTTTTCAGAAAGTGTACTATCTCGCGTAGGATACTATAACGGAGTGTGTGAATACCTACGTGTAATCCATAGGTATATGCGGATGAAGCTGTCGCTTATTTTTTCTTTTCTTTTAACTTTCAATAATGTCTTATTCGTTCTTGTTACACTGAAATCCATTATTTTATAACAATGTGAGTTTATACGCTACATGAGACAGTAGGCCATGAAATGATTACAAACAAGCTGAAGACTTGGAAAGGGGCCGAGACGATCCGCGGACATTGACATGTGTAACATGTAGCTTTTTAATTGTAACTCTTGTTCATTGCCGCGCCGTCGCAACCCCACCGAACCCACGGAAATCTGAGCTTCTCTAATGATTTCATGGCATCCCGCGCACCAGAGGCAGGCGCCGTCTTTCCCCAGGCGAGCCAGACGACGCTGCCTTGGCAGTGACGCACTAAAACTATATCAGCAATTTCTTATGCAGATATTGTGGCTTAGAAGGCGAATAGGAGCAGGAAAGCCATCATAAGACAAAAGAGACCCATAGCCTCGGATAGGGCAAAACCCAGAATGGCGTACGAGAATAATTGCTGTTTCAAGGAAGGATTCCTGGCATAGCCGATGATCAGCGAACCGAATACGGATCCGATACCAGCACCTGGAATAACAATATTCGTCGACTGTTACGGAATATATATTTCCGACTTTCGTTGAATGGAGTTAAACAAGAATTTTATTGTCGATATTGATATTTGCGACACACACTGTACATATATAATGTATTACATAACAATCTATGAACAAGTATCCTACTTAACAAAATGTTAAAACACTGTGGATCAAATAATATATGGCAGATGAAGAAAAATATAATAACTTCACTTTCATGAATAGGAATCTGGTCCAGGAAGAGAGTTGGATTCAAAAGGCAAATAGTATGAGGAATGCTATCATCAAGCAAAAGAGGCCCATTGCTTCAGATAGCGCAAATCCAAGGATAGCATAGTTAAAAACTTGCTGTTTCAGGGAAGGATTACGTGCATAACCAATTATTAAGGATCCAAAAACCAGACCAATACCAACTCCTATAATATGGAATAACACTTGTTTAAAAACAATGTAAACTTGAACGAAAAATTAAAACAAACATAATATTATTCAATTATTTTGTCACTTGTACAATTATTCACGTTCTTTTTATTATAAAAAAAGTCAATATTTGTTTCTAAAAAAATACAAGTATTCTATCATAAGCAAAGTAATTTGATATATTAAAAAAGTAAAAAGTATATAGAAAAATTGCAATAAATGTTTAATTATTTGGAATGTGTTCAGACTATTATGAAAACACTTGGGAAAGTTAAACATGTTATTAACATATAGCATGTGCATGCATTAAAGAGAGATGTAATAAATATAAATTACTTTAAAATTAAATTAAACACTAAATTACATATAAATATTGTATAATAAAGTATGTAAAGAGATTTATATTTAACCAATTTAATCATCCATTAAATGTCTCATTAAAATTTGTTACTCTATTGCACTATAATACTTTTTATGTTATTGTGCAAAACTATGCTCTATAAATAATTGTGTACTTTTGTGTATATTTTATAAATACGTACCAGATCCTGCTACACCTACAGTGGCAGCACCAGCTCCAATGAATTTCGCAGCGGAATCGATGTCACGACTGACTGTCGAAGTTTGGAAGTTGCGCACAATTGGTGACTGCACCAAAATGTCACAAATTAGATATCAACATTAATTCTAATCACATGTAGTAAAAGATATATAATAATTTTTTAAAAGATATATTTTATAATTTCAATAGTTTCAAGTAACACTTCTTTCAATACTATTAATAAAAATTTATCACAAGATACGAGCTGTACACATATATTTGCCAAAAATCATGACTTAAAAAATATCCAAACATTATCAGATTTTAAAAAAACTAGTAACCAATATTATTCGACATCTAATTAAAACATTCACACATCTTAACTCCAGTGTACTTGTCGCTCAACTTTGACCTCAAAAACCGCGACCTATATTTGCCGACAAATTTCTTTTCGACGACTGCTAAAAATACAGATATCCCGAAAATATCCCAAACTTTGTTATTGAGACTCAAAACCTTCACAGCAGTGGCCACTTATATAACCTTGATCTCGAAAAGTTATGCAATATACAGAGAGAGACAGAGGGAAGGGAAAATTCAAGAGAACCTTACTCACCAAACTAACTGGTGTCTGAACATGATTCTGCTGTAAGTACTGGCTATGGCTAATCACAGCACTGCTCAGTGGCCGTAGATAGGTCTTGGTGCCGGAGACCAGCTGTAGCAGAGAGGAGAAAACGTGAATAAAAGATGCGGGGGAGTCATTATATAATATATTACATATACATATATACGTATATATATGCAAGAAAATTAATCATAAAATCTTCCTTTTTTTTCTTCTATTTTCTTTTCCCTGTTTTTCAACTTACGGTGGATTTTGCGACAGGCGCGATGAATCGGCTGCAGGCATACATGATGACGTTTGCTGATGGTGTCTGATAGGCTTCTAACGCAACAAAGGGTACCTGGAGAAAATACGAAAATACACACGATCAGAGAACCTCGACGACACCACCTCTGCCTCGCGAAGGTCGGGACGAGCCGTAACAGCGGAATCGAACCGTAGGTAGACGGAATATTACGTAACGCCCCCTTCGGTCGACTTCTCGCGAAGCTTTCCTCCCAGCGCGACGCGAGTACTCCTCCCCACCCCCAGGAAGTCGCGAGCTCCCAGGATGCGCGAAGGATGCCGCGCGTCGATCGACTCCCGACGACGACGACGACGACGTCGACGTTGACGAGTGCCGGGTGGCGAATTAGCGACACGCACGTTATGGTAGAAAATGGCCGTCTCCCTCTCTCTCGCTTTAGATTCTCAATCAATCACGAGGAATGAATTAAAAAGTCGAGAAGTCGGATGTAACGGGATCGAGAATCGCGGTCCCGAGGAGCTCGCGAACACGCGCTCGCTCGTCTCTCTCTAGCGCGATTCAGGAACCCCGTTTTTTTTACTCACTTCGCCGAGCAGCAGGCGGTCGCACTTACCAGAGAGCAGTGTTGCAGAGAGACGGCCCTTGGAATGTTAAGTCGAGTATGAGTGGAAGGCGAGCGAAACTTGCCTGCGACAGGATCGACCTATCTCGACTACCGCGACTGCCAGCGGAACGGACCGACTTCCGTGCGATGACCTTTATTCGCGGCTTCTTCGGCGACTCGACGTTTATCGACCAACCGAATTTAGCCGAGTCCGCTGGCGGATGATCAGTGCAAGCACCGGGATATTCCCGTAGAAGCTGCGACTCCACCTTATTTGTGTCTCTAAAATCGCGAATTGTCTTGTAAAGTCCGTGGATTCGATTTTTGATTGAAATCGGACGAGATATGAATGGATTTGTGGATCGTTTTTCATCGCTCGTTTGACTCCAGCTCGTTTGCCGCCTTCTTGCGATACGACACGAAGCTTCGATTTTTTTTGAAACTTGTCCGATTTTTTCCCCTCTGAAATTTATATATTTATATCTGATATGTTTACAATAATTTTGTTACTTTCTGTATATTAATTGCTTATTAATGAAAATTGTCTATTTAAAGATCATCTTTAATCTATTATTATCTGTATTATAATTGCTCATTAATAAAAATCAATGAAAATTGTCTATTTAAAGATCATCTATAATCTAATTGTTATCTAAGTAGTTATCTGTACATATGTATAAACTTGAAATTTATTACTGATTTCTTTGGCTAATAAGATCATTCTGATTGTCCAATTAATTATATACTTAAGACTTAATTCAAATTAATTCATATAATATAGTATATAAAGAGAATATATATAAAATTAAAAAATCTCTACAATTATACCCAGATAGTTACAGTAATTATTATGACATCAAAATGATGTCATAATAATTACTGTAGCTATCTGGGTATATATATATTATATATAATAATTTATAACAATACTATATACCCAGATAGCCACAGTAATTATTATGACATCATTTCGACATCAAAATGATGTCATAATAATTACTGTGGCTATCTGGGTATGTGTGTGTATGTATATATATATATATATACAATATAGTATTTTTATTCTATTCGAAACGTAAAAAAGAGATTATGATTGAAATCATAAATTTCTTATTTTTGTATATAATAGATATATTAATTTATAAATTAATAAAACATTATATACAAAAAATAAGAAACTAAATTAAAACGTAATTTTATTCCGAATCTGTACAATTTGTTATAGAAGGTACATCATTCTGTACTACTAGATTTATGCTGCAATAAATGTACATTACGCTCAATCTCGAATTCGTTGGCTTTCTTAGCATTATATGATTGGAAGAAACGCTTGCCGTGTTCAAAAGTCGCAATCATAATTGCACAAGCTGGAGCTACTTTTACTAAACGTGGTGTTAATCCCGTAAATAAACCCTTCAATCCATTCTGATGATAGATTCTCTGTATTATGGACCATGTATTGCTACTGCGACTAGGTTTTTCTAAAAATTCATAATATATATATTTTACGGTATAATAGTAGTTTCTTTGCTTTCTATTCTAATTAATTATAACATTTTTGTCATAAATATAAAAGATAACTAAACGTAAATTTGTCTACATAACTAGAGGTGTACAATTCATATTGACCAAATTATTACAAAAAATGTCCATCATGCAATACTATTTACCTGAGTAAATTTCCTTTTCACCCATTTCGATTTGCCTATGCGTTTTAACTACATCAAATGGAATAGTAAAAAATGCTGCTATCTGTAATAGTAATATTTTCAATTTGAGACAATAATATATGACATGAATGAATTTTATAATAATGAAATATATCTTTATAGAAAATACATACAGATCCAGCTACAGCGCCTGCTGCTAGGTTGAAAGTAAAAGTTTGCGACGAATTATAAAAAATCCTCTTTATAGACTCATAATTCAACCAGTATATAGCACTAAAAGGAACATCACGAAGAAGTGTTGAACCCAATCCCATCCATAAACCGGAAATACCACTATATCTCACAACTGTTTTCATTGCCTGTGTTATTTCTGGAACAGACATAAAACATTGAAATCATTAAAACTTTATGCCAAACCTTTTTCTCTTCATAAGAATTTTAATTTCGTATTATTAATGTTTAACCTACCTGCATAACTCAGTTTCTGTGATTGCATTTTTGTTCTTATCAACTCCAATGGACTCACCAATGTTGCGGCCCAAATCCGTGCTGTAGCACCAGCTAACACGGGAATCCAAAAGGGTTGTTCTATACTGCTGCTTCTATTTTTGAAATTTTTATTATATGTGTCCTAAAAAAATATATAATATTATTAGTAATAATAAATATTTTGTATAAAATAAATCATTCCAAGTCACACATTTAAATACAAAAACAAAAATATGAAAATTTTTACCTTAAGATATAATCTCAATTGTTCATAAGAAACAAAGTACACAACAGTCGCAGGTATAGCTAAAACAAGAGTGGGACTCAAGCCACTCCATAATGATATTACACCTTCCGTTTTACTTATTTTTATCAAAGCATCCTAAAAGAAAAAATAAATGGATATATAAGAGATAATTAAAAGATAAAACAATGTGTTAAAATGCTATTACAATTATCTCATACCACCGTTCCATTGAATTTTCCATTTCTTCTCATCCATTCAGGCATTTCACCATTGGCACAAGGACACAAATGATCCATCAAGCCATTGCAATATAGAAAACATTTGTTTGAAAGCATTGCTTTCTGCTGGGTTTGAAGACGTATTTTTACCACATCCAAAGGAGTCACTAAAAGTGTCGTTAAAAAAATATAAATAATTTTGTAATTTTACTATACATTTAATTTACTATTTAAAAGATGTGCAATTAACAAATTTTGATATAAATATATTTTTTAATAAGAAATCTATATATTTGTATTTAGAAATGTCCCATAAAAATAAAAACAATTTAATCTTTATCAAATTGCAATATACAATTATTAAATAAACTATTTTGTGTTTATAAAAAAATCAACAAGCATTTTTATAAATATATGAATATATTAGCAGAGAAACTTACCAAACACTGAAGTGATAAATGCACCAGTGCAAGAAGCTACAATTTGCTGATACGGTCTAATACGAAATCTTGGATCGTCCAAATCAACGTTTGATGATATATTATTCATCGTTAATTTATTCATCGCGCTCTAAATATCTCTCATACATACACAAAAAATCTACACTGACATAATAGAAAATTTTCCCAGAAAGAAACGACTCTAAAAGCGAGTTGTCAGCAACATCGACGCGATATATCGCGGGAACAAAAAGATAACACACGTGACATCGCAATTTGTTTTTTTTCTATTTTAGCATGTCATGTAACTATTAAAATAAAGTATTCAACGGTATTTCTTTACAGTTAACCTTCTTCTTGCACGTGTCTGACGTTTCTTGCATCAGCTGACTAACGCTGTCAAATTTTATAGAACGCAACTCGAGATAAATCGTTTTATCTTCTTATCACAATGTTTTGCGAATGTTCGATGATATCAATTTTTTTATCGGTCTATAATTGCCGGCATGGTCCTAATATTTGAAATTTCAAGAATTTCAGATCTTCCATCTCAGCAAAATGCACTCGCACTTAACTTGCATCAGAAAGATCCACCAATCACGTATTTGACATGAACATAGGTATATAAAATACGTAGACACGTGATTGATCTATCGATTTCTTTATCTTTATCGATCGATTTTTTATTCATGATAGAATGTAAAAAAAAGTGATAATCAATCAATCTTTCGCTCTTATGAAAAAACGGTAAGTTTATTGGTTATTGCATTTTTATCTGTCATTCGAGCGTCTACGCCTTCTTTTCGCATTCTGTCTCTCTATGAACTATATATAGTTTGTGCCAGAAAAAATTAGCGTAGTAGCGCAAGCACGTGTGCAGAGTGCAGAGATTCGTAGTTCATTCCTCAATCAATGTAAATAGTGAGAATACAAAGTTGATTTGCCTCCTAGTGAGCACATGTTCTTACGTTATTTTTCATTTAAAACAATTATAAAAAATCAATTTATTGCCATTTAGTTGGAGAAAATTATTAATCTGGTGCTAATCAATTTTTAAGGAAGAAGAAGTGGATAACGAGTGTACAATTTAACTTTAGACGCAAAAACGTTAAGTTTTACTCCAACGTCATGGCAAAAAAGAAGAAACAATTTGATGAATTTTTGGGAGGATCTGAGTCACTTCCACATGAAGTATCTATTATGCAATTCGTCTCTTCACGAGCCCATGAAATTTCTGCAATGACATCTTCAATTGGTATATTAATGTCTATGTATTTATGCAATTTAATACATGCTTAAATAATTTTCAATACTAATTTTCTTTTAGAATCATGCTTTAATATATGTTCTATAATGTTAAATATTTATATATAATTTTTTTGCTGCAGAAAATCCTAAACAAACTAAGTTAATATTTCAAAAGCTTCCTGTATATATGCGTAGACGCGTTATGTCTCACAATGTCAAAAGGCTACCACGTAGATTGCGAGAGGCACATTTGGCACAAATGGTAAAGTCAGGAAACGGTCAAAATTTACCATCAACGAACAAACGACCATCCCGGAAATATCGTAGAAGACCACGCAATTTACTTTCCGAGTACACTCGCAGACAACGTGATAAAATCTGGTTGGAGACTCACATCTGGCATGCAAAACGTTTTCACATGATTGACAAATGGGGATATAGACTTGCAAGTCATTCAAACGACAAATGCTTTAGAGCCAATTATCAAGCTCTAAGAGAAAACTGTCTCTTACAAGATATATCTTATTATGCTTGTGTCGAAATCGAAGGAAAGGAAAATTTGTTGATAACAACTTTGGACACACATTGTAATACATCGACATTAACTTTTGGAGCAAAGATATACACTAATGGCCAGAGCCAAGGTACTGTAATGTTCTTCAAAAAAAATGGTTATCCACATTTTCCTATTGGTAATGTGGATTTTTTGTGGAAGCCAAGTGAGTCTAATTCAACTATTAAAACTATTTGGATATGGGTACATCCTGCTTTTTACAATGATTTTCTTGATGCGATTATATCAAGTTTTGAGTTTAGACGAACAAATGTTAATGAATTTGAACGAGATGTTACTCATATTACGCAAGATTCAAATTTTGTGCATGAAAATAATGCAGGTTGTAAAATGGTTATATTCAATTTTTCATTAAATAGATTTCGACTTTCTGGATCAAGGGCTTTCGATTTACTAAAAGAAGTATTACAATTACCATCCGTAACTGACTTAGATAGTGATCCAGAAATGGATTGCACTACTACAGAAGAACAAGAGAATTTGTCAAATAATGAAAAATTAAATGCAAGTAAGACATCAATAGACGATTTCTCTACACAGTCTGTGGAAAGAATGGCAGTTGATGAAAGTGAAGAAAATATTCAGAAAAAATCTTGGCATACTAAATACTATAAAGAAAGAGAAAATATAGAAGTTTTTAAGATACAAAAGCAGTTTTTGCACTCAGTCAAGTGCGGACCGTTTGATCAACCGAGAGACTTAATTATGGGATTAACTGTTTTAGATCCACGTTTTTATTTACCTGAAAAAAGAACGAAATATAAAACGTTAACACAAACATGTTCTGAAGAATATCCGCGATCGACTGATTTAAATCGTTCTCCTATTTGGGATGCACAAATACGCCATATTGCAAGCAATTCTTATATAGCCACAAGTACAATTAACAAGCTTAGAAGTAAATGCCTTGTACCTGATATATCAAATGATAAATATTTTAACAAGGACATAATAGCAAAAATACCGATACTTCTTATTTGGAAATCGAAAAGTACTACAGGTATGCAATTATAATTTACGATTATTATAATTTATACAGTTTTATAGAATTTTAAATCCATCATTTCTCTATTGCAATTATAAAAACATATAATTATAAAAACGTATTGTTCACAGGTTTAGATTCCAGTGTAGATATTATTATACCATCTAAATGGGCAATGCCATTTTGGCTTGCAATTATAATGCGATGTGCAAGAGTAGGTGCACTTAGAGAATCCAGCTTGATAGCTTTTGAAAGTTTAAACTTTAAAGTATCACATATTAACGACCCTGACACTCCTGCTTACATGAGGGAGGCATTGATTACAAAAGAGGAATTAACTAATAAATATTTCCGTTATCCACCAAATAAAAGAGTTAACTATGTCAAAATTGGCATTAGTAGTCCTTACTTCTGTGATTGGAAAAATTTGACGAAGGGCTGGTCGAACGTCGAAGATTTTTACGTCTTCAGAAACTATAATTTTTATCACTTTTGCAAGCGGAATTGAACCCTGTTAAACGTAAAAATGCAAGAACCAAATCAACTGACAAAACTATACAGTTTAATTTGCAAGATTTTGATGAGTATAAAAACTGCTTGGTGCACGTTCAACTGACTGCGATGGGAAAAGGAGTACCGGAAAAGTTCTCAATCATATGCATGCTGACGCATGAAGATCTGGAAGAATTTGGAAATAATAAAAAGTGGGAAGGACCTCGCGAAAAATGCCACACCGATACAAATGAAAAGTCCCGCAAAGTATCCCGTAAAGAGCATTCGGCGCTATTAAGACAATTAAGACGACAGAGAGTTGAACAAAAGGAAACATTTTCAAATTATGAGGGAAAGTTATTATTCAAGGAATCTGTTAGTGAGATCGACGCAATTGCACATAAGCCCGTTATACAACATCGCACAATTATGTCAGCTTATAAGGTAAAAATGTCAGAAATGTGTCTTCCAGAATCTACGGAAGTTCGCCATTCCTGCGATAGAGAAATTATAGGATACGTAACATTAGGTGCCCGTTCATTCTTGCGCGCGAAAGGTATCGGCACTGGATATGTCACATTAGCCGCATTACTCGAAATTGTTAGTAAAAAATCTAACATTGTTCTCTTCAGGAATACTACAACACGACAATATAGATTAGCAAAATTAGATATATTAGATATTTAAATATATATGTGTGATGTGTGATATGTATATATTATATATATATTTAACATACAACATACATATTTTTTATTGTATTTTTTAATCAAATATTTAAAATATCTAAGAATATTATTTTTTACAAGTTTAATTAAAAAATATATTCTTATCAATGAAAATAATCAAGAATTAATAAAAAATGGGCTGGATGATAGTAATCATGATCAGTCAATATGTCTAGTTTTATTTAGAGTTTTCATTACAAACAGTATTAAAAATGTGTTGTAATAGACATGTGAGAGAATGCTAATTGTTATCATAATTAATATACAAAATTTAATTTTGCTTTCTCTTTAACATATTTTGTTTCTAAACATATAAAAATGTACAAATATCGCACGATAAAAATATATGTATAAAAAAGAAGTAACTTTTCTAATTAATATATAAATAATGGCGATTAATTGTTCGGCAGATAATTCTGTTTGCATCAACGAGATCTGCAAGAAAATATATTGATTATTATATTGATTTTAAGATACAGAATAAATCACAAAAATATGTGTACCTCTATTTGTTTAAAAAAAATATTTTCTTTTTAGAAAAAATATTCATTGATAGGAATATATTTCTTAATGAAGCTTATAATTGAGAATATAAACTATTTCAAAAATATACTGAAAAATAACAATTCTCGATATAAAACAAACATGTGGAGTTTTAGTATAGAGAGTTTTGACAGAATTTATATTAAACTTACATGGATGCATTGAAATTAGGATCGATTTACCAGCCGTAGCCGTAACCATAGCCTGGTCCATAATTATAATAATCATTATAATAGTTATGTTGGGGATAATAGTTACGATATTGGGGATAACTGTGATAATGATTGTGATAATGATAGTCTCCGGGATAAGATCCACCATATCCACCGTAGCCACCATATCCACCGTAGCCACCATATCCACCGTAGCCACCATATCCACCGTAGCCACCATATCTACGGTAGCCACCATATCCACCGTAGCCACCGTATCCACCATATCCACCATATCCACCATATCCACCATATCCACCGCCATATCCGCCACCAATACTGAAAGAGAAGATTACGCAATTTTAGCGACACATATTTAACACTTTCGCTCTAATGTCGTTAGCTAGAATCTTCTGTACAGCAAAATTCGTGTGATTAGCATCATGATAATTGAATCAACAAACGAAACTTCGGTGAAATGTTTCGAGAGTAAAAGTCTAAAATTATATAAAATTTTTACACGTATCAATTGATTTAATTGTCATAAACAGACAAGTGCCTTCAATATTTTAGAATTGATATTCAGGAGATTTTAAAGACTGACAATTTTAATTGTATATACTTTATACCAATTGAGACTATAATTTTATTATAACTTTAATAAATCAAATGCAAGATAATTTATATCTGTTATATTAAAGGTACGCAAAGTATTTCTTTCAGAGATAAACGACTTACTATTTAGCCCCGTACAATCCAGCACCGAGAGCTCCAGCACCAAGAGCTCCGGCACCGAGAAGTCCAGCACCAACAACTCCGGCGCCAAGAGCGGCTTTACCAAGCAGAGCACCACCTATAAGCGCCTTCCCCAGAATCGGTGCTCTCTTATTACGTGTTTGCGTCTCGGCCACTTCGCTCGTTACCGTCGTTTGTGGTCTCACCGGCTCAATCACTACCGAGGAATCCTGAATAGGTGAGACCAATGTCCTCTGCGGCGTCTCAGGCACATCTACTGCGTAGATCACAGCCAGCACGGCAGCCAGCACTATGATACACCTCATCTAAAAGGAATATAGGATACAATCACAGAAAGAGGGTGAGAAAAATAAAAACTATAAAGATATCAAATAGGAACTTAAAATAACAATTAAATTAATTTGTGATTTGAATATTTGATTATAATTTAATTTTTTTTATTTTAATATTTTAATTTTTTATTTTTTAGTGATGTTTATCACTACATAATTAAAAGAAATTTACGTTCTCCAAACTGTTTCAATTAAATATTATATTCTTATATATTGCATATCATTTCAAGGTAAAAATATAATGAAATTTAACATTAACAATTTAAGTTGAATGAAAAAAAATTAAAATGTAAAAAAAGATCTAGACAATTTTGACGAAGGCTGCACATGCGAGAGATATCTTGTCATCACTAATCTTGGAAAATCAAAAAGTTACAAGCTTCTCATTACACAGTACGATCATGTACCACGTTACGTACCTTGTCGAGATCACGTTTTCGGGTGGAGACCAACTATTCTTCCCAAAGTAGCGCCTTCCAAAGACTTTTATACGATGAGATCAGACCGCTGCCCCTACCACCGAAAACTTACACGAAATTTCATGGAAAGACAAGTTACACCTCTCATCTGTGTGAATGTCCACCTGGCCAAATGTCTCTTCTTAAAAGCAAAAACCATCGTATATCTACGTTCATCCGCTCTAAACATGTGTTTCCTTGATCTCCCTGAACTGGGCGAGGATTTTATTACCTTGCGGATTGACATTGAACCCATCCAGTGACTCGACAGGAATTCCGAGCTTGAAATCCGACTGCTGAATGAAAATTGACCTCGAGATCTTCAAGCATTGTCAACTTTCAAGATTCGTCGACATTACATTGCATTTCCTGAATATTTATTATCGCTTTGTTGTAGTCAAGTGTGCAAATGAAATAGCCAATACGTGAGTTTAATTTTAAACAATGCGAAACTTTTTATTTTGAGCCATATAAGTCTTTCAATCTTTTTTTTCTATGAATATTTTTCTATAAATATTATTACACTGAAATATTTTTTATTTAGATCTCAATAATCCTCTGTCATGTTAATTTTTTATTCAGTTTGATTGTATAATGTAATAACAATGATTTTTTTTGTTAAATAGTAAACAAGGGAGCAATTTGTGAAAAGAGAAATTGAGTTTATTTATTTGCGTTGGATGAGTTACGTTCATCATCGTGACCTTGACAGGCACATTTCCATATTTTTACGTAATGTAATGCATAGTAAATTCTATACAAGAATTAGCATAAAGGTCTATAAGAAATTCCGGATTTCATTATTTGGATCATTGACACTTTCTTTTATCGTCTACAACTGCAAAATATGAATTAATATTTCAAAAAATGCATGAATAATTGCAGACTAATAAATAATGGCATAAATAACGATACGTGACATTAATGAGAAAATCCAGACACACCTAAACGACCTAGGCGAGGTATAACAGGATATGCTTAAATTGTGAAATAATATAGAATAATGTTCCTCGTTAGGGAGGTGTGTCGCATGTTTTTTTTCTATGCAAATTGCTCTATGTATAACGTGACCTCGTCATTAATGAGCCGACTATCGTAACAGTGAGATGCTAATTTAATTATACCATCGTGATCTCTGGTATAAATGACTTAACTTTCCTGTTTCCTCTGTGTCTGTTCGCTATTTTCAAAGTAGCATACCTTGGAAGATTTGATCGATCATCAATTAAACGCGAGGATAAATCTATTTCTATTTCTATTAAAAGTGGTGTGTCTTTTGCAATAATTATTATTACAGACAGAATAATATACATATATGTAAATTAAGAGCGGATATACATGAATTAAAAGAAAGACGACTTTTGAAATTATACGAAAATATTTCTTGGAATGTCTTCCTTATCATAAATAATTTTTAAATTAGAATAAATACATTTTAAATTAAAACCTTAATATTTTTCTTATTTAAATAATTAACCTTGTCTAATTTATATTATACATATACATATATGTTCTTGTGCCTTTGAAGAAAATGAGAAAAAAATATAAAATAAGAGAAAATCACGAAAAACACGTGCGTTTTATGTAGAAAAATTTAGCCTAAAAATTTTATAAAATTACACATAACTTTATTTGATTACAGTGTGATTTAAAAAAAATGCGTCGAGCAGTGAGTAAAACACTGTAATTTTTAATTATATTTTAAAAGCCTTTTTCTTACAGAATAGTAAAACGCTGCAAAATAAGATATTACATTGATTTGAAAATATGTTAATTGACATATAAAATTGAAAATAAAAATAAGTTTAAAAAAATAAAGAATAAAATAAATTGTCTTAAAATTGCAAATTATACAAGTCGAAGTTATACTTTAGAGGCAAAATTCAAAATTGTTTTATATATATATATATATCATGAAAAAAGGTACCTGCTTTAAATGAAAGAAAAGAAAAGGAACGTGGGATTACATCGAGGAAGGTACCATTGACCAAGGAGCAAAGGACACGCGAAGCTGAGGAACACGCTCAAGAGTTGAGGAAAGAACATCTGAGGCGCGAAATTGAACTCGGTGCTTTAAACACAAAGCGTTATCGCACATTATGGAGGGAGATGATGATGAGGACCAAAATGCCGCAGATTGCGGAGGATGTGGAGATTGCGTGGCGTAACTTCGATCGAGCTCTCGACATCAAGGACTACAGGTCTACTCTATAAGTGTTAAATTTAGTTAGATCGAGACAAGCTAATTGAGCAAGAGAATTCCAATCAAAAAATAAGAATTATTTGGTGATTAAAAAAGAAATATTTCACTTAAAATTATATATATATATATATATATATATATATATATATATATATATATATATTAAGTGAAATATTGATATGTGATTAAGTGAAATATGAATATATATATATATATATTCAAAATGCGAATACATTTTATATTAGTCAGAAAACTATGTTTTTTTTAAATACTGTGAAATGTATGTGCAACCGGATTCGATATAAAAGTACATATATTAAAAAAGCTTTATATAAATGTCGAGTCTGGTTAACTCCTAATAATATAATTTATTCGCATTTTTAGAAGGAAAGAATAATCAAAGAATATAGAAGCAGATTCATAATTGCTTTGGTAAACAATTTCCAGTATTTTGAAGAAAGATCTTAAAACATTAATGTGACTCATTTTGAAGTTGGTATTTCCCTACAGAAGATTTGCATATCTTAAGAATGTTTTACGCGCCTTTTAGGATAAGTTTTTTGATGGACGAATTGGCTGAAAGCGAAGAGCAATACCAAAGAAACATAAGATCACACACTGAAATTATAGATCGATTATTGGGATTATATAAGGAGAGAATGCAACGTGAAGAAAAGAACTATCAAAGAGTCTTAAACGAGACACTTGATCAGGATATCGGCAAAATTTATCATCAGCAAAACGAAAATGAGATCTTGCTGCAATCAATTTCACATGGTGTTCAACAACAATTAGAAGAATTATTAAACAATGCCAAAGGCATTGCATTAAGTACTGTCATTAATCTTGCTTGCATATTATATCAAAATTCCTCTTGTTTCAATTAATTTAACATCTATCATAAATGATCTGAAAAAATTGATATTTAATTTATTCATTATTCATATATTAGTGATTCAGTTAATAAAGGCGAATTTTTGACAAAAAGCATGAAATAAAAATATTTCCAAGCTGAAATAAAATACATGATATATAATTGATGCATGATTTTAATCCAATTAATTGCACGTTCAATATTTAATTAATATAAAAGTAATTATTATATCTTCTTTAAAAGGTAAGGTCGATGCATTCGTGGAAGATAGTAAGGATATTCGCAGAATTTCTGCAACTCAACTTGAAAATCAATTGCAAAGCTTCTGGGAAGATTTACGACGAGTCCTATCTGACTATCAAAACAGTAAGCTTATACAAGTGTGTACAATTTAATTACCAGAATAAATAAATTTAGAAAATATTTTATGCATAATTTTGATTAAATATATAAGTTTTGAAATAAAACTCTGGATCTGTCATCATACCTGTAAAATGCAAATTAATTTTACGTTAAGGTCGTAACTGTTTCCAATGAAAGCTAATATTTATAAATATGACATCATTTCAGGAACGAAGGATCGTCAAAAATACGAGGCACTCAAAGAGAAGGACGAGAAGGATCAGCAAGTTATCGCGCAACAATTGTTGCGAACAACTAATCTTTTCGAAGAGATACGAAAGTTTCGAAGTAAAATAATGACGTACGATACTACGGCCAAGAAAGAGATTTCTGAAATTTTGAATGAACACGATTTTTTTCAAAAAGCTTACTGGACTGTGAAAAATCGTCTTCTCTCAGGTAATTAATTTCTTTATATAGTGATTATATATAAGCCATTGTCGCTGAAAATTTATCAAATTTTTTACAATTTAATTTTAGACATCCTTTAAAATTCCATGTATTTTTTAGTACAAAATTAATTCAGTGACAAATTTTCATTTGGGCTATTTTTTATTCTAGATGTGTACTATTTATTAAACAAAAATATTATAATTATTAATAAAAAGTTAAGTAAATCATAAGAATGCCGCAGTGAAAAGTTTAAAATAATTTTAGAACAGACAAAAGACAAAGACCAATTGAAGATATTGTCGATTGAGTATAACAAGACGATAAAACATTTAGAAGATCTTGTGACGAAAGGTAAACGACTGTTCGGGCTGATGAAAATCTGTAGCAAGTATGAAACTCTACGTGAGAAAGTAATTCCTTTTGCTTGTCATATGAAGTTGGAAAACTCGTCACCTACTTCGTCGTGTCAGATCTCGACTACATCAGATTGGGACATATCTCGTCAGGTTAATTTCACCATTCAAAAGCACGCAATAAAAATATGAAATTTTGTAAAGAATATTCAAAATATATAGATCGAAGATTTTCAAGACCTGACAAATTTCTGGCGACGACTCGGCTCCGCACAAATAATCACTATGCAGTTGCAATCTGAGAAAGATAGATTGAAGAACGAGAGAAATCGTTTACGCGAATATGTCAGTTCTTATATGAAGCAAGAGGTAAAAGAGAAAAATAACAAAAAGCATAAAATAATTTAATAACTTTCAATTGTGATAAACAAATTATATCTGCCATATTCTTTTATCGTAGGTGCACGTTCAATGTACCTGTAACTAACATCACTTATCTAAAATATCTCACTGTTCGACGATATTGATCTGTAGTTATTAGAACTGTATGTAAAAGTGTAATCGGTATCATAATTAAACATAATAAGACTATCCAATGTTGAAGAAAATTACATGTAATAAAATAAACAATTATACATATTTTATGATTTATATACATCTATGACAGGTGAAAGAACAGCTCAACGATGGTCTTGCCACTTCAACTTTGAATTTGATTGGCCGTTTGGAGCTTGGCAGTCTTATATTTATTATTATGCACTTTTAAACTGTAACTGCAAACACTCAAAATACATTCAAATAAAAATCAACGTGACGATTTATGCCTGTGTGCTATTTGAGATAGCATCTTATTGCCAGCAAGGAACGTAACGACGCCAAAACCGAGTAAATATCGCAACGTTACAAACATATTAAGTTTCAGCCAGAAAATTCCGAATAATACAAAAATGCCTGAAAATAAAATAATCATAATTATATTCATATTCTGCATCCTTACTGCAACTTCAATATAAATTTTTGTTGTGAATTTCGGGCTACAAATATGATGAGAAATAAAATCACATTTGCGAAAACATCACAATTTACTATGTGCCCGATGAAAACAGATGACTACATGTCATCATCTGTCAAGCAATATCAGGCACATTATTACTGTATTAGAATGTTCTTAATTATTGATTTTGGTAAAAATAAAATATAATTTATATTCATCATGCTAGCTTTATTATATAATATGTAATATGAAATGACTGATACTTACCTCCTAATCCAAGATGGAATGTAATCGCACTGAGAGACAAGGGAAAGTTTGAGATATTGATACCAAGTCGAGCCCATAAAATTAATAATAATAGAACTGGTGCCAAACACAAGCCTGTAAACAAGTTTGATACGAACGCCGGTGGTCTGCGTTCTGGCTCGCGGAACATATGCTAAAATTAGAAATAATAAATTTTTAGAGAAATACTTCAACGATAATAATCTTTCAATTAAAAGTCAGTGTCCGTCAAAGTACAAAAAGTATCGAATAAATACAATAATTTAAACGAATATATTAAAACTAACTTCGACGTAATAATACTCTGCCAATGTTTTGGAGGTGATAAAATTATCAAAGAACTTCTATCACTAACGAGCATTGGCATATATTGTGTACATACATATAAGTGCATAAGAAAATTACCTTTATTTCCGGTTTGGTAGTATACTCATTTGGCTTTTGCTTGTAAGAGGCACTTTTATCAGTACCCTCCACCGAGGTCAACTCAGGGAATTTCAAAGTCACCGTGCCGATGTTGAATCGGAACGGATTACTGATGACGGCATCGCCGACAATTAATTCCATGTTATATTCTCCGCTCTGATGACCAAAATTCGCAGCTGCTGTTCCAACCGGCTGAAATGTTTGCAAAATTATATATACGTCTAAGAAAGAAGATACAATCTATATAGAAAAGTAAAATCTGTTTAAAAATATATAAGCGTTCGAAAAATTACCATGTCGAATTTATAAACGTGAGCAGCATCAGACTCGGCGACGAAAAAGATTTCATGACCTCGCTTATCACTGGAGGCGGATGTGAGACGTACGAAGGCTTGATGTACACGCATCGGTTTCTTATTCGCGGAATCACGCAGCAAAAAACGCATGACTAATTTCTGCTGAGAATCAGCTTCTATTTTATGTTCAAGTTTACCTGAGGGAGACTCTGTATTTATTCTGAAATTAATGAAATCGTAATTAGAAATGCAAGATAATAAATATAGAATGTTGCTTAAACGTATAACATCTAATATATAATGTATAAATACTTTGTAAGTTTTGGCTGAGTGGTTTGATCGGCATCACCGGTACCGATTTCCAAGTAATCCAATATTGCTTCAGACAAAACCTTCACTGTAATCGTGTTCGTAACTGAAGCCGCGGTTATCGATATCTTGTAAAAACCGCGATCAGGTTTCACATTCATAAGATTCACCGTGAAGAGAGTCCTATAGATAAATACAAAATATTACATTTAAATACAGAATGACATACATAGAGAATAATGTTTGTTGAATTTCTTAACCTTAATTTAAAAAAAACAAAGGTTAAAGGGTTTATTCAACAATCATTGCTATGCCCCAAGGTATAGCTGATATCAGCATGAAAGGCTGATTCAGTAAAGTATTGGGGGCCATATAGATATTTATAATCAAAGCTGCTTACTTGTCTGTTGTAGATGGTTGCAAATTCTCATTACTAAGAATAACGACGTCATCTCCCACTCTCGTGGCGGAGTTTGCAACGACTTTAGGTACAGTTGGCAGTGCCTGACCAAGAATATCGCAAACTTTAACCGTGACCAATGGTTGCTGATTAGAGATAATAATTCCTCCATCAGCTAAAGTGATACAAACAGGCTTTTCGGGACTATCAATTGCCAAAGTGGTTAAAGCGGACAATAAATTTGTGACACCTTTTACACTTTGCACAGAACGTCGCGAGAAAAGATAATTGCCAAATTTGACTGTTTGTTGAAAGTTTAGTGGCGGCTTTTTCTTCAATGACGTCGACAACTTAAAAATACCGTTGACAAGAAAACCTACAAGAATCGATTTTATAATTAAAATTTAAAAAATCAATTAATTTAAAATTTCCTTTTAGAAAAAGATTAGATATCATACTCGTGATAGAAAGACCGCCCTCAAACTGCAAGTACTGGCCATCCACTTCATCAGCTTGTACCACAGCATCTTCAATACGATCAAAAGCAAATGCAGCTGGTGCACCTATGTCCGCAGCAATGTGGAATGTGTATCCCAAGCTATAATATAAAATTTATTGTTGAATTACTGTTCGTAATATTCAGGATAAAAATAACAAATCTATAATTTTTAAGATATTTTGTTCAGTACTAATTGCTGTCTTCAATCACATTCAGTAGAACGAAAGTTTTATTAACATCACTACAATTGAATTATAATTATATTTTTTTGATTATGATATTAGTGTTAATATATTATTAAAAAAAGAAAAAACATACAACTTACTTCCATAAACTGTCATCCTTTCGTAAAGCTGCTTGTATTAATTTCACCAATTTGTCAGTTCTGGCAGTAGGTACTTTTTGTGACAAAGCTGTTAAGCCACTCACTGCATAATATAGATCAGAGAGTGTGGAAGTATCCTTTTGTATAACATTTGTCAATACCTGTACAAATAAGTCTGCCATATAATATCTTGTGGTGCAAATCTTGTATATAATTTTCAAGATTTTTTTAATTCAGTAATAATTATTTTCTTCATTCTTCATACAGTAGAACGAAAGTATATAAACATCATTATGTTATATAAATATTATTGATTATCTTATCATTAATATTAATTACCTTTGTCGCAACATTTGCAGAAAACTCTTGACAACCTCCCATAGCTTTCCATGTAGATACAAGATAAAATGCTGTTTCAGGTGTAATGTTTTCTCCATTAGACTTTATTAAATACTTGCAGATGGCCTAAACAAAAGCAAAGACTATCAATATAATAATTCAAGGTATCAAGTTATAAATTACAGTAAGAAAATATTATTATCAGAAAGACTAATCAAACAATCATGGAATTTCAAGCAAGAGCATATTTTCATCACATAATTTATATACGTCAAATATTCTAATGTGAATTGTATGAAAAAGGGAAATTACATTTGTATTTGGTATAGCTTCTCCAAGAAGCTTATATCCACTGACAGCATAATATACCGATGGTACATCTTGTAACTGAAATCCTGGTTCAAGTATACTCTTCAAACGCACTCTATCAGCTGCCGACAAATAGGAATTTGTCGACTGTGAGACTTCTGACAATGCGGAGTGCGCACATAGTGCCACCAATAGCAGTGGTATCACAGCAGCTGAAAAAACGGTACAACGTATTATTTTTTCTTTGAAATTAAATTTATGATGAGCATACATAAATGTTTTCTATAAATCAATAACTACATATTATAAAATTCTAACAAAAAATAATACAAATTATATTTCTCTTTAGGATACATCGGACTTAATTTCGCAAAATCCTCAAATTTTAACACCTAAATAACACTTTGTACATGTGGTATACATTTTTAAGGAATGCGGTTACATCGCGGCAAGCCGCGATTGATCAAAACGCTGAAGAAGCATAATATTTCGGTGTAATCGTTCGACCATCAGACAGTTTGAAAAGCCATA